TGACCATCCGAACGGCCAATGGGGGCGCCTTTTGAGCGTGCAACCGGAATTTTTCGCTCCAAAAAATCAACAAAGACGCCAGTGTCCACGTGTAGCACCCCTTTATGGTCAACCGATTCCAAGCGAGTTGCTCTTTGGAGCGTCCACTTTCTACATGAGCCCACAATAGCGGCCACCATCGGTATTCATCGGAGGGAAAATACGGCGGATAAATGGTGATAATGAATAAACAACTCCATTTTTATTTACGAAAAACAAAACTGACTTCAAATATCTCGCTCTGTGTTCATTTTACAATTGATTTTTAGGAATTCCCTAGCTATCCGAAGATCATTAATCAATACCAATGAAATTAATATAATAATAAAAGTAAAGTAAAGTATCAGCCTATACATGTCCCACTGCTGGTCAAAGACCTCCTCTATACAGAGCGTATGAGGGCATAGTCCACCACGCGGCCCCACTGCGGATTGGCGGACGTCACATATTTTCGAAATATAATTTTGTTATTATCTCGAAAATATTCAGGTTTCCTCACGATGTTTTCCTTCACCGCGGAGCACTTGATAAGAATAAATATGATATAAATAATAAAAAAATACAGTAGAATTGAGAAGCTCCTCCTATTTTGAAGTCGGTTGAAAATACGATATTGTGTGTACAGTCTTTATCTGTATTTCGAACAATAGCCATTAGTGTTTACTTTGAGGGGAAGAAATTTTTGTCTGTAACAGTTTTAAACTATCGTGGCTACGGCTTACATGCTTTGTTTTACACTATGTAGTGATTATCATATAAAATTGACACTAAACGTTGCCCAGCTTCCTTATCTGAAGTGTAAACATCCGTTACTAAAATATTGCAATTATGACTTCAATATTAATAACGTTAATAGTGTTTTGATCAAAAACAATTGAGTTATTACAGACCAGAATTTTCATTTACATTCAAACGTATAAATAGATTTAATAATAATTTTTAACAAAAGAAAACCGATTTCAATCGAAAAATCTAAAAACATTTTTAATACCCATAACATTCAATGATGACCCTCGATTTATCTGGGATGCCGACATCTGATCCGGATTTCCGTATCATAGTACCACTCTTGGGATATCTCCTTTCCGACAAAAAAAAAGAATCATCAAAATTGGTTCATAAACGACGAAGTTATCCACGAACACACATAAAAATATATATATATATACGGTCGAATTGAGAAACCTCCTATTTTGAAGTCGGTAGATAAAATGTCAATTTTTATAATGACAACTCCCATATTAAAGCGCAAAACTATAACTAAATAATTTTTTCACACTTTATAGATTGCCAGTTACTTTATTTAGATAGTGCTATAGCTATCGATATCGATAAAACCAACATCGATACTCATGTTTTGCGTCACTAGTCGCTAGTGTGTCGGCTTAACTGATAATCATTTTCAAAGCGCCTCAGTTCCCTTTGTTACATGCGAAAATTAACTCATAATTAATTAACTACGCTTCTCTTACAAAGGCGATAAGCAAGGGCTAATGAACAATCATATTATAAAAGCATTAAATAAAACTATTTTCACGGTTATGGGACGCCCTGGGGGCTACGATGTTTAATTGTAATAATAAAAAAAATATTTAAGAGTATACTTTCTAAAAATTATTTTTTTTTTAATGGAGAAAAGGGGCAAACGAGCAGGAGGTTCATCAGATGGTAAGTGGTTACCGCCGCCCATGAACAATATGTATTTCATTCGATACTGAGCCGCGATGGCTTAGTGTTCGGGCTCTCGCCTTTAATTCAATATACTCGAGCAACCCGAGTTCGATCCCCGGTGCCGGCACCAATGAAATTGTTAATTTTAAGTGCTTTATTATCACGTGTTCAGCGGTGAAGGAAAACTGCATATTTTCAGCATGATCACCCAAAATTTGTGTTTCAAGTGTGTATATAAAGTCTGCCAATCAGCGCTGGGGTCGTGTGATCGACTATGCCCTAATGCCTTCTGTAAATAGGAAGCTTTGGTCAAGATGTGGGACATATATAGGTTACTTTGGTCTTGATTACTTTTTGATTTAGATTTACTCTTACCGCGGCTCTCACTAGGGTGTCTCAATAAAATCACCTTTAGAACAGAACTTATATTGTTTCTATTTTCGTTCGGAAAACAAATGCAAATTGCAGTATAGGGCTACCCGTAAGTGCTTACAGTTATCTTAATATGTAATTCTCATTTTATGGAATATCTGAATAACTAACGCTGTAAATGAAAGTAATTTTACTAGATTTATCGCGTTTATTTCAATTTAAAGCATCGCAAGGCAGCATATTTTTTATTTATTTATTATTATATATTTATTGTACACAAAACAAAAGGTAAAAGAAAATAATGTAAATGAAAATAGTGTACAAAAGGTAAGCTTAACTCAATACATGAGTTCTCTACCAGCTAATCTGGTAAGAAAATAGGTGATTGAAGGTAACTGGAAATTTGTTCAGTGCACCCAGATATTCCTATAACATACCCTACATAAATATAAACAGCGGCATATTATCGCTGTAAAGGGTTCGAAACGTCGGGAATTAAAATTAAAAATAAACGCGATAAATCCGTAAAATTAGTTTCATTTATAATGTATAATCGAGTAAATACAAGAAATTTTCAACTAACACTGCTATCATTCACAAGAAATATCACTCCACAATATCATGTGTCTTCAAAAATCGAATAAAGATTTGATAAATAATTGCTGAGCTAGTGTGTTCTCGTAACAGGTTATTTACACATACCATCCGATGGGATATCAAACAGTTCATAATAGGAAAAACATTACCTACTGAAAACCCAATAAACAAATATTCCTATTAGGTTGAAGTGAAATTCTGGTATTTTAATTATAACTTTATTTATTATTTAGGTAGCCGGAGCCCAATTTTCAAAAGGTTGTCAACGCATCTGTACCCCTTGAGTGTGGCAGATGTCCATGGGTGGCAGTTTTCACTTAACATCAGGTGAACCGTCTGCTCGTTTGACAACTTTTCGCATAAAAAAAAAAGACACTAGCTAATCCGGCAAACGCTGTTTTGTGGAATTTCGTAAAATCCGTTCTTAGCTGACCTCTACTCTGTGAAAGGAATATTCCTACCAAATTTCAAGTGTCTACGTCTTACGGTTCCAGAGATATCGTGATGAGTCAATTATCGGTGAAAATCTCTAATATATATATTGTTAGGGGAATAGTGAGACAACGTTACCATGGAGGGAAGTGTGCGGCACCGTTAGCTTGTTTTAAGAAGAAAACCTCTACCCGATGGAAAATGTCAAACTGCTTATGTTCTGATTTTGAATTGGATAAAAATGGAGTCTCACGTAATTTTCTTACAGAATTAGTAAGAACTTGAATTGCTTTGGTTTTTGTAATTGATTTTGCTTTATTGAGACATAAGTGTCATAGTTTGTGTTTATTGTTTCTTTTAATTACATTCCACCTCTGGTTCCTAACAATATATATAGAGTAGCTGATCCGGCAAACGTTGTTTTGTGGAATTTCGTAAAATCCGTTCTTAGCTGACCTCTACTCGTCGAAAGGAATATTCCTAACAAATTTCAAGGCTCTACATCTTACGGTTCCAGAGATATGCTAAATTGCTACCACGTGTACACGTGTCCCCTGCTAATGCGACAGAGACAGGTGCAACGTGGGTTTTTAGTGGGTACCCGTTTCTGACTCACACTTACCCCTGCCACTCCCCAGATCCAGTGGCATCCATGCGGAAGAAAGGTGGGGATAAAGCATTTTTCTCACGGGAAAAAAGGGGGTCATTAAAAAGAAAAAAAAAGAAAATAAATTCATAATCATTTTATTATTTCCGATGGCCTAATGGACCGGTCGTATTTTGGCGAAGGAAAAAACAACTGAAACGGCTAACCGCATCAATCTGTACAGTAGACTCGAAACGTGGCCGAATTATTGATTAAATAAATGGATTGGTATAAGGGCGCTCTCACACCACAGCGAAACCGTACAAATAAAGCAAACACATCCGATACATTAAACTACTACGTATGTGTGGATGGTGGAAGAACAAAAAACCAACTATTACACAAAGCTTCACCAAAATCTACATTTTTATGTAGACCCAGTGAGGTATAGACTTTATGACTACAACATTAAACATAAAAACATTAATGAAAAAATTCGGGAATTACAGGCCAAGAGATATGATACCCGATCTTTTTGTCCATTTATTCGAATATTTTTCGAATGAGAACTTAACTGAAAAAACTCATGTCTTTATTTATTTTATATGGAAAGAGTATTTGAGATTATTGCTTAACTGCACTACAATGCCATTTTATAGCCGTTGTTTAAAAAGTGACGATCACTAATAGAGTTAATATTGTAGATAGCAATCCTTTGCTTTTTCTCCAAAGTATTCTTCCGTTAAGATTCACTTTTTTATCAGAAATAAATTAAAATGGCCCATTATTAAGGCCAATTAAATTTGATTTAACCGACTTTCGCTGTGGTTTGCTAGCACCCTTCACTGATCAGCCACCCATTTCGTACAATTTCATTGAATTACAAACCTAAAGACAACACTAGTAATGTTCAATTTAACATTACACTTAAACAATAAGTGAAATCATTTCCAAGAGAAACGTCGTCTAGAAACTTCTAGTTAGAATACAAAATTCCAAAAATGCGGACAAAAATTTACTTCTGTAGCATAACTCATCAAAATGATTATCTAGTGTCACTGACCGTCACATCTAATTTTTCTGGCAATGTAAAAAATACATTAACATAGTGCTTAAAACTCGTGCTTGCTACGTGCTACGCAGCGGCCTACGCGCGTCTGCTACAATAACGCTACATCTTAACTACAAATGCAACTGTACGAGAATCTACGAATATGATAATGGTCGAGTGTCTGCCCAAACGCTACGATAGTCTTGCTACATGTCTACGTATTCCGCTGAAACGGTGTATGTGGATGGCCTACGAGTAGTCTGCGTAGACCGTGCCGCCTACGCACTCGCCGCAGAGGGTGTCCACATAGGAGTGCGGCACGAGGATAACGGTCTCGTAGCGGCGGACGTAGACCGTAACACCCGTAATCAGAGACGACACTTTGACGCCGTCGCCAATCGTCCTTATCCTGCGAAAGTAAAGTGTACTTTATTTTTTATTTTTTTTTTATTTTTTTTTTTTTTTTTTTTTCGGTGTGGTAATCAGCCATTTAACTCAGTGGCTAGAGCGTCAGGCCGCGAATGCCGAAGACGTGGGTTCGATTCCCACAGCGGCGACAATCTTTTCGCTTTTTTTCTACATATTTTAATGTTCAATCTTAAGTGCAAAGATTAGCACTATAAACAATTTAAATTTCTAAAAAAGCAATGGTGACATCTCTCGTTCGAATTATCGTTGTAAAACGATATTCGAAGTTGTATGTATGCTGGAAAGGATATAACAATAGATGGTGCCAAGCATTGCTTCAAATGCTAAGAAAACAATGTAGAAGAATGCGTTAAGATTTTCGTCGGTGTGGTAATCAGCCGTTTAGCTCAGTGGCTAGAGCGTCAGGCTGCGAATGCCGAAGACGTGGGTTCGATTCCCACAGCGGCGACAATCTTTTCGCACTTTTTCTACATATTTTTAATAGCATGACTTACGATTTGTGATGGTTACGGATCTCGATATCGGCGTATGTTCAATATCTGTTTGTGAAACGGATAACCGCGATAAAATACGTAAATTCGTTTTATTAAAATGCACAAAATTCGCGTAAATAAAAGGAGTTCTTGGAGAAGGAATATAACACCAGGTTACCTGAAGTGGGGCACATCTGTTGTCATGTTGGCGGCATCCCCTCTCACGACGACACTGTTCTCTGCCGCGTGCACCTTCACGCCGCCATTTGGCTGACGAAGGACGGCAAAGCTGAAAAGAGGACCATGCACTCAACTCATGCTAGTAAATGTTGTAGGTATACGTTGCAGCCGCTACGTGGCTCTACCGCCAAAAAGATTGTAGTAAATTATTTACTGTGGTAGAGCCGCGTAGCAGCTGCTATGTGCCATTTGCCAGATGATGTACCAAGGGCTGGCTCGACCGAAAACTTTTTTTATGTGAAACGGTGGCAAACGAGCTGGCGGTTCACTTAATGTTAATTGACAAACCTTGGGTTGCAGATGCGTTGCCTCCATTTAATAAAGTGGGCCCCGGCTAATTACCAGACAAAACGCAGAAGTATAACACTTCCACTTCACGCATATCTTCTGTGAGGTCATAGTGCATATCCGGACGGACCTGCCCATTCATGGTACAGCGAAGAGCAAGACTGTTGCGTGGCCCTACCGTGTTTTGCACAGAAGACCGGCACGAGGCTTTTTAAACTACTGGCTTTATCTTCTGCGTTCATGGATATGATTGGGGAAATTATTCCACTCGCATTTCTTGTGGAGAGTGAAGGAACTGGACGCCTACTAAAAGACTTCACACTGAGAACATTTACGATTGGTGATACGCTTGTGGAAGGCAACTGTTTCAATAGTTGGGTGTCGGGTGGAGCTTTCTGAAATGTCCGGACTGAAAGAATTGTAGCAGGTGTACTAGTAGGTGAAATAGTAGGTGAACTAGTAGGTGAACTAGTAGGTGAACTAGTAGGTGAACTAGTAGGTGAACTAGTAGGTGAACTATTAGGTGAACTAGTAGGTGAACTAGTAGGTGAACTAGTAGGTGAACTAGTAGGTGAACTAGTAGGTGAACTAGTGGGTGAACTAGTGGGTGAACTAGTAGGTGAACTAGTAGGTGAACTAGTAGGTGAACTAGTAGGTGAACTAGTAGGTGAACTAGTAGGTGAACTAGTAGGTGAACTAGTGGGTGAACTAGTGGGTGAACTAGTGGGTGAACTAGTAGGTGAACTAGTAGGTGAACTAGTAGGTGAACTAGTAGGTGAACTAGTAGGTGAACTACTAGGTCAGCTAGCTCCTTAATCGGTCTCACCTGGAGAATTCGGAGCAGTCAGCCAGCGCGATAGCGTCGGTCTGCTGCAGAGGCAGGAGCTGCTCCGTGGTCCCAAAAAGGGTCTCCACAGTGGACTCCTGGAGGCGGCACTCGCCTGGAATTAGGTCTGGCTTGAGCGATCCTTCCACGTGTGAATTAATCAGAGTATAAATCTTACTAATATTATAAACGCGAAAGTTTGTGTGTATGGATGGATGTTTGTTACACTTTCACGCAAAAGTTACTAAATAGATTTTAATGAAACTTTACAATAATATATCTAATACATCAAAATAACACGTAGGCTATAATTTATAAAGGTATTGTGTGAATTGTCCAAAATATAGGTAATGATATGTGTCAACTAAGTAGCAAAAAATTCAGCCATCTGCGAGTCCCACACGGGACAAACACCCAGATGCGAAACAACTACCTGTGGGTCACACAAATAGTTGTCCCGTGTGGGAATCGAACCCACGACCCACGACGCCGAAGCCAATACCTAGGCTACTGTGCCACGGACTCATCTTAAAAGCTCGTCAAAATATAACACAAAATGTGTAGGTAGAAAGGGTAAATATTTCCCTTTGTCTTGTTTTCTTTTTCTTGTTAGTAAAAATGTACTTGAAAAGCGCTGCATTCATTTTGGGACATATTGTTATGACCTGCGGAAGATCGTCGCGGATTAGTCGGGATCTCGATCAAGGTATGGGTAGAGTCACAGCTGGATTTGTGCCTGAATCAAATCTGGACCTCATGTCTGTTTAGCGCACAAGAACCACCACAATGTCATCTTAATAACTGTTTTATAAAGGTTCCGTATCCAAAGGGTGGAACGGGACCCTATTATTAAGATTCCGCTGTCTGTCTGTCCGTTTGTCACCATACTGTATCTCATGAACCTTGATAATTAGACAGTTGAAATTATCACAGATGATGTATTTCTGTTGTCGTTATAACCCCACATACTATAAGAAACAGAATGAAAAATATTTGAGGCTCCCATACAACAGACATGATTTTTTGCAGTTTTTATAGATAATGGTACGGAACCCTTCGTGCGCGACTCCGATTCGCACTTGGCCGGTTTTTTAATACAGTTCTTAAATAAGCCAACTCAATTGCCTAATCTTGGATTCGGGTATGCCCACTGGAAAATAACGTTTCATTTCCCAATGAGTGAGGAATATACATAAATTGTTTTGCCTTTAATTCCCATTGAAAACTCGGTTAGTACAATTAAAGTAACAAGGCGGTTTTGGTAAAGCGTGCAATAAATTTTATTACGCTAAACTGATTTATTTACTACTGTTTTCTCTCGATAAATTGTTACTTCGATATCCCTCAGAAACATTTGTATCTAATGCCGCTACCAATGAATTATAGTTTTCTCATGAATTCCATTAAGTTTTCAATGACTTTTAAGGATTAAAAAAAGTCATTCTAATGAATTTGAACCTCAAACTCAAACTCAATTTTTTTTATTCAATACAAAATCATTACACCTACATATTGACTATCGTAAAACACCACTAGCGGTTCGGAAGAAAGCTACTAACCTGAGAAGACCCAGCAAAAGAAACTCAGCAGTCTTTTTTTCACATAAACCGTTTTACATGAACAAATTAGAAATACAATTCATTACCAGAGTGTGTTATCATTCAAATAATTTCAATTCTTGTACATATATATATATATATATATATATATATATATATATATATATATATATATAATCGGAATCTCGGAAACGGCTCCAGCGAATTTCATGAAATTTTGTATGTGCGTAGATTCGGGGGCGAATGAAAAATATCATTCGAATATGACAGTAAATTTCGCCGCAAAAAAAAATGTTATAATAGCTCGGTCGGTAATGGGGCGGCCCCAAAACAGACGGCCGCGGTTCGTATCACGATCATTTACACACTTACTTTTTTTTCTATACCAGATCATTTTCTTTTTTTTTATTTTTTTTATTTCCAAAATATATGATTTACCAAAAAAAACCGAGCCATGCTCGGTCCTCCAGTTTTTAGGCCTTTAACACACAAACGTTCCTTTAAAAGTTTTTGTTATTTAGTAATGTTATACTTTGTAATAAAAGATGAATAATTAATTAATATTCACTTTAATTCCGGAAGACGTTGTTACACGTTAAACGGAAAGATGGCAAGAGAGAGTGTTGCCAGTCAACCAAAAGTAACACCCAAAAACTCAAGTTATGACACTCTCCCCGACCATTTTACAAAAATCAACAAAATAAGGAATTAAATCACTATAGTTTTACTGAAATTATGAACAAGATTAAACTTAAAGAAACGACAAGTGAATATTAGCTTAAACTTTACACAATAAGTAGTAATTAGACTTAATTAGTTATACAATTACTTTAATCATAAAAAAAGTATATAAAAATATTTCTATGTGCTAAGATATAATAGCTTAAAAGGTATATATTTTATAACTGATTAACATTTATCTAAAGTATTGGCATTGCTCGGGCTGAAGTTTGTCATATGAATTTGATTAGCATGTCTTTTCCACTGACTTCCATCCACTTCCACTAAGTATGTAGTCCCTGGAATGAATTCCTTAATTATATATCCTTTTGCCCACTTTTTTCTCCCCTTTCTAAAATCTCTAACCATAACTTGATCTCCTAATTTAAATTTTACATTTCTACTTCCTTTACTATATTTTAATTGTTTTTCTTGAGACTCTACCAATGCTTTATAAATAGGTGCTGGTCTTAATAATGATAATCTACTTCGTAACTCTCTGCCAAGCATTAGACGAGCAGGGGATGCACCAGTACTTTTATGAGGAGTGGTTCTATAATCAAACAAAAATATGCTTAATGCATACTGATGCGATTTACCACTTTCTACTATTTTTGTTATATGTGATTTAAATGTCTCCACAAAACGTTCTGCAGCACCATTTGTGGCAGGGTAATGTGGTGGTGTAAAGCTATGTTTTTACTCCTGTGACTTTACAAAACTCTTGAAACTCTTGACATGTAAAAGAACTACCATTATCTGTCACTAGGTGAACAGGAAAACCAAATCTTACATAAATCTCTTTAAATTTAGATATTGTGAGATTTGAGCCAATATTAGTCATTTGAAAAACTTCAGGCCATTTAGAATAACTGTCAACAATTATTAAGTACATTTTTCCAAATAAAGGTCCTAAGTAATCTGCATGTATTCTATACCAAGGTCCAGGTGGAATAGGCCAACATTGTGGAAAAGATTTAATAGGGTTGTGTCTATTTTTAAGACATAAATCACAAGTTTTTGATAAATTTTCAATACATTCATTCAATTTGGGCCACCAAAAATATGCTTTAGCCATTTCAATCATTCTGGAACAACCAAAATGTGTTAAATGTAATTCTTTTAATACTGATTCTCTAAGACTAGATGGTATTATAATTCTATGCCCCCACATAATGCAATCTCTATCTAAACTTATTTTCATGCCTTCTCAAAAAGTAGGGCTTTACATCGTCATTAACCACTTTATCAGGCCACCCATCACGGCAAAACATAATTATTTTTGACAAAATTTGATCTTTTTTGGTTTCATTCTGTATATCTTTCCAGTTTAAAGTTTGTAATTTTGATTGATTTAAGTAATTTATACATGATGTATCAAAATTGTAATGATTTAATATGTAAGTTTTTGAACTGTCAGTGGTGGGTGCCCTCGATAAGTAATCAGCAGGATTTCTGTCTGTACTAATGTGCCTAATTTTATAATTAAAAGCTGACAAGAAAATTGCATAATGTTGTAGACGCTTAGCGGCCATTTTCGGTATAGCTTTGTGTGGACCAAAAATCCGAACAAGAGCTGCATTATCAGTCTCCAGTTCAAAAGTTCGCCCATATGTAAAATTATAAAATTTTGTTACACCAAAAATTATAGCCAAAGCTTCTTTGTCAAGAGCACTATATTTTTTTTCTATATCATTCAATTTCTTACTCGCAAATGCAATAGGTTTAACAATACCACCATGATGTCTGTTAGATAGGATAGCTCCTAATCCATAGTTTGACGCATCACAAGTGAGTATCAATGGTAATTCCGGGTTATAATGATTTAGATTCTTAGCAGATGCTAATTTTACTTTTACTAACTCAAATGCTTTTTGGCATTCATTGGTCCAGACAAAGTTGCCTTTTTTGGTACACTCATATAAAGGACTTATAATAGTTGCTAAATTTTTTAGAAATCTTGCATAATAATTTATCTTTCCTAAAAATGAACGCAACATTGTAATGTTTTCAGGAGGAGGTAAACTAATTATAGGTTCAATATTTTCTTTGATTATATGAATACCCTCTTTACTAATTTTATATCCAAAAACATCAATACTATTATGAAAAAATTTACATTTTTTTTTTCTGCCTTTAATTTAAATTCACATTCTTTTAGTCTAGATAACACTGATTCTAATGTTTTAAACATATCAATATAATTTTTACCACACATGTAAATATTATCAATAAAAACAATAACATTTGGAATGTCTGATAGCTTTTGTGACATAAGTCTTTGAAAAGATCCTGGCCCTGTGCTAACGCCATAAGGAAGATACTTAAACTTAAAAATTCCCTCTTCTGTAACAATAACAGTGAGCTCCTGAGACTCTTTACTTAATGGGGCTTGTAAGTATGCCTCTTTCAAATCCAATTCACAATAAAATTCACCACCCCTTAACTTACATAAGATATCCTCCACATGAGGCAAAGGGAAGTGATCAATTTCCAAGTAAGGATTTAATGTCACTTTGTAATCACCACATAGACGGACTGACCCATCAGATTTTAATATAGGTACTACAGGAGTTCCCCAGGCACTATATTCAACAGGCTCCATTCGATCATTATCTAATAATCTTTTAATTTCAAGACTAACTTTTTCTTTTAAAGCAAATGGAATCTGTCTTACAGGTAAAAATTTTGGCTTAGCATTTTCTTTTAATTTCAATGTAATGCACTCACCCTTAAAATTGCCCCACCCCTGGCTAAATACTTCAAAATATTTCATTTTTATTTTCTCCATTAAATCCTCAATCACATTCACATTTAATTGCAAAGGCCACATGCCAAATGTGTCCAACATATCTCTACCTAAAATTCTAGGTTTATTGTTTTCAACTACAAATAAATTTACATATCGTTCAATATTATTTAAATTCATTTTAATATTTTTAATGATTCCTACAGGCCTTGACGTTGACTGATCATAATTTTTGAAACATACATTACTATTTTCAATTTTATCTGTTAATTTTAATAATTCTAAATCTTTTAAATTAATAGTTGTAGCCTCAGAACCTGTATCTAATTCAAATTTAAAGTTGTAACCGTGCAACCTCACATCCACTAGACAAGGAGGTGTATTCTTATAAGAGGAAGAACAAACATACACATTGTGATAATTGTCAGTGTCTAAGAACAAGTTTTGGATAGATTTTTCTACATCTAAATTGTCTATAGGTTGCTCAACATTTTCAATTTTTAATGATCGCATTTTACAAATAGTAGAACACATCTTATAAATATGACCTTGCTTTCCACACTCTGAACAAAACTTATTTTTCAATCTACATTCAGATTTAAAATGATTATTCTTACCACAACAATAACACTTTACTTGTACTTTATTTGACTGATCCGGGTTAATTGTGTTGACTTTAGGATTATATTTATTTTTTCTTGAGTGACATCGCTTAAATTGAAACATACTAGTTGTCTGGCTCTCCTCAGCAGATGTTGTAGGCTTTGAATGCATTAAGGCTGCTTCCACTGTTCTTGCTAATGTTACTAACTCTTCAAGTTTTTTGTTGCCACATTTCAGTAACTCAAATTTTATTAGCGGTGAAGAAACACCATCGATTAACTTTTCTTTAACTTGATCTTCAAAATCTTTAAATTCACATTTCTTTGCTGCTTTTTTCAGGCGTATTAAGTAATTTTCAATGTTTTCATCTTGTTTTTGGTTACATTTCCTAAATTGAGCTCGATCAAGTGGCACAGAAGTTGATTTAGCATAACGGTCTTCTAAAATTTTTATCAATTCACTGTAGCTCTTTTTAATCGGATTAACTGGTGTGCATTTGTGATTAAGAAACTCCAAAACCTTTGGGGTCAATTTTGTGATTAACAATGCTACTTTTTTTTCTTCTGGTACATCATTTAACGTTATTAAGCATTGCATTTGTGTTTCGAACGTGTCGAAGTCACGTCCGTCGAAAATTTCTATACTGCTTATTATGTTTGTAGGCATTTTACTAAAATTTTCTACGTTTACCAACTTAATACCAGCTTTAATAGCGGCGCGTAGTGCTTTTCTTAACTCCTCCAAATTGCGATCTTGATGAATCACGCCTAATTCTTTGCACAAAGTTATTAACTCTTCTTTGCATAAATTCTGAATAAAAGATGTTTTCTTGTTTAGAATATCTTTGCTATAAGTTATGGACAAAGACATAAGTTTTGTCACGTGGTTAGGCTATAGATTGAAGATATGTAAATGTCTCAAAATGGCTGCGCTTGCACTTCTCAAAATTTTCTTCTTACTTTTATATAACTTATACTGTATTTTAAATAATAACTCCAAATATAAGTTTTTATTCTCACTTTTTCCCTCGTCGCCAATTGTTATACTTTGTAATAAAAGATGAATAATTAATTAATATTCACTTTAATTCCGGAAGACGTTGTTACACGTTAAACGGAAAGATGGCAAGAGAGAGTGTTGCCAGTCAACCAAAAGTAACACCCAAAAACTCAAGTTATGACAAGTAACAGATTCATTTTGAACGTTTACTGGGATTTTGTTGTAAAAGCGTATATCTTGTCTCATAAAGGATTTACTTATTCTACGCAATCGAGTTGAGGGTAGAACTAATTTATGCTTGTTCCTAGTATTTACATCATGCACATTACTAAACGTTGAAAAGTCATTTTTATTTTTATGGGCGAAAGAAAAAAGATAGATAAAAGAATAACGATTAATAAGATGTAAATATCAAGATTAAGATTAATTGTTATTATTAAGATTAATTGTTATTGTAGATAAGTATTTATTTATTTCATTCATTTAGTTAACTCACACCTTTATTCCTAAATTAATTTCTTTTTAGTCCATCAAAAACAGAGCCGTGATATCTCAGTGTCCGGGCGCTCGCCTTTAATTCAATATACTCGAGCAACCTGAGTTCGATCCCCGGTGCCGGCACCAATGAAGTTTTTAACTTTAAGTGCTGACTTATCACGTGCTCCGCGGTGAAGTCAAAACAGCGTGATGAAACCTGCATATTTTCGAAATAATAACAAAAAAAATTATATATTTCGAAGATACGTGAAGTCCGCCAATCCGCAGTGGGGCCGCGTGGTGGACTATGCCCTGAAACCCTCTGTATAGAGGAGGCCTTTGTCCAGCAGTGGGACATGTATAGGCTTTTACTTTACTTCTTTACTTACCATCAAAAGGTTGCCTGGAAGAAACTACTCTTAATAATAAGACCGCCCATTGTACCCATCGCTTCTACATTAAGTTTTAATTTTTGTTTCTTTTATTTTTGGTATGCAATAAAGTATATTCATTAATTCAAAGATAGAGTCGTTGGAGCAGCACGCCGTGGGAAGCTGTCTACAGAAATCACTTACGGTACAGCCCATATTTCGTCATCAGCTGCATGGTGGTGAAACTGTCCAGGAGCCAGCCGAGGTTCTCCGACTTGAACTTCACCTCGCTGCCGTCTTGCGCCTTCACGTGGATCACGCCGTTCCTCTCCTGGGAGTAAAGGAAACCAGGAGTTTTTCAACTTCCCATATGTGGCGCATGTGGTAAGGGAGCAAGCGAGCTTTTCGCCTGATGTTAAGCGATGACCACCGCCCCTGGACCCAATACCCATAGGCTTAACGATATGCCATCCCGCAATAAAGTGGGCCCCGGCCACCTCTGTCACCAGAAACGCAGAACTATAACACTTCCAGTTTACACCGGCATTCTGTCAGGACCTGCCCTCTCCTGCAACAGGGATAACTGTTGCGTGGGCCTACCACAGTCAGATTATCGAAACTGACAGAGATACATATGTGGTGTAGAAGGTGTGAAAGAAAGGCTTAGAGTGTACTGCAGAAGTAAACATAAGCGAAGCTAAGGTTTTTTTTTCTATGTGAAAAGTTGCCAAACGAGCAAACGGTTCACTTGATGTTAAGTGAATACCGCCGCCCATGGACATCTGCCACACCCGAGGGTTACAGATGCGTTGAAAACCTTTTGAAAATTGGGCTCCGGCTACCTCACTCACCAGACGAAACGCGAAAGTATTTGTCACACTTCCCCTTTACGCTGGTCTTCTGTGAGGTCGTGGTACTTACCCGGACGGGCCTGCCCATTCGTGCAGCAACCGACGCTGCTACGTGGCTCTACCACCGTTAAACCGATAGTGCAGTAAGGTGCGCTAATGTAGAGAGAGGAGGTCCTAACTTCATACACGTATATTACGGTGGTAGGGCCACGCAGCAGCCTCGGCTGTTGCACGAATGGGCAGGCTCGTCCGGGTAAGTACTACCTCACAGAAGACCGGGGCAAGGTGGAAGGATATTACTTTCGCGTTTCGTCTGGTGAGTGAGGTAGCCGGAGCCCAAGTTTCAAAAGGTTGTCAACGCATCTGTAACCCTCGGGTGTAGTAGATGTCCATGGGCGGCGGTATTCACTTAACATCAAGTGAACCGCCTACTCGCTTAGCTTGTGACATAAAAGTAAAAGAAATATACCTTCATGTCGGCCACAGCGTTCACGGAGTCCTTGTCGTACCGCCCAGTGAACAGCTCCTTGGCCGTCTCCAGGGCCCTTTTCGGCAGCAAGTGGCGCACCAGGTCGATGCCTTGTTTCTGTAACAGACACACGCTATGTAGAGACGGAAGAATTTCAATTGTGCGATACTAGAAAGCTCTACGTAGCGTACATAAATCTATGTAGAGACGAAATGTTAATACATGCAAACGTATAAAAAAGAATAAAGTAAAGTAACAGCCTATAAATGTTGCACTGCTGGACAAAGGCCTCCTCTATAGAGGTCAGGGCATAGTCCACACGCGACCCCACTACGGATTGGCGGACTACTCGTTTTCGAAATATTTTTTTTTTGTATTTTTTTCGATATCATGCAGGTTTCCTCACGATGTTTTCCTTCACCACTGAGCACGTGATAAGTCAGCACTTAAAATTAACAATTTGATTGGTGCTGGCATCGGGGATCGAACTCGGGTTACTCGATTAAATAAGTATAATAATACATACCAACGTATATTATATCTTATTTTATTCTTATTTTCGAACCGTGGGGTAAAATAGTTTAATTTAATGTAACGTTTAAATGCATTATTAATTGACCATTTTCTATGAGAAAAGCTACCTGACACTCGACAGAAAGACAGAGGATAATTGCATAGGCGAACAGTTAGATTGTAATTTCAGGACATATTTAATTGCCCCTTAAATGTATTTTATTGGTGCGCCGATTGAAGTAATAAGATATTTACTGAAATTATCATTAAGTATTTAGAACGTTTATAACCTCAGATTGGGTCGATTTATGCAATGTGCAAATAAATCGTTTAATTTCGCTAATCATTTTATTTATTTTTAGAGGTGTTTTATTACATACACTTAAATAATAAAGGAATTTAATCAAAATACAATTAGTCGCTTTCAATTCGTGTTTTTGATTTCCACGCGAAACAATAATTTGTGAGAATAACAGGAAAAAAATCATAATGTTATTTTAGTCTCAATTACATCTTATTAATATTTGTAATCTAAATAAATAAATATTTTAGGACACATATATTTAGGACACAACACAACGTTCTCTAGTCCCAAACTAAGCAACGCTTGTACTATGGACACTGGATAACTGATAAACATACTTAAACATACTTTTGTAAATAAATACATATTATTCATATATAAACACCCAGACACTAGAAAAACATTAAGTTCATCACACAATATTTTTCAAGTAGCGGGGATCGAACCCACACCCTATGACGCGGAAGGCAGGTACACCACCCACTAGACCATTCGGGTTGACTCGAACTAATATTTATACTGACTAAATTTCAAATGCACCGACATGAAATATTACTCACCCCCTCCACATGGAACTCTACGTGCCTCTCCAGGGCTCCGTTAGAGGTCCTCGGGGTGCCCTTGTAGCGGACCCTCAACTTGTTCTCGGCCCTCTCGTAGCAGGTGCGGTACTCCTTGGAGAAGTCCAGCAGCAGCACGACCTGGCCCTGGTACGCGGACGGGTACGAGTAGAGGTCCTGCTCCGCGGAGGTCTGGGTCGACACCTCTTGGAGGTAGCACAGCTGCAAAAGGCAGGGTGTGAAAATGTTGACCAAGTGACTTTGAACATGCTTCACTCTGCGGTAGAGTCAGGCTTTGGCGTAAGCTTTTGATTGAAAAAACTAGACTTGGGACCAAACCACGACTTAGTGAAATTTTGATAGTGATATTCAGTGGTATTAAGACCACGCATTAGTGATTTATCGGATAACTTCCGGTGACAATCTGTGGTAACTTTCAAAGGTAGGCAACATAAACACAGTATCTTGTCAGTAATGTTACGAATTTCCAGGAATTCATATCGTTGGAAATGTAGTCACTCACAACCAATAACGGGCATTGGAACAACTAATATTGTACCAATTTTCGTGTAAGAAGAAATAGGATCCAGTCGGGAGAAATGTTTAATGCTTTGACACTGTTGTTGTGTTTTTAAGGTTCCGTACCCAAAGGGCAAAACGGGACCCAATTTGTAAAACTCCGCTGTCTGTCTGTCACGTCCACTTTTATATTCGACCACGGGATCACCCCCCTTCCAGACCTGCTAACCAAAACCCCTGTCAAATAGTACGCTTACTCTACGCCATCCTTACCCGGATATATCTATCGCTGATGTTGTGGAACGTATCGGGCAGTTTGCCCCTGATGGCGAGCTCCGCCGTCAAATTGCCGTCTTGGCTCCTGGCGCTGGCTTCAGAATAGATCTTGATCACTGGGTCCTCGCGGTTCCGGTTCAATCTGCGGTGGTGGTAGCGTGGTAGAGGGAAGTGGTGGAAAAAAATAGCATAAGCAAAGAAGGACAATGAGGTTCATCATTACCAAGCACTTTCCCTGGTAACAGTACTATAGACACCATGCAATAGATACACTTAATAATAGACTAATTTCGATCTTGAGTAAAAGCCGAAAAATTGCGTCTGGCCTCTATTCTTAATCGTCATTTTTTTTAATATTTGAGCTAAGAAGTAAGGCTTACCTACGACGCTACAATACTACGTAGCACTCGCGTAGCACGTAGATATTTTGTTTTAAACCGAAACTAGCCAGCGCTCGACTGCCATCTTGCTTGCATGGTAAGTGGCAATGCAGCCGTTGGTGGTAAGCGCGCCGGCTTTTAAAAAACCTATTCACTCTTCCCTTGAAGAAGCAAGACTTCTCTTATTTACATGTAGAAGCTGACGGCGAAGCTGAAGTCCACGTCGATCTTGTCCTCCTCGCGGAGGAAGTCCCACTTGTTGACGCCCAGCTCGAGCACCACCTTGCCCTCGCCGTAGTTGCGCAGGCTGGAGACGAAGATCGTGGCCCCGCAGGTGCCCGAGGGCGGGAAGTTCAGCAGCAGCACGCTGTCCAGGGCGATGTGCGAGGAGCGCAGCGGCGTCAGCAGGCTGGACGAGCAGGTCGAAGTCAAAGCACAAGCCATCGTAGTGTGGGAATGGTACTTTAATGATCGAGCTGACCAGTTCGTATTCACCCTAATTTTAAGTTATACTCAACCGATCGACTAGGTATTTAAAAAAAGAAGAGACAGCAGAGTCCAAGCAAAATTTCTTTATTCAATATAAGCTTAACTTAAGCTCTTTTTGAACGCCAAAAAAATCTATCACCGGTTCACTAAACTAGACCTGAACAGAGAAGAACAGACAAGAAACTCTTATCTCTTCTTTTGTTTTTGTTTTGTGATATAATTATACAACCTTATTTATGGATAAAATCAGCAGTAGCTATGTTTGCAAGTGCAGAGCAAGAATCATTTCCAAGAAGTGACAGCTTAAAGACTCTTCATGAGACATAGCGATATTCGTCAAGACAGAGTAATATGACTGTGGCATGAGGGTGAATGAAAACGAGGGTGTTATATGGCTGTAGCAGTAGAGTTTCGGACGATGTATCACGAGGGTGATGAACAGTGTTAGCGAATAGTTCCTAGTACTGATATCATCAACATAGTAATGTGCGTGATATCAATACGAATAAGAAGGGACTTAAGCCAGTGAAGTAACGCAAGAAGTGACTCAAGTCAAGTCACCAGATCCGGCACTCTAACAAATTCTAATTGATTTCAAATTTTTGTAGATAATCGGTGTTGCGGGATTCTAACCTGCGTGTGAGACGGATTCGAGCCCGGACACTTCACTAACTAAGATTAACGGCCGCCGACTGCACAGTGCGAAAATCTTGACATTACCAGTCAGTTTTTTTTTTTAACCGACTTGAAAAAAGGAGGAGGTTTCTCAATTCGACCGTACATATTTTTATTTTTTGATGTGTGTTCGCGGATAACCTCGTCGTTTATGAACCGATTTAGATGATTATTTTTTTATCCGAAAGGATCCGAATGGATCTGATGATGGCATCCCAGAGAAATCGAGGGCCATCATTGAATGTTATAAGTATTAACGATGTTTTTAATTTTCTGATTGAAGTCGGTTTTTTTTTTTTTTGTTAAAAATTATTTTACTTTTTCTATTGCATTTTCAGCAATGCTTGGCATGATCTAGTGTTTACCGACGTCATATGTCAAGATTTACTATGCACAAGTAGACTGCACAAGTAGACTGCACAGAATAAGTAAATCTTTTATGGGACAATGTTTTTTTTTTTTTTTTATGTGAAAAGTTGCCAAACGAGCAAACGGTTCACCTGATGTTAAGTGAATACCGCTGCCCATAGACATCTGCTACACCCGATGTGTTTTTAAATGCGTTGACAAAATGATTTTTGGAAATGATAACACCTACTCACTCACCAGACGAAATCGCGAAAGTATTTGTCAGGCTCTTTCACTTTACAGAGTTCTTCTGTGTAGGTCGTGGTACTTCCCGTAACGACCTGCCCATTCGTGCAACTCGCTGAGTTTGCTTTCGCGTGGTTCTTCCACCGTTAAAGTAGTGTATACGTTTCTTTTCAACAAAATCCCAGGTAAAACGTTCAAACGCATCAATAGGCTAAATTAAAAAAGTAATAAAACAACTACGTTGTGTTTTAAAAGCTATTATAGATTAATGATTTTTAAATGATGACATCACTCTAGTAATTAATTGATCGCTCCAGGCTCTTTCACGAAACCAGAATGACATTTGTAATATATTCATGTAACACAGTTAATTAAAAAAAAACTCGCTGAGTCATCAGCTTTCGTCGGTTTTCTTCGCTCCGTACAGTGGCTTTCTTCAGTGAAATGGTGGTCCGCTTTTGTCCCTCTAAAATGAAATATTAAGTAATACTCCTACGTTGAACAAAGATATTTGATTTGATTTTCGCGCTGTGAGGTCATCGGCCGCTTAGCTTATTTGTTAAAGCGTCTGGGCACGAAACCAGAAGACCTCTACCCTCTATTCGGATATCAATTCTTACTCGAAAACGTGAGTCATCAGCTTGTCGGTAGTTTCCGCTCCGGACAGTGTTTGCTCGTCAGTGATGCTCTCCGCTTCGTCCCTCTAAAATGAAAAATTAAGGATATTCACTTAACATATAATTAAAAAATAAACCATAAAAATTTTAATTTCTAAAATGCAATGGCGACGTCTCTCGTTCGAACTATCGTTGTGAAACGTTATTCGAAATTGTTTGTATGCTCGAAAGGATATAACAATGGATACGCCAAGTATTGCTTCAAATGCTAAAAACCAATGTAGGTAAAAAGACGTTAAGATTTTCGTCGGTGTGGCTATCAGCCGTTTAGCTTAGTGGCTAAAGCGTTAGGGTGAGAAAACCCGAAGACGTGGGTTTGATTTGAAAAAGTATTCTCTTTTTTTTCTACAAATAATGTTTACTCTTAAGTGCAGACATTAGACTATCAAAATTTAACTTTTTAAATCAGTGTACAAATAAAAAATAAAATGTGTCTGTAAATCGTGTTACAATAAATAAATATTAATATTTCACATGAAACATTAATATTGATACGTTTTTGCAAAAGTAAAGTCCCAAAGTAAGTACAGATAGTATTAATCCATTGTATGCCCTTTATAGCTGTTTTATTCGTAACTGATTGAATATATAAAAATATTTTATTTCTGTAAATAAATAAATATCATTAAATAATATAATCAGACAGACCAACACAGTAATGTCAGAAGACTCTCCATGATTCTCTTCATGAGATTATACAGCGTGTCGTTACCAACGCGACAATAAATGAACACACGTCTAACGCTACTTGCCAATAATCATAAAAAAATATTAACGTTAAACAAAATCCATAATTCAAAAAATATTTTTCAAACAAACTAATTAAGTAAAAAAGAAACAAAATTTGTAACACCTATACAACTCGCGCCACAGCGTCACATTAGAAGCCTCTCCTTCTAACAGTATGTTTTGTCTCTTTTAAATTCATTCAACCCATTCATATGATTTGTGACCTTTACAAATGAACTTTAAGTTACAGTTTTATACGTAAGGTGTTCTAAAATTCTTTGTTTTGGAAAATTTTATAACTCTGTAAATATTGATGTTTAAAGAATATGTAAATGTATACAATTTTAAAAAGTTATCCCCTATATGTGTGTTCATTTATTGTCGCGATTGTAAAGACACGCTGTATACATGATGATAATTATAGCGATATTCGTCTAAGACAGAAATATATGGCTGTCGCAGTGGAGGTTTAGTTTAACATGATGTATCACGAGGATCATGAATGTTTGCGAATGACCTCACCTCGCAGGTATCTTTGCCGGTGATCACGATGTTCTCGAAGCTGCCGTCGACGGTCACCATGTTCACCAGCACGCGCGAATGCAGCGCCAGGCCGGCGCGTTGAGTGAACGGGAACAGCAGAGTGAGCCTGGCGGAGGATGGCCAAGGATGGGTATGACAAGTTTCGCGACAAGCCTGTCGTTGTATTTTAATAACCAGCGACCCACCCCGACTTCGCACGGGTGCAATGTATTATAAACATAAACCTCACTCTTGAATCACTCTATCTAGTAAAAAGCGAATCAAGATCCATTGCGTAGTTTTAAAGATCTAAGCATACATATATAGGGACAGACAGACAGCGGGACGACTTTGTTTTATACTATGTAGTGACCGGCTATGTATAGACAATAAATCGGACATATACAGCTTTCTTACGATGCTGCTCTCTCGGCAAACCAATAATTTTCAGTTACATCTATTTATAGATGCACCACATATACACGGGGTGATTTGATCTCTTGTCATATACCGAAGCTAAACCTAGTAGTCCAAAAGGTCGATGTGATTTATATGAAAAGTTGCCTAGCGAGCAGACGGTTCACCTGAAGTGAATTCCGCCGCCCATGGACATGGGACACCCGAGGGTTCCAGATGCTTTAACAGCAGACTTAATATTACTGGCGACTTATTCGTCGCCGAGTCTTCTTCTTCTTTCTTCTTTCTCCTACCCTTATCCTACAATATATTGGGAGGAAAGGACATGTTGTGCCCCACTCACATGTCCTGATTATGTTTAAATTTGAATAATTGTTTATGTTTTAAATATTTTAATGGAAACAATTTATCATCAAATTGACATTTGCATGCTGAAGTCAGCTGAATGCGTTGCACCGAATTGTTGAAGTTATACTTCTTTAGGCGCGTTATGAAAGAATGATAAGAGTGAAATTTTAAGATGCGCGCGCATCACTGTAACACAAACGTCTAATGTCTGTACTAGCTGTCAACTAAACCACTTAATTTCTTATAGATGGCATCATATTCTCAATCATATTCACCCGTTACAGTTCTCAATAAAGAATGTAGATGGCGCTTACATAATTTTATTATTTTCATTATTTACATCCTTTACCAGTCCTTTTATTATTTTATGATAATTAATTTTTTGCATGCAAATAAAAACTATCTTTTAATGATGCCAAAGAAGTAAGACTTCTCACGCGCGTTCATAAGTACACGATCCCATACGTAGACAATCATTCATTCATTAATTCCGATTTACTCTGGAATGAATGAATGAGTGAATGTCTTTATTTTTTCTCTATCAGCCGTCATCTCAACACCGATCCCTTTTCCTACATCGTCGAGTATCATTCGCTGTAACACTCACTGTATTTTCCTTTCGGAGAATGGGTAGGAGACGTTGAACCTCATCGGGAGCAGGGCCACGATCGATTGTTGTATCCTCGTCGTGTGCTCCGACAGGAGAATCGGTCCGTCCGTCGACAGAGAGGTCACGGCGGTCCCTTGGTACCTGCAAAGGTCGGGTTCAAGGTCGCTCCTCAAGTTATGAGTCCACTATTCGATATAATCTTGTTTGATTAAACAAAGCCCTTACAATATGGCCTTCGGGCACACGAATACATCTTAACTCTGACCTTATGAATCAGAAATCGAGTCTACGGTATATTATTGAGACTTGTTCTTTAAGATTATGTGATATTGACTATTGTTCAGTAAACATGGTTAAATATTGTTACTTTATTATTGTCCATTAAGTGGGAAAGTTATAATATATATATATATATAAAACATATATTTCAAATTAATTTTCTTCAGATTCATCATCACCATAATCATCAGCCGCAAGACGTCAACCGATGAACATAGCCCTCCCTCTAATAATGCCATGACAACAGACACTTTGCCATTTGAATCCACCAGTTTCTAGCGACTCTTACGATAGATTTTCGTGCAGTTTTAATAATTTTTTTTATAAATAAATATGTGGATATACATAATGGAATATCGGATATGCAAAGCATGTGAACTTTATTATGACATTATAATATTACTAGCTGCCTCGGCAAACGTTGTTTTAAAATATAAATTATTTCTAGGGAATTTGTCAATCTGAACACATAGAAAGAGAATTTTCGGAATGCACGCATAAAGCGTTTGACAGGTTACACAGATACTGTTGACAGGTACAGTTTGTATGGGAAAATAAAATTGTTGCTATTTCAATTTTCCGTGCAATTTTCCATAATTTCTCATCGTTTAAACCTTCCCTGGACTGCCACAAATATTTCAAAATCAAAATTAGCCAAATCGGTCCAGCCGTTCTCGAGTTTTAGAGAGACTAACGAACAGCAATTGATTTTTATATTTATAGATGATAGATCATTGAAAATAAGCGAAGCAAAGAGTCAATTTCAAACATAACTTATTTTACTTACTTAATATTGCCTTGTTTTATGGACATCGAGCGCAAATTTCGGAGAAATAATTTATTACATTTTTTAATCCCAAATTTTTTTATGTTTTCGACGGAATTCTAGGAAAGCGTTTCATTAATGTTTCTACGGCGGGTCTAGAGATTATCAGGCGCTCAAGAAATAAACCAAAATAAATCGAGTTGGTACTGGAGTGTGAAGTTTAAAAATTAAAATTGCTGTACACTCAGGTTCTACTGTGGTAGAACCACGAAACAGCTTCGGCTATTTACTAAATATTATTATTACTGTCAATGTTACGAGTACTATTAATACTATAAATATTATATTATATAATATAAATATTATGTAGTCTGGGTGATCATCTTTTCCATAATAACACTTTCTTAATTCCTCCAGCGTTAGTTTTTTATTAATTCTTTTGTTATTTCATACATGAGGTAATTTAAGTACCATATTTAAAGAAGCGTAAGGAGGAAACTCACTTAGTACGGTTAGTTATACCATAAAATCTCACGGTGGTAGGGCCACGAAGCAGCCTCGGCTGTTGCAAGAATGGGCAAGGCCGTCCGGGCAAATACCACGATTTCACAGAAAACCAGCGTAAAGTGGAAGTATGACAAATACTTTCGCGTTTCGTCTGGTGAGTGAAGTAGCCGGAGCCCAATTTTCAAAACGTTAGGTTAGGTTAGGTCAGGTAAATAGCCGATATAAGTCCCACTTCTGGGCAAAGGCCTCCTCCGTAAATAAAGTATAGGAGCACAGTCCACTACGCAACTCCACCACAGATTGGCGGACTTCACATATCTTCGACATATTTTTTTTGTTACATTTCGAAAACATGCAGGTTTCCTCACGATGTTTTCCTTCACCACTGAGCATGTGATAAGTCAGCGCTTTAAATTGACAATCTTATAAGTGCCGGCACCGGGGATCGAACTCGGGTTGCTCGAGTATATGGAATTGAAAGCGAGGGCCCGGACAATGAGCTATCACGGCTATGATATCTTAACTCAAGATAAGTACCTAACTACTTATTTATTAGCGCGAAGTTCCGTCTTGTGTTTTGGCATCTGTGTTTTTTTGAGACACTATCCGTTCCTACATCTCTACAATATATATCTAATATAGTGGTGTATGTAGTAATGTCTACATATGATGACTCCGTGACGCAGTTGCTGAGGTATTGGCTTCGGCGTCGGGGGTCGTGCGTTCGATCCCCACACGGGACAACTATTTGTGCGACCCACAGATGTTGTTTCGCATCTGGCCGTTCGTCCGCGTGAAATTTACATTTAACACAGGATAATGTTATCTCGTAGAACCGATAACCGTTGGGGAAGAAAGGTTCTCGAGTGGCAGCCTCGTACTGGCCATCGCAGTGTGGGACGACCCCCCACTAGATGGAGTGACGACCTGTGCAAATGTGCGGGAAGTCGATGGATGCAGGTGGCTCAGGATCGTACTTCGTGGCAGTCTATGGGGGAGGCCTATGTTCGGCAGTGGACTCAAACAGGCTGAAATGATGATGATGATGATGATGAATGTTATCCTAAGGTAAGGGCAATGTTTTTAAGTTTAAAACTAAATGTTCCTAATGCTCTGTAATGTTCCTGCACTGTACACATCGCACTTACGTGATCTGCAAGTCATTCTCCCAGGTCAGGCGCTCCGAGTCCGGGTCGGCCGTCAGATTGCCCCTTACCGAGGAGAACCCCACTATGGTCCTCTGAAGCCTCACGGGAGTACCTATATATAACAAGTATAATTTTGAACAAAAAAAAACCGACTTCAATCAGAAAATTAAAAACGTTGTTAATAAATATAACATTCAATGATTGCCCTCTATTTGTCTGGGATGCCATCGTCAGATCCGGGTTTGCTTAACATGGTATCAACCTTGGGATATCACCTTTCCGACAAAAAAAGAATCATCAAAATCGGCTCATAGGCGACGGAGTCATCCGCGAACACACATAAAAAAAAATAAAAATATATACGGTCGAATTGAGAAACCTCCTCCTTGGTTAATAGTGTAATACAATAATATAATATAATAATGTAATATTTCTACACAACATTCTCTAGTTGCAAACTAAGCACTATATGAAAAATGGGTACTAGATAAGTGTGTGGTACGTTTATATACTTCAACATACTTTTCTGTCGTTTTATACTAATATTATAAATGTGAAAAAAATTTAAAAGTGGTAGGGCCACGTACTTTCTTAAGAGGTGGCAACGCATCTGCAACCCTACGGGTGTTGCCAATGGCCATGGCGGCGTTTATCACTTAACATCAGACATGCAGGCTTCTCCACCGAGGATAGTAGGTTCGATCCACAGAAGCTGCACAGGTTCCGAATATGACTGCTGTTCCCAATGAGGGACCAACGAATACGTAGGGTATTCGTTGGTCCCTCATTGGGAACAGCAGATCATCTCAGAAATCTCAGAAATCTCAGCATCTCAGAAATACCATCGTCACTATGTGAATGCCGGACACATGTAATCAAAGTTCAAAATCAACAAGCCAAAGTTTTGGATACGTTTCGCTGTTGGTGAACATTTTAAAATGTATAGACATATGTCTTTACTATTTATGGGGTCGTCAGAGATATCTGGTGACAAAACTGTTCATATTGGAGCAATTTTAATGCAGAAATAGTTTTAGTCAAATTGACTATCCAATACATGTACCATTTTTGCAACAGTAACGCTATTATTAAAATTTGTAGAAAAAGTACGAAAAGATTGTCGCCGCTGTGGGAACCCACGTCTTCGTGGCCTGACGCTCTAGCCACTGAGCTAAACGGCTGATTGCCACACCGACTAAAATCTTAACGTCTTTTATCTACATTGTTTTTTTAGCATTTGAAGCAAGCAGCGGAAGCAAAATTTATATATCTTAAGCGCAGAGATTGATGATTGATTGATGAGAAGAACACGATAAAAAATTTAAAGTTCTAAGTAACGCTACTATTTACTATCCAAATGAAATTTTATTTGTAAGTCAATCTGACTATCCGAGTCACTTTTTATTTGTTAGTCAATCTGACTATCCAATTAACAAGTTGTTCTTTACCCTACAACAGAAATAAAACTCACCCAACTCGCTGGCGATGTTCCAGTCCATCTGGAATGGGTAGTAGACCAGTTGCTGGTTTATGTGACTACCGTACTTCAGGAAGTCGTCAATCAGCTTGAACACTGGAAATGGTTACTTGGATCACTTCGTGGCGCAGTTGCCAAGCTATTGGCCTCGACGCCAAAGGTCATGGGTTCGATTCCCGCTCGAGTCAAATATTTGCGTGACCCACAGATTGTTTCGGACCAGGGTGTTTGACCACGTGAAATTTATGTATGTTATGTACGTCCTTACAACACAGGATAATGCTATCCTTAAGTAAGGGCAATGTAGTTTAAAACTACATGAAAAAGTTATTTCTCCGAATAAAGACGAGAATTTGCGCTTAACAATTAAAAAGCATGGGCAATAGTAAAGTTAAATCTGTTTCAAAAGGTCAGTAGGTAAACGTCAAAAGGTTTTGAGTCGTTTTATTTAAATTGATTTAGTTGAAACAGTTAGGAATTAAAATTGACAACATTTTCGTTAACAAAAAACAAAGGGGGGTCACACATAGACAGATTTTGTGTACATCTAATAGAATGCACATGCAACTTGCTTAAAGGTTGTATTCTTTAAAATTTATACAAAAGGGTACGAAAAGTTTCTTGCCGCTGCGCTGTGGGAAACGAACCCAAGTATTCGGGATTCGCACCCAGACTCTTTAACCACTAAGCTAAACGACCGATTTCCACACCGGCGGAAATCTCAACATGTGAAAAGTTGCCAAACGAGCAGACGGTTCACCTGATATTAAGTGAATACCGCCGCCCATGGACATCTGCCACACCCGAGGGTTACAGATGCGTTGACAACCTTTTGAAAATTGGCCTCCGGCTACCTCACTCACCAGACGAAACGCGAAAGTATTTGTCATACTTCCACTTTACGCTTCTCTTCGGTGAGGTCGTGGTACTTACCCGGACGGGCCTGCCCATTCGTGCAACAGCCGAGGCTGCTGCGTGGCCCTAACTCCACTAAACACACGTCTACATTGCTTATTAGCATTGAAGCCATGATCCCCCGTCCCCATCCATTGTTATATCCTTTACAGCATCCAATCAATTTGGAATATCGTTTTCAGCACATTTTAATGTTTCATATCAAATGTTTTATATGTATAAAAAATTTAAGAATTCAGTTTTGGAAACCTAGTAAAAACAAAATTATGTGAGCTCACATTCGTTGTAGCTTCGCGCCAACTCTGACTGGTTGATGTGGGTCGCGAAGACCGTCTTGTCGCCAATCTTCATCACGATGTCGATGTGCACCTGGTTATGAAGTTCCAACGTGGACTTTGGTGACGCTTAACCGCTCTATCCATAGATATTATGTCTATGGATAGTCAAATGGAGAGGAGAATGAGACGGAACAAAGCAAATTGGAGAGTGACAGAGAGGAAGGTAAATTGGAGTGAAGTTACAGCCTATACATCTCGCACTGCTGAGCAAAGGCGTCCTCTATACAGAGGGTTTCAGGGCATAGTCCACCACGCGGCCCCACTGCGGATTGGCGGACTTCACATATCTTCGAAATATTTTTTTATTGTTATTATTTCGAAAATATGCAGGTTTCCTCACGATGTTTCCTTCACCGCGGAGCACGTGATAATATAGCACTTAAAGTTAAAAACTTCATTGGTGCCGGCACCGGGGATCGAACTCAGGTTGCTCGAGTATATTGAATTAAAGGCGAGCGCCCGGGCAATGAGCTATCACGGCTCAGACAGGAAGGTAAACATAAGTTGTAAACATAAGCATCTATAAGTGATTAAAATTTTAAGCTGCGGCTTCCCAGTAACCCAGACACTAGGCTCTAAGTAGTCAAGATTTGTCTATGTATCCTAAGTTACGTATTATGTGCACAGATTAGCTAAAGACATAAAATTTAAAAATACGAGTGTCATCTATATACTTTAATTATTGATATTAATATGTGACTAGAATATAAGACAATGTGACTAGACTAATCGTGAACGAGTAACAAACATCCATACATAGAAACTTTGGTTATAATATTAGTAAGGGTAGCCTATGTATTATACAGATGTAAGGTTATATTACTGTAAGCTTCTTTAAAATTCATTCTGAAGTTTTTACAACTATTTTGTTAGCATACACCATGCCGCGTGGATTAGGTTTATTAGATAATACATAATTTTAGATAGATGTAATCTCGTAAATATTAGATCAATAAAGTTTATAAATATTTCATCATCATCATCATTTCAGCCTGTTTGAGTCCACTGCTGAACATAGGCCTCCCCCATAGACTGCCACGAAGTACGATCCTGAGCCACCTGCATCCATCGACTTCCCGCACATTTGCACAGGTCGTCACTCCATCTAGTGGGGGGTCGTCCCACACTGCGATGGCCAGTACGAGGCTGCCACTCGAGAACCTTTCTTCCCCAACGGTTATCGGTTCTACGAGCTATATGGCCGGCCCATCGCCACTTCAGCTTGCTAATCCTCTGAGCTATGTCGGTCACCTTAGTTCTACTGCGGATGTCTTCGTTACGAACTCTATCACGCAGAGAAATAGCGAGCATAGCCCGCTCCAAGCTCGCTGAGCGACTTTGAGCTTCCTCATACGGCCAGCAGTGAAGGACCACGTCTCGGTTCCGTAGGTCATCACTGGCAACACACATTGATTGAAGACTTTAGTCTTCAAACATTGAGGTATATTTGACGAGAAGATTTGCCGTAGTTTCCCGAACGCTGCCCATGCGTAGGGTGACTATGATTTTTTCCGGACATCCGCGGAAATCGAATGCCGAAGTTAGGGTGACCAAGACAAATGTTTTACATGGTCAATCCGGAAACATAAATAACTAACTTGAAAAATAAACTTACTACGCCTACTAGGTTGACCATGCAGGACGATTGTAATAGTAATCAAAAATTATTTTCTGATGTTGAGTCACAATTTTTATTAAATGGAGCGACGACATGTTCGAACATTTCTCGGTCGACTCTTGATTCAACTAATTCAGACGCTCATCCACAAGTGTCAGGCAGTCGTCAATCACAACGGAGACCGATTTTAGGAGTGGAAATTCTAGGTGTAAGGGGTACCGCACTATTAGATACAGGTGCTAAAGGGTGTATTGCGGGTGCTTCCTTATATCAGGTGTTGCTTAAACATAATCATTCCTGTCAAGAAACCACTAAACGCGTTCGTCTCGCTGATGGCTCCGTGCAGATTCGTGAGTTGTTGGTTACTAACCTGCAAGTAAAAATAAAAAATAAACTGTTGTGTTTGGAGTTCATTATTTTTCCAGAGATAAAATCCAATGATACTATTCTTGGTATGGATTTTATTGCCTCAGCGGGGATGGTGTTCGATTTCGACGCTTCAATTTGGTATTTCTCTGGTGATGAAGTGACTTACCCATTGGAATATGAACTTTCCAGACCATGCCTGTCCGTATCCTCTGCAGATTTCCTACGTGAGGAAGAAGGAGTTATGCTGCATCCTGAAGAGAGACTGCTGTTGTCCGACCTCCTGAAACAGAACAAAGACCTGTTCGAACAAGGGGGAGGGCCAACTCCCTACGCAGAGCATCACATCGACACCGGCGATAATGCTCCTATTGCCGTTCCACCGTATAGGCTCACTCCAGCAAAAAAAGAGATAATGAAGGCAGAGTTGGAGAAAATGTTAGCAGACGACGTGATTGAAGAGTGTGAGTCTGCGTGGTCTGCACCTGCTCTTCTTGTCCCGAAAAAGGACGGATCTTTTAGGTTTTGCGTCGACTAACGTCGCCTTAATGCGATCACCAAGACCGATAGATATCCAATTCCCTTAATCGATGATTTATTGCAGATGACCAAACGGGATTGTCACAAGTCCACCATTGACCTACGTCCCGGATATTGGCAAGTCAATGTAGCTGAAAAGGACAGAGACAAAACTGCTTTTATAAGTCCTTTTGGTACGTATAGGTTCAAGCGCATGCCCTTCGGCCTAAAAAATGCACCAGCTACCTTCCAGCGACTGATCGATCGTTTCCGCTCAAGCTCTTCGCTGCAGGACATCACTCTGTTGGCTTATTTGGATGACATCCTGGTGATCACCCAGGGAAGTTTTCAGGACCACCTTCAGGATCTTGACAAGGTGTTTGATAGACTGCGTCACTTTAGACTCCACGCGAACCGCGCCAAATGTCACTTTGTTCGCCAGGAAGTTATATACCTAGGCCATGTGATCACACCCAAAGGAATCAAGCCGGATAGCGCCAAAGTCGACGCCGTCCTGAAAATGAAAGAACCACACAATCTCAAACATTTGAAATCATTTTTACAGCCCTGTTCCTGGCTTAGGAAATTTATTCCTGATTTCTCGCGCATTGCTGAACCTCTGTCGAAACTTACCCGCAAAAACGAGGCGTGGACCTGGGGTGAAGCACAGCAACGCGCCTTCGACCTGCTAAAGAGTAAGCTTACTAGCGCTCCTATTTTGATACAGGCCGACTACACCCAGCCCTTCTTGCTGCGCACCGACGCCAGCAATTATGCTCTAGGGGCTGCACTGTTACAAGGTGACAATAACAATGAAAAACCAATCGAATACGCCAGCAGACTTCTGACGTCAGCCGAGAGGAATTACTCTACCACCGAGCGGGAAGCGCTCGCAGTTGTCTGGGCAGTAGAAAAGTTCAGGGGATACATTGATGGCCATCTATGCATAGTCAAAAGTGACCACCAGCCACTTAAGTGGTTGCTTACACTCAAGTCCCCCAGTGGTCGTCTCATCAGATGGGCCCTGAAACTCCAGGCGTTTGATCTCAAGATAGAGTACCCTCCAGGTAAAGTTAATACCTTAGCTGATACTTTGAGTCGACCTACCTACCTGTAACGGTATCAACGAGTGCGAAGTGTGTTTCGTATCCGTCGACTTACCTCAAGCACTGTCGAGCCAACTGCCCGAGCAGCTTGAAGATCCAGAAGTGGCTAAAATTATTCAAGACCTAGAAAGCATAGACGAACTTACCTCTACTCGGTGGCTGGAACGTGGATATGTACTGCAGCAGGGCGTGTTATATCGTTATGATCCAGATAATGACTCCGAAGAAGCGCAGATGGTAGTGCCAATTTCCAAAAGGGAAGAAATTTTAAAGTCGTTTCACGATTCCCCAACTGCTGGCCACCAGGGTATTGAGCGGACTCTGCAGCGCATCCGTGAGCACTTCTTTTTTCCCGGAATGCGTCGTTACGTCACAGAGTACCTAAAAAACTGTGTGGACTGTCTCAGGTATAAAGCCGCGAACCAAAAACCAGCTGGTCTCCTCCAGACACCCGTCCTCCAACAAAGATCTGAAGTCCTTGCAGTGGATCTTTTCGGTCCCCTGCCTGAAGGTGATCAAGGACAACGTTGGGTCCTTCTTGTTGAAGACGTAGCTACCAGGTGGGTGGAGCTGTTCCCGCTTGTGGAGGCCACAGCAGAAAATTGCGCCAAACTTCTTATAGAAGAATACTTTCTCAGATATGGATTGCCACGTCGAGTTGTGTCCGATAACGGCACTCAATTCATATCCTCAGTAATGCAGCTGTCGATGTTTATTTTAGGGGTTAAACAAGAGCTTATCCCAGTTTACCACCCTGAAGCTAATCCAAAAAGCGAGAACTCAAGGTACAACTGTCTTTGTTATTAAAAACCGAACACCGGAACTGACCTAAATATCTTGCCCATGTTCGGTTCGCTATGAACAGCGCCGTCTGTTCCACCACTGGGAAGACCCCAGCTTTTTTAACGTTCGCTCGCGAACTTCGCACGCCTTTCGAGGTGCACCATGATCTACGTGCAATCTTGGATAAAGAAAACTTTGTTCCTTCGGCCACACCATATTTGCGTTCCTTCGTACGTGCCTTACAGGATATTCGAGAACGTGTTGAGAAAAAACAAGATCAGCGTAAGGAGATAGGTGATGCTGCACGCCGTCCTGTACCTTCTTATAAAAAGAATGATTTGGTCTTGGTCAAAACCCACGTACTGAGCAATGCTTCGAAAGGAACTACTCGCAAATTCATGCCAAAACGAGATGGCCCATATCGCGTTAAACGAGTTGTAACTCCCACTACTTTTATACTTTCGAATTTGACTCACGACGACACTGCCATAGGTAAATATCACAGTTCGGACCTGACCCCCTTTACTCAAAAGATAACAAGCAGACCACACCCGTTATTCCAAAGAAAGGTAGGGGTAGGCCGCGTATTAAACAGTCAGGTACCAAGTTGGGCCCGGGACGTGTTACCAACTTGGAGGGGGAACCTATAACGCAACGGAACTCTTTGGAACGCGCACTTGAATCCCGTCAACGCGTCTCACGCGACGCGCCTCAACCGAATGTAATTGGTCCACGACCGCGCCGTCATCGCAAGCTCCCACCGCGCCTGCGCGACTAGACCGACGCCGAATCCTCCATCTTTTTTGCGGTTGATGTGTGACGCGTACGTTTAAAAAACTATTATTAAACTAGACGAACGAATATTACAGAGTTTGAGTTTTACTACAAAGCAACCCACGAATTCACCACTCAATAACATTAAAAGAGCCATTCTAATCTCGCTCAGACTGACGTCTGGGATATTATCGGAATAGTGTCGGATAAGCTTTGCTCTTGTGTTGTTACTCACACATGTGTGTGGCTCAAACGACGATGTGTACAGCTGTCCATAGAACCTCTCTATCTCACTCAAAACCTCTGGTCTACTGGAGATGATAACGCCGCTGTCAGTCTTCAACTTAGTCTGTTGGCTTTGTCCGATAGACAGATCTCTGGCGAAGACTTTTGAGCCTAGGTTCCGCTCTATAGCTCCCTCAATACGACCTGTATTGAAGTTGCGTAAGTCTCGCCGCATGTATTGGGAGATCTGCCTATTAAGCCGCCTGTAGTCCGACATGTCAGTTAAAGACTGCAACCGCATCTCTCGTCTTTTTCCCAAGAGGTTGAGAGTGTGATCAGAGAGTTTTTGGGTTCTATTTTTACGGCGGGCCTTATAAAATTTAAGGCCCGCGGCATGGACAGTTTCCACGAGCTTTGCATTAATATCGTCCACCGTGCTGCAATTTTCTAGGCATTGGAAACGATTATGTAGCTCGAGCTGAAAGCTTTCGGAGTTCTGGATATGGGCACGAGATGGTCGGAGTGTGGACTTCATCAGACGAGATCTTTCCAGCCTAATGTTAATATTCAATGTGCCTCTCACTAATCGGTGATCACTTCCGGTCTTCACCCTTGTGATCACAGAGACATCATTGAATATTTGCCGTTTGTTCGTCATAATGAAGTCTATCTCGTTTTTTACAGAATCATCGGGGGGCTAATCCAGGTCCACTTTCTGTGGGGCTGCTTTTTGAAGAAAGAGTTCATCATAAAGAGTCCCTCTTTCTCCATAAAGTCAGCCAGCTGCTGCCCCCTTGGGTTCCGTTGCCCTATTCCAAAACTACCTACTCTCAGCTCATCGTCTTTCCTTTTGCCTAGCTTTGCGTTGAAATCTCCCATTAACACCATGTACTGAGTTTTGGAGGAATGTATGGCTCGTGATATATCCTCATACATTGCCTCCACCTCATCATCGGGATGTGTCGACGTTGGTGCGTAGACCTGTATGACCTTCAGCGAATACCGTTTGGATATTCTGAGTATAAGGTACGCAACCCTCGACGACACACCCTCGATTTTAACAACGTTGTTAATGAGAGACTTGTGGACGATAAATCCGACACCTCATTCACGATTCAAGGATTATCGTGTCCTCCCCCTGTCTTCGGACTTCAGATAATCCTATTATATCCCAACGCAGCCTGCATACCTCTTCTTCCAGCTCTGTTATCCTCTAGTCAGTCCTCAATGTTCTTACGTTGTATGTTGCCAGGTCCAGTCGCCGTCGTTGGTAGCCGAATCCTAGCCGGAGATTCTTAGCACCCCCTGCCCTGCCGTTACCATGACCGCTACCGTAGCCAGGAATAGCAGGGCCGCCGGGGACTGGGGGCCGTACACCTTGGACTTCCATATATAAGGGGTTTTTGCCATAGTTGCCACGTTTGGCGAGCGGGTTGGCAACCGCAGTTCTTCCAGACACCTCGCACCTTCAACGCTGCTGCCCGTTATTGGCCTGGATATTTGGGTCTGGAGAGTTAGGACGGTTATCCCGCCATCTATCGGAGGCCACCGGATGTTTGTAGCTTATCCCTTAGTCGCCTCTTACGACACCCACGGGATGAGATGGGGTGGCTTATTCTTACGCCGACACCACACGGCACAAATATTTATTTTACAAATATTTATCTAAATATTTATTTATAATATATTTAGATAACTATTTCTGATTTTAGTATACAAAAAAATTGGCTTATTAATATTTTAGTGGGCAACACTGGTCTAGAATATTTCTATTGGTTTATGGTTGCGACAAATACAACAATCTAAAAGTCTGTTTGGTTGTCTGTTGGCAATTGGCGTTTTGGATTGACAAACACGTCGTCTTCAGTTTCTTCGAGCTTGTGAATCGAGTGAATTGTAATAGATATTAAGTGATTATAATAACTTAAGTTTAAGTTCGTGGTGCTTTCTGTCAACGTCTAATGTGCAATAATCCCTCAAGAAATCACCAAGCGGACTCACCGGCTCCGGTGTCCTCAACTTCCAGGCGTTCAGTTTCTCCAGCATCGCCATGAGACCGCCCTCGCTGACGTTCCTCGACTGCAGCAGCTTCTTCAAGAACACCCACGAGAGGCCCTCGCCGATGAAGTAGATCTGGAAGTGGCAACGGCCACTGGAGTTGTTCCATTTCACGCGACCTCCACCACCAAAGCCAGAATTCGTGGAACTGTTCCCGGTTTTTGTGAGAAGGTGGCAAACGAGCTGGCGGTTCTCCTGATGTTAAGTCTCTGTGCGTTTGCCCAGCAGTGGGACCTTTTATGAGTTTTTTTAATTTTTTTTTTTTTTTATTTTACTTATCACTGGATGACTGGACTATGGATGCTTGCAATCCGAGATAGTGGATTCAAATTCTCAGCGAAACTATTTCTTTTACCCTGACCTTTATCATTTAATTCAAGCAATCGTGTCGGGTAAAAACATTTCTTCATAAAAAGTATTGTCACTGCTTCTGAAGATTTTTATTTATTTTTTTTATTTTGAAAAACACATTGCTCTTACTGTAAATAATATTATGCTGTGTGTTGTAATTTTATCATGTGTGTTATGTAAAACGTCCTTACAACAAAACAATACACGTGGTGGTAGGGCCACGCGGCAGCCTCGGCTGTTTCACGAATGGGCAGGCCCGTCCGGGTAAGTACCACGACCTCAAGAACACCGGCGTAAAGTGAAAGTATAATACTTTCGCGTTTCGTCTGGTGAGTGAGGTGGTCGGAGCCCAATTTCCAAAAAGGTTGTCAACGCATCTGCAAACCCTCGGCTATAGCAGATGTCCATGGGCGACGGTATTCACTTAACATCAGATCAAATCCGAAATAATTATCTGTGGGTCACACAAATATTAGTCCCGTGTCGGAATCCAACCCATAACCCCACCGAAGCCACCTGGCATCTGCGCCATGGAGTCGTCAAATAAATAACGAAGAATGAATGGGGCAAATACATGCCCTATATTACCCTTTATAAAACGTTTATATATTATAAATCTGTATTGATTGTTCGTTTGTGTTGATTCGTTTAATTTAATTGACATTTTAGTGAGCAGTGTCCATTAAAAATTTTGCAGTGTCCGAAAAGGGCATCTAAGTTTCTGTATGCTTCTTTATTGTAACACCTATTTATATAATTTATACTTAGACCCGCCCCGGCTTCGCATGGGTGCAATGTTTATACATACAAACCTTCCTCTTGAATCGATCTATCTAGTAAAAAAAACCGCACCGTAGTTTTAAAGATCTAAGCATACATAGGGACAGACAGACAGCGGGACGACTTTATACCGTGTAGTGATGGCAAATAAAAGATTGATCGATTGATCCCGTGTCCTAGAAGATATCAGGCGGCCAGGATCACTCGGAGCTCCTGTTGAAACCCTGGACGTAAAACTCACCGATGGCTGGTATGGTCTTCTGCCGCCAGTGGACAACTTAATCCCCCCCATAGCGGGCATCGGCCCGAAGGCCTCGCCCACGCTGAAGAACTGAACGGAGGCGGTGTCCTCGTCATCACCGACGGTGAACACCAGGTTGTTGGTGGCCCAGTACGTGGAGCCGGGGTTGGTCACTTGGTTCGTGATGAACGGCACGTAGAAAGATCTGGTGCGATCGCAAGTGGCCGTTATTGCCGACATTTTTACATTTACAATGCGAGTAATTTGGGCAACGCAAAAATTTATGTCAAATTTATGTCAATGTCAAATTTATGTCAATGTCAGATTTATGTAAATTTATGTTATTGTCGAGATAGAAATATTTCACTACTCGATGTAATATTATTTGCAATACAAGAAACATCTAAGTGTTAAGGTCATCAATCTGATAAATAACTTTATAACTTAATAACATAATATGTAATTTTATATATCTTTATAGAGACAGATGAAAATTTTATATCCATAACATAAATGAGTTTATGTTTCGCGACATATTTTTACACAACGTTATCTAGTCCCAAACCAAGCAAAGCTTGTACTATAGGTGACTGATAAACATACTTAAACGTACATTCCTTTTGTAAATAAATACATATTCTTCCAGTAGTGCGGATCCAACCTACACCCTCTGGCGTAAGAGTCAGGGCATTATCAACTAAGCCAGTCGGGTCGTCAATAACTAACTTTATGTTAAACAAGCAGATACCCGCGACTTCATCATACACAACACATGTATTATTAGGAAAAATCACTGAACATCCTAACATTAAGGTAGTATAGCTATTACATTTTTTTTTAAATAAAGGCCAAGTGCATAATAGATAAAACTTTTAAGAATTAATCTACTTACTTTTAAGAATTAAGAACAACTACGATCCCCATAGCCCTGGAAATGGTACAATAAATACTCACGCCGCCTTATAGCCGTGGAAGAAGCGGTTCTTCTCCAGCGTCTTGACGGTCGAGTACCAGAACCTCTTCAGCTGGTCGCTGCCGCAGCCCTTGATGTAGTTGTGGATGAAGAGGAAGTCGCTGGCGCTGATGTTGGAGCTGAGGAGCGCGTGCAAAGCCGCGATACGCAGCTGTATGTGCTCCTTGTCGTTGGTGAGGATTGGTAACGCCGTCTCTAGGACCTGAAGGGTTCGACTGTGGTTAGTTTGAGTGTCGTGTTTAGTTAGTTTTAGTTTTTTTTTAAACATTGCCCTTACTTTAGGATAACGTTATCCTGTGTTGTAAGGACGTTTTACAAACATAAATTTCACGTGGACAAACAACCAATAACAAAAACAAAATAACAAACATCCAATCGTCCAGTGTCTCGAAGTCTCCCGGGACTTTTTGTAGTTTTAGCTGTCTCGAGTCCCGGGACTTTCCCTAATTTTAGCTGTCTCTAGTCCCGGGACTTTTCGTAATTTTAGCTGTCTCGAGTCCCGGGACTTTTCGTAATTTTAGCTGTCTCGAGTCCCGGGACTTTTCGTTATTTTAGCTGTCTCGAGTCCCGGGACTTTTCGTAATTTTAGCTGTCTCGAGTCCCGGGGCTTTTCGTAATTTTAGCTTTCTCGAGCCCCGGGAATTTTAGTAATTTTAGTTGTCTCGATTCCCGGGACTTTCAGACATATGATTACATAACAATTACGACAAAGTTGTTCAAATTATTATGTAATCATTTTTATTTTCAAATAATAAGGAGCCTAGCGCCATCTATTAGTTTAATGACTACTTGATTACTTGATTTATTGACACAACGTTGTGTACTCATGAATAGTTGTGATTATGATCAATGATACTAATAATAGCAAATTTAATAATGATTTTTATGTAAGTCCGTTTTATAACATAACAATAAGATTTATCTAACTGCTTATAAATGAATATTAAGTATCCTCTTTTGTAGACTTTTTTTTTTATAATGCATATTTAATTTCTTTTAGAAATACCTTGGGAGTGATCAACTCTTCGTTGTGGCGTTATAAGGGGGAGGCCTATGTTCAACAGTCGTCATCATCATGATCAGACGTCTTACGTCTGATCATGATGATGATGATGAACTGATTCCAAGGGGTTATTGTCATTAATGTACGCCATCTATCCACGTTCTACGCCTCACCATATATCCCTTGGAAGTCTCTGGGCCGCATGCCAAGGAGGCCCACAGCCTCTCGTGGCGGTTCCTCGTGACGTCACCGTGGATGGTCCTAATGTAGGACTCCGCCCCGTAGCCGAGGGTGCACAGCCCCTGCAGCCACACCATCCTGTCCAGGTACTGAGGGCAGTCTGGAAGTGCCATCGAGGGATCAGCTGTCCTGCCAGATCTTTCTCTTATGTGCGAAGGTGGTGAAGCCGGTGGTTTACCTGATGCTAAGTGACAACCGCCGCCCATGGACGTTACAACACCCGTGGGGTTAACAACGCGTTACCACCTTTAAGTGAAGTGGGCTCCGGCCACCTCACTCACCAGACGAAACGCAGAACAACACTTCCACTTCACACCGGCCTCCTGCGAGGTCGTGGTACTTCCCGAATGGATCTGCCCATTCGTGCAATATCACGTGTCTATTAACAGTGAAGTAACAGCCCATGCCAGGGGTGAGCAGCCTTTTTAATAAATGGGCCAATTTGAATTTCAATTTTTTTTTTGGCGGGCAGCACATAATAATTTACGCAACTTTATTTATAATAAATATTAGAATGAAAAATATAAAATTACAAAAAAAGTAAAGATTTCATATACAAATTTTAATGCAAGGTAAAAACAAACAAGAAAAGAACAGAAAAACGAACAAAAAATATTCCGGTTCAGTATGTACTACCATTTTATTATAATTGATTTTATAACAATATATTGATGGGAGAAATTCGATAAAATAAATTCAATTTTAGAAATGCTTGGCGGGCCGCATAAACATGTCAAGCGCGGGCCGCGCGTTGCTCATCCTTGGCCTATGCTGTTGTTACTTCGCTCACTTTAGACCTAGCACTAACAACACAACCAAGGAGGACATAAATTAACGTATGGTAATCGACCCGTTAATCTTCTTAACTGAAGAAATAGAAAGAAGGAAGCGGCATAAGCCAGGGTTCACAAATAGTCAGAAGACGTTTATTAAATCACACTGACTCACCGCTGTACATCCTGAAGTACTTCACAACGATGTTGTCGAAGTAGTCGCTCTTCACCAGGGAGGCGTCCATGGTCTTCGAGGCCAGAGTGGCGAAGGACAGTATCCCGGCGTGCCTGATCGGCTGCGGGAAGTCCAGGCCCAGCCTGGTGAACACCTCCAGCTCTTCGAGAAGGTTCTGGCTGTAGTCGGCCACGTTGTACGGCAACTTTCTTAACAGTGACAGCAGGGCAGCGTCCTCCACTTTCTCCTGGATGACGTCATCGGGCTCTTTGAGTACCAAACCATCTCTGGTAGGGCCACAACACACTTCTCTGTTGCACAAATGGGCAAGTCCATCCGTGTGATAACCACGACCTCACAGAGCGATGTGAAGTGGTGTTACACTTTTTGCTTGTGAGGTAGCCGGGACCCGCTTTATTGAAAGGTGGCAACGCATCTGCAACACTACGGTTGATGCAATTGTCAATGGGTGGCGGTTATCGCTTAACGGCAGGTGAACCGCTAGCTCGTTTGCCACCGACAATCAGCATCTCGCAGTGATTGTCAAAGCTGAATCCGCCAGTCTTTCAACTGGCAATACTGATTTACTTCACAAAAATCAACCAACGATTAAATCCTGTTCGCTTTTGGGACCCAAAAATTGGTTTCTACGTTTGGCTTTCAAAAGACTCCCATTATCACGAGTGGCGAAACACAACTAATGAGTCCTCGTGACTTTTCTAACCCACACGTTATTTTCTTGTATTTACGCGATTACACATTATAAATGAAACTAATTTTACGGATTTATCGCGTTTATTTTTAATCCTGTTCCCTTTATTTGTCTGTCCCGAAAATTGGTTTCTACGTTTAAAGGGTTCGAAACGTCGGGAATTAAAATTAAAAATAAACGCGATAAATCCGTAAAATTATTTTCATTTATACCCACACGCTATTTTCATAACAAAATCAATGTCTTTATTCAACATAGGAGCATTACACTCGCCTATTGATAGTCAAAACGCTACCACACTAACGAAAAAGAAAACCTACTTAAAATCACGCTCTGTAGCCATTTGCCCAAGATTCAATACCAATGAAATTAATATGGGTCCACATGGGAAACATCGGCTTCCAAATAAATGAAGAATCATCAATCGATTCACCCAGTCGAAAGTTATGAGGTAACAAACATAAAAAATACAGTCGAATTGAGAACCTCCGACTCTTTTGATGTTGTGAAAAATTGGTTTCTACTTTTGGTTCGCGAAAGACTCCCGTTACCTTCTGCTCTATCACGAGGTACTTGATGAACCTGGCGCAGGCGTCGCTCCGCCCGTGGGGCAGCACCTCCAGGAAGATGTTCCTGGCGGTCTCCAGGTCGTAGCTGGTGCCCAGGACCAGCTCGTCGAAGAGCTTAGAGAACGACTCGTAGGTCAGCTGCGACATCGTGCTGGAAGTAGACGGCGTCATTGACTCGCTTTACTTAGTTTCGGAGTTTTAAGGTCTTCGCTTCAGGAGTTTTAATGTCTCTATATTTAAGAGAAGATGAAGAGCCACGATAGCTCAGTGTCCAGGTGTTCGCTTTTAATTAATTGTACTCTAGCAGACTTGAAATTGTTAATTAATGACCAATGGAATTGTTAATTTTAAGTAGGGCCGCGTGGTGGACTATGCCCTGATACCCTCTGTATAGAGGAGGCCTTTGCCCAGCAGTGGGACATGTATAGGCTGTTACTTTACTTTTTTCTTTTACTTTACTGAGCCGTGATAGTTCAGTGTCCGGGCGCTCGCCTTTAATTCAATATACTCGAGCAACCTGAGTTCGATGCCCGGTGCTGGCACCAATGAAGTTTTTAACTTTAAGTGCTGACTTATCACGTGCTCCACGGTGAAGGGAAATATCGTAAGGAAACCTGCATATTTTCGTAATAATAACAGAAATATTTTCAATATATGTGAAAACCGCCAATCCGCATTGGGGTCACATGGTGGACTATGCCCTCTGTACGGAGGAGGCCTTTGCCCAGCAGTGGGACATGTACAACTTCATACTTTACTTCATTGTTGAATCTTTTGAAACTTTGCTTATATTTAAATTTTAAAAAACAGTATCTTATTCCTGTCTTTGAATATACAGGGTTTTTACGATTTCTTTTTCCTCCTGGAATAACAGTCACTTACTTCAGAAGATCCACGAAGTCCATCGTATGTATTAGACCCTCATTCTTCACTATGTTGTCCGCGTCGATGCCTTTCTTGGCGATTTTGAGAAGTATCTAGAAAATTGTATCAGAATTGTTTCCAAAAGAGATTGAGATAAACGTTTTTATTTGCATACTTGCTGCTGCCCGCGACTACGTCTGCGTAGAATAGGCTAAACGCGTAACATTCAAACAGAAAGCCAGATATACATAAAATATGTATATAAATTTTAGCCTATATTATATTATTGTAAAGTTTCATTAAAATCCATTCAGTAGTATTTGCGTGAAAGAGTAACAAATACCCATCCAAACATTCGCCTTTATATTATTAATAAGGAAACTGTCGCAATATGGTATTTCTGTCTATTTGAAGAAAGCAAAAATTGTATACAATCAAAATTTACTCAACTAACACTGAAAAAAACTTAAAACTGTGGTAGGGCCTCGCAATAGCTTCGGCTGTTGTACTGTGAAAGTAAAATGTGTTGCCTGGGAAAGTACTACGGCAGAACTCGCAGATCTGCGGGAATTGAAAGCGTTACATTTCTGCGTTTCGTCTGGTGATTGAGCTAGCCGAAACTCACTTTTTATGTCTGCAACGCATCTGCAACCAAACGCTGCAGACGTCCATGGGCGCAGAACACTCAACATAGGTGAACCGCCAGCTTTGACACATATATCAGACATATATGACATAAAAGAAAATGGTACTTATGAAAATGGTACTATCGATAGATGAGATTTATATTTCTTAGTTCGATGAATAAATGATTTGATTTCATAAATGATTTGATTTGATGAATGATTTGATTTGATGAATGATTTGATTTGATGAATGATTTGGTTTGATGAATGATTTGATTTGATGAATGATTTGATTTGATGAACGATTTGATTTGATGAATGATTTGATTTGATGAATGATTTGATTTGATGAATGATTTGATTTGATGAATGATTTGATTTGATGAATGATTTGATTTGATGAACGATTTGATTTGATTTGAACGCCGACCTCGTGGGTCCGGTTCTTCAAGTGGTTCTGGGTCTCGGTCTTTATGAAGTTCGATGGGTTCCTGAAGTCGCCGGCGTCGTACTGTATCTCCCTGCGGTAGAGGTCCAGCTTCTCTATTGAGCCAGCGGGGACATCCGTGTCGTAGTACAGCGAGAGCCTGTGGACATGAAGTCGAGTCCTAGTCCAAGCTGCTATACAAACAAACTAGCGACCCGCCCCGGCTTCGCATGGATGCAAGGTATATGAAACTTCCTCTTGAATCAGTCTATCTAGTAAAAAAACCGCATCTAGATCCGTTGCATACTTTCTTCTTTTCTTTCTTTTTTTTTTTTTTAGAAACATTGCCCTTACTTTGGGATAACATTATCCTGTGTTGTAAGGACGTTTTAAAAACATAAATTTCACGCGGACAAGCACCCAGATTTGGAACAATTATCTGTGGGTCACACAAAGAGTTGTCCCGTGTGACAGATGATATACAACGCATGATACGGAAAGTAATAGTCTATAGAATTGCAATATAGTTACAGCAATTGGTGTAATATGAATGCCTCAGTTTCGATTGATATTATATACAAAGATATGACACTAGTACCCCGAGGTCGTCATACCATACGATGGCTAATACGAGACTGTCTGTCAGTCGACAACCTTTCTTCCCAACATGAGAACGAGAGTATAATGGGAGGTCGTAAAAATAATAACTAATAATATATTTATTCATCATCATTTCGGCCTGTTTGAGTCCACTGCTGAACATAGGCCTCCCCCAATATATTTATTATTAGTTATTATTTTTACGAATAGTACTGTGCACGTATGTGCGCACGTAAGAAGTTATACTTCTTTAGTGTAAAAAAACTTTATCCCGTTTGCCAGAACTTTGTTCGTATAAAAGACATTGGATGCAATATATAACAGTTTTATTAAACAACTTGGAGTTATAGGTAAGTGTCAAAAAAGTCGTTACTGGTCGCCACGGTGACTGCGTGAAGTCGATCGTTTATTTAACATCATCATTTATTTATTTAATTAGTTGCACCGACAGAATAGACACACAATTAAAAAAAAAGATACCAAAACGCAGCAACAAAGAAATCATCAACAGCGTTACAACTAAATTAAAATGAAATTAAAAGTACAAATACGAAATAAATGAATCATAACAATAAGTATAAAAATATAAAAACAAAGAAAAAATTACACCTATCACAAATCATGTAGCTTTTTGGCTGTCGGTAAAAAAAAAAACTTTACTCTCATAAATTTTTCGAAACGCGCCAAAAGAAGTATAACTTCCGGAAAATTATTTAATAATTTTCCGGAAGTTAAACTTCGAAATTGTTACTTCTGGAACGTATTTCCACTTACTCGGAGGCAACGTAGAGCACGTGGTCGTGGATTTTGTACTGGAAGTTCCCGTTCATGTTCATGCAGCTCAGACCGCGCCTTTCGTCCAACTCGTACACCCGCTCCGAAGTGGAGACGACCTCCGGCTGGAATTAATGCGCGTGGAATGAAGAATCACGAAGACTTCATTAAGTTCCGATGGGAGCTTAGTTTGCGGGCGCGGTGCAATTCCCGCGGAACTTGACCGTTTCCACCGGAAGTTCGAAAATTCCCGCGGGAAGTTGACGATTTCCAAACGAAACGTGCAACTTCCGCAAACAGCAAACGGGTTTCGCAAAGCCTGGAACTACTCAAAACAAACACTGACCACATTCCGCTCGACGTAGTCCTGGGTCCACGGCACGGAGCTCCAGCTGTGCTCAGTCTTGTCGGAAGCCACCTTCAGGCTGCAGTACTTCTTCACGCTGCCACCCACCACTGTGTATACCATCAGGCAGCTCTCGTACAAGCAAGGCTGCCAGCATATAAGGGCAAAGTCAGAGTAAGGGCCTCTGCGTTTTTTAAAGAAAAGCTCGCGAATTTTTAAAAAAAATAACAATACAAAATTGACAACATATTCACTGAATCGTTAATCATATAAGTGTGTATGTTGTATATTATGTATATATTTATTTAATGTATTGTGTATTTAAATATGTTTATTTTACCGTGTGTTCATATCGCAATATACAGTTTATTTTTTTTTATGTCCCTACTATAGTATTTTATGTAGCATTCCTCATAAAGTTGACTTTTCAATGATTTTTTTTTTTATTTTTTAATCTATCCACCTACTTTACTTAAACTTCTCTGGACCACCCAAAAGTTGACTCCTAGCTGATGGCAATAATTCCGCGTCAGTCGCAGATAAATAAACAAAATGACCTGCGAAAACGGATTTTCCTTCTCTTTTAATTTATCACTGTAATGTTAGTACAAAACATCTGGTTCGGCAATTTTTTTCAGTACCAAAACGATTTACGTACCCTAAAAAGGGAGCCTTGTGGTACGTATAAAGTGAGCTTCTAGTTCTTTTATTGCCATCTCGTAAATAACGGGACCCCAAACAATTCAACAAAATATACCGCAGTCGACAGCCACCTTTATAAATGCAGAAACACCGTAACGTCGCTTCCCTCCGAAAAAGTCACAGAGTCACACAACTCTCAAAAAAAGAATCGCCTCGTAATATTTACACGCAACAAATTAAACAAAAAACACTGCCCTTACTTTAGGATAACATTATCCTGCGGGAATTTCACGCGGACAAACACCCAGATGCGAAACAACTATCTGTGGGTCACACAAATAGTTGTCCCGTGTGGACCCCGTGTGGAATCGGACCCACGACCCCCGACGCCGAAGCCAATACCTTGGCAACTGCGCCATCAAATAATGAATTTTTGTAGATCCACGTCTTCTGTTTACGCGCCCAGACGATCTAACAAATAAGCTAAGAGGACCTGGCGGAGCGAAAGTCTAACATACACCTATGTTCTTTTATTGCATTTTTAGCAATGCTTAGCGCCATGTAATGTGCATCCTTTACAGCATACAACACCTTACAAAGCACATTCCATTATGAGCATCTAACGAGAGACGTCGCCTTTGCTGTTAAACTTTATAATTTTTGATGTGAAACATCTATAGCCGCACGTAAAACCGATTTCTGGCGTGGCGACGCGTCGCCACGCTATATGATGGTATATATATATATATATATATATACAGTCTATATGCAGTAGCGTGTACGATTAATTACTCAAATTTAAATTTATTGTTAATAATTATTTATTAATTATTAATTAATTAAATTAACTTTAATTAATTGTATGTACTATTACCGAAATTACTGATTAAACGAATAAAGTAGTCACGATTTGAAATAAATTCGTAAATTTTTGTATTTAATGAATAATGTAATTCAATAAATAGTCATCGTTATCTGGAAAAAAATCGTAATATTTTATTTTATCATTATGACATATTTAGTTCGTATCGCAATCTGTGCTTTTCTGCATATTACTTTTACAAAATAATGTCGATGTCTCACATCTGCCAGGCGTCCCGTGACGGCTCATTTTTTTTAATACCAGTCTCCGCAATCGAGATGAAACTTTAAATTGTGAAATTTTGTAAATAGATAAAAAACTCAGGTTCGAATGCCGCATCTGAAAGTTTTTGTTTAAAGAAATTAAAAATGACCGTATAAACACCTCCATTTTGGAGTCTGTCGAAAAGGAGAGAACTCAAACTGGCGCTGACCTCGTAGTTCCCGTAAGTGCCAGTGTCCTTCTTCATCTGGAAGTTGACTGTGAGGGCCCTCTTCATGTTCGTCGCCCATTTCGGCTCGTCGCCTACGTAGATTCCGCTGATGAACCCATTGGCCTAATAAGGGAGTTGAAAAACATATTTATGAACGAGTGTGATAAGTTGACAAGCGAGCTAGCGGTTCCCCTGCGGTTCCCCTGCGGTTCCCCTGATGTTGAGTGATATCCACCTCCCATGCGAATTTGCAACGGCCGTAGCGTTGCAGATGCGTTTCCACCTGAGCTCTGGTTACCTCTTCTACTTCACTCCAACAAATAAAGAAAAAAAAACTGTGGCACTCCGGTACTGCCGCAGTAAAGCTATTGCATAGCATTTTTTATCAACTTACGCAATTGTAATTTTTTTGTTATATTTATGCAGTATTTATTTTACTTTGATATCAATTCAAGTTACACTTTTTGAGCGCGGTGACCGAGAGGAAAACAAATTTAAAACCGATCGGATCAGTTGTTTTCGCAGTATAAAACCGAACGAAAAAACCGTCTCTCCATTTATTAGTATAGAATATATACACTTCTTCCCTCACAATTTTCCGATTTGCTAGTAGAAATGGCAATTACAAAGAAAATTGTTTAAATAAATATATTCATTCATACTTCCTTACTATTATTATAAACGCGAAAGTTTATATGTATGTATGTTTGTTACTCTTTCACGTAAAAACCACTGAATTGATTTTAATGAAACTTTACAATAATATAGCATAAACATCAGAATAAGACATAGGCTATAGTTTAGAAAGATACTGTGTGAATTTTTCAAAATATAAAGATAAGTGTCAAGTGGGTAAGAAAAAATTCTACCATCTGCGAGATATTCTGGATTGCGCTGCAAAAACCGTTAGAGTCAAATGTATATAATATACTACTCGAGTACTAATCCTGCGCAGACGTAGTCGCGGACACCAGCTAGTAAATAAATAAATAAATAAATAAATAATAGATTGTGTACCTGGTACTCCGCTTCCCACGTCTCCTTGAGATACCTCGCCGCTTCCTCGGATTGGTACGAAGTCTGGAATACAATGGAATGGAATATGGAACGACAATAAATGAACACACATATACAGGATAACTTTTTAAAATTGTATTAAATATTTACATTCTTTAAACATCAATATTTACCGAGTTATTAAATTTTCCAAAACAAACAATTTTAGAACACCCTTACGTATAAAACTGTAACGTAAAGTTTATTTGTAGAGGTCACAAAACATATGAATGGGTTGAATGAATTTAGAGACAAAACATACTGTTAGAAGGAGAAGCTTGTAATGTGACGCTGTGGCGCGAGTTGTATAGGATGTTACAAATTTTGTTTCATTTTTACTTAATTAGTTTGTTTGAAAAATATTTTTCTTTAATTATGGATTTTGTTTAACGTTAATATTTTTTTATGATTATTGGCAAGTAGCGTTAGATGTGTGTTCATTTATTGTCGCGATGGTAACGAGACGCTGTATATTATATATTATATTTTTACACAACATTCTCTAGTCCCAAACTAAGCAAAGCTTGTACTATGGGTACTAGAAAACTGATAAACTTTTGTAAATAAATACATATTATACATATATAAACACCCAGACACTAGAAAAACACTATGTTCATCACACATCATTTTTCCAGTAGTGGGGATCGAACCCACACCCTCTGGCACAGGAGGCAGGTACACTACCCACTACGCCATTCGGGTCGTCAATTATTTCTCAAAAGCGCTTTTTGTCGCTAGGCCACAACTACCATAATTTTACATCGAATTTAATGATTCAAACGCCATTTTGAATCTTATATTTTTCATATTGACGAAAAATGGACAAACAGATTTTTTTATGTGAGACTGTGGCAATAGTGCTGGCGGTTCACCTGACGTTAAGTCACAACCGACGCCCATGGACATTTGCAACACCCCTAGTGTTGCAGATGCATTGCCACCTTTTAACGAAGTGGGCCCCGGCAACTTCGCTCACCAGACGAAACGCAGAAGTATAACACTTTCACATCACGCCGGTCTTCTGTGAGGTCGTGGTACTTACCCGGACGGACCTACCCAATCAAGCAACATCTAAGACTGTTGCGTGGCTCCACCGCAGTTAGAACAGAGTTAATGTTTTCATTAAAAAAAAAAACATTCATTTAAGATCGACAAAGTCGAGAAGAGTATTAGCATCAATGATGTTTTATAATATGAAATTGACGTTTACCCATACTGCGTAGCGTTTAAAAATTGTTCCGCTTTATAATAAATGACAAATATAAGCGAATGTGACAGATGATACAAAACGTATGATACGGAAAGAGATAGCAGTCTATAGAGCTGAAATCTAATTACACCAATTGGCGTAATTTCAGCCTCAGTTTTGCTGAGCTAGTGTAATATCCACCTCGTATTACTATATAATATCATTGTTTAGCAAAAAGTGATGCAAAATTTTCGCACGCGTCGACTTGTCGATTTCATAACCACAAACCGGGTTTAATTAAACGGGCATTCGAGAGGGCAACTCAAAACTTCGGCCCAAGTAATACCTTGTAAGAAGTTTCGTGAAGTAATAACCAATTGGTTAGAAATAAGACACCAACTAAGATCTCATAAATCGCCGGCGAACTAAGTTATATTCGTGCCGCGGTCGCCGATTTTGCTGAAGTTATAACTTCTGTTTTATTAAAAGTGATCTAGTTTTTAATCTTGTAAATATTAGATCAATAAAGATTGAAAAGTGATATCTAGTTAAATATAAAATTTTTGCGGTTTTTAGGGTTCAGTACCCAAAGGGTAAAACGGGACACGGGTTTTTTTGAAGATTCTTTTTTATTTGAAAGCTGGTGCTTCCCATGCGGTCCCATATTAATTCCATTGGTACTGGATCTTGGGCTCCGGAGATACGAAGGGAACTGCTGAAAATCAATTATGAAATGAATACAGAGCGAGATATTCGAAGACGTTTTTGTTTTTCGTTAGTAAAAAAATGGTCATTGTTCACCCAGAAACTACACATGTATCACAGTACACATATAGCTCATTTTAGATCCCTGTTCACCCAAACCACTCCCCACTACTCCACTCACCACTCCACTCGACTCCATTCCACCCTCGAAATTAACCCACCTTCAGGTCGTCCAGCTTGAAGCGCACCTTGGTGTAGTTGTCGTACACCGTGACGGACAGCCTCCCCTCCAGGGTCCAGAAGGAGCTCCCCTCCCTCGGCGCCAGGATCCCCGAAGACGAGTTCGTCTTCACCACGAAGCTGTACCGCCGGCCCTGCTCCGGGAACAGCTCTTGCAGGCCGTTCGCGGAAGCCGCCCCGAGGACTGGAAGGGCATATATTCAGTGTATGTGTTCAGCCCACTTAATTTTTTTTTATATGAGTTGCAAGCGAGCAACACCCGTACGGGTCGCAGTTGCCACCTTTTAATAAAGTGGGTCCCTGCATCACGAGACGAAGGGCCACGCAACAGTGTTCGCTGTTGCACGAATGGGCAGGTCCGTCCGGGCAAGTACCACGACCTCACAGAAGACCGGCGTCAAGTAGAAGTGTTGCACTTCTGCGTTTCGTCTGGTGAGTGAGGTAGCCGGGGCCCACATTATTAAGAGGTGGCAACGCATCTGCAACCCTGCGGGTGTTGCAAATGTCCATGGGCGATTATGACTTAACATCAGGTGAACCGCCAGCTCGTTTGCCACTTTCTCACATTAAAAAAAAAAAACGAAACGCAGAAGTAAAAATACTCCCACTTCACGCCGGTCTTTCTGTCTTATGCGAGGTCGTGGTACTTTCCCGGACTGTCCTGCGCATTTCTGCCACAGCGAAGACTATTGCGTGGTCACACAGTTGTTGATGATCTCATTAATATACAATGGACATAATATGAGAGCCGTGATAGCTCATTGTCCGGGCGCTCGCCTTTAATTACACTTATCGAGCACCCCGAATGCGATCCCCGTCGCTAGGACCAACGAAATTGTTAATTTCAAGTGCTGAATTCTGAAATCAAGTGCTTGGCGGCGAAGGAAAACATCGTGAGGAAACCTGCATATTTTAGAAATAATAACAAAAACAAAATATTTCGAAAATATGTGAAGTCCGCCAAACCGTAGTGGGGCCGCGTTATGGACTAATACCCTGATACCCTCTTTACATAGGAGGCCTTTGCCCAGCAGTGGGACATTTATAGGCTGTTACTTTACTTTATTCACTTTTATAATAAACTTACTTAACGCCAACAGTAGACAGTTGAGAAGCATCGTGTCACCTGAAATGAAATAGTACGTTACATTAATATGGTATATGTACGCAATTCTCTACACCCAAAAAGCGTAGGCCTTTTTTTTGTGACCAATATGAAAACAAGCAGACATCACGGAAAACTTGCAAATTATTTGTTGAGTAACATTTAGTAAGAAAAATAAATTAGACTCATTCAGTAGCTCCAAAACTATTACATACAAACAAACAAGCAAAATTTTACCTCTTCATAAAATTGGTAAAGTTCTATGTAGAAATGCTATAAATAAAAGAAATATAAACAATAGAAAGTACCTTCCCACAATCCCATACATATTTTTTTTAAATATTTAGCACACATTTGTACACAACATTTTCTAGTCCCAAACTAAGCAAAGCTTGTACTATGGGTACTAGAAAGCTGATAAACATACTTAAACATACTTTTCTTTTGTAAATAAATACATATTATACATATAGAAAGACCCAGACACTAGAAAAACACCATGTTCATCACACAATATTTTTCCAGTAGTGGGATTCGAACCCACACCCCCTGGCGCAGGAGGCAGGTACACTACCCACTACGCCATTCGGGTCGCCTATTAGACTATTTAGATATTGTTTCCTTTGATTATATACAAATCAATTATATAATCAAGTATACAATCAAAGAATGTCTCGTGTAATTAATTAGATGACATAACAAACCGCAAAGCGTGACAAGTGCTAAGTTTGTCGTGATACGAAGCGACACTTGGCGCGTTAGAAATGGACACAGAGAAGGGTTTTTATCAGAGCATCCGACTAAACAAAAACAATATGGCCGCCGCGAAATTTTCCTTCGAAGTTCGTTAATGACTTAATAACAATTACAATATCGTGTTCGTCGTATAAACAAATAATAAATGCAGAGGTAAATATTATGAACACATTATTTATTACCGGCGCAAATGAAAGGTTTTGGCTTCGGGAAAGTACCGAGACCCCCCCCCCCCCCCCCCCCAATTGAAATCCACTCATCCCTGCCTGAGCCGTAACTTTTTGATTGTAACTCATTAACATCCTGATTTTACGCGAATATTATGCACATTAAACGAAACTAGTTTACGGACTTTGTCGCGTTTCAATTTTGTTCTTCGTAATTCACGACGTTTCGAACCCTTGCCAGCGTTCTTGCGTCACGGGAGAGACTGACGCCCGGTTTCTGAAACACGGATCACCGTAGAAGTTAACTAATCAGCTGTCAAATGGCTTTTCAAATGTCATTTGAGTTGCCAAAAGGATGGTCAAACTCAATTGGTCATTTTCTTGGCCTGATGTTAAGTGAATACCACCGGACATGGACACCTGCTACACCCGAGGGTGTGCAGATGCGTAGACAACCTTTTGAAAATTGGGCTTCGGCCACCTCACTCGCACGACGAAACGCGAAAGTGTTACACTTCCACTTTACGCCGGTCTTCTGTGAGGTCGTGGTGCTTACCCGGACGAGCCTGCCCATTCGTGCAACAGCCGAGGCTGCTGCGTGGCCATCAATTCAGATTTAAGCATCCCTTTGGCAACTCAAATGACATTTTAAAAGCCAGCTGATTAGTTAGTTTCTACGATGAACAGTATTTCAGAAATCAGACGTGAATCGTTACACGTCTTCATGTTAAAGTTAACACCGGTTACCGTCAATTATTTAAAAAAAACTATTATGTAAGTAAGGGTATTGAATTGTTTTTCGACCACTTTAAACTTAAGAACCCATAACAGATCAAGGGCTGTTTGAAAGAATTTGCTACGGGCCCCGCGTTTGCTTAGTCTAGCACTGCCTACTGTAAACTGCTACTAGGCTGAAGCACTACTTGATGAATTCTTGTCTACGCAAATCTTCCTTCTCCTGCCCTTATCCAACACTAGAGGAGGTCGACAAGACATGTCCTTTCTTTCCATTCTCCTCTATCAGCCGTCATATCAATACTGACCCCTTTCACAGACATATCATTCATCGCATAATCCATCCAAATCTTTCTCATTCTTTCGTTTTGTGTTACACCCTCTTACGCAACTAGAAACTAATTTACGCATTTCTTACGCATTTAACTTCAGGACTCCGACAACTTCCATTGTTCGTCGGCAATTATAAACAATATCAAACTCAAAAAGTCCGTAAATTATTACTTTACAACACTCCAACTAACGAATAAATTCTATAACACCCCTAATTAGCTAATTAGCTTCGCGTTAAACTATTCGACTGTCCCCCGTTCACTCACCACTTCATTTGTCTGCTTCTGTGTTTGTTCGCCCGCTTGTTTGTGCGTCCGATTGTTTGTTCGTCCGCTCTCCGCGCCGAACTAATTATCGGGAGCGGACCGCTATATGATTGGTCGAACGGGATGTTGACTAGAGCAACGTTGCAGCTCCGAAAACGCACGGGCGGCTCAGGGCGTTTCGGCCGACTACGTAAAAAGGGTATTAGGCGTGAAAAAGACGATACGCTATTTATGACGATATTTATGTTAGTAGATGGCAAACGAGCTGGCGGTTTACCTGATTTTAAGTGAGAACGTCGCCCGTGGACATTTGCTATACTGGGTAACAAATGCCTTGACACCTGTCAATAAAGTGGGCCCCGGCTACCTCACTCACCAGACAAATGGCACAGGTATAAGACTTCACTTCACGGCGGTCTTTTGTGGTCGTGGCCCGGACGGACCGGCACATTCGTGCAACAGTAAATACTACCGCGTGACCATAACACAGTAAAAATTTTACAATGAACATAACGATGGAAAATTAAAGCTTCAAAATTATCCGTTGCCTATCTAGATTAGATATAACAAAAGAACAAACAGGCCTGAAAATATGATTTTATATATACATATAAAAGCCTGCCCTTGTAAGCTCATCAATAAAAAAAAATCACTTAAAAAAAATTCGGGCGCAAACAAAAAAAGAAATCATTTAAGAACGTTGCAACGCTGCTCCGCGCAGGCGCGCTATCGCCGCGGCTTCATATCTCATTTGCCCTGCGACCCGTTGAATTAAAGATTCATTAATACCTGACCAGTCTAACCTGGTCCCCGTCGACCCGAACAAACGCCGCGTTTACTTCGCGCACGCCAACGGGCGAGAGGGGGGCGGGGTCCCACGCCGGACGGTCGACTTACGCGCATCGCACGCGACTGTTTTTCGTCAATTTGGTGAGCGGACGAGAGAAAAGCGCCGATATTTGGCAATGCCCGCCAAGAAGAATGCCAAATCCTACCTAAATTAAGCATAAGCATTAAGAACGACTTTACGATCATATTACTGGTCAATGATCGCGATACTTTAAAATGGCGCCTTAAAATTGTAAATCAGTAACCTCCTTAAATAAGTACACAAAATGGACAGTCATAGACCGAAAGAAAGGCGAAACGGAGGGTAAATCAAATTTAGAACGCTCGATAACCTTTTTTAATTTTAATCTTATCGTCAAAACTTTCATATCGTAATGTGCGTACGCGAAATAAAACTTTAGTCATAACCTTATCTGGATTCAAATTCTCATTTCTATTCTGCAGACATAATATATCACAAATAGAACTGACTCGAAATAAATATAGAGTATAAAATGATTCAAACTACAACGAACAAATGACAAAAAAATTACGAATCATAAAAGTAATTAAAAAAATAACAATAAGAAAGTCGTTTGCCATGAAGAGAAAAAAAATAAGAAAAAATGGCGGGAAGAGACAGCGTGTCTTCATAAAATATGATAATGTATTACTGATGTGCTACTAATTATTACCATTAACATTTGAATATAATTTTTTTCTCATTGTAGTTTTTCATTGTTAATTTAAGGAGTATTATGTGTTTATTGCCGTTAATTTTTTTTATTTTTATTCAGCTTACGATAAAATCAATGTAGCTAAACGAATTTAGCATATTTAAATTCCGAACAAGTGCATATAAATAAAGTTAAACTATGATAAATTCACTCACGGTTTTACAGGAGCGTCGGGATCATTTTACGAGAGAAACTAACGCTACCGATCGAGCGATATTACGAGCTACCTGCAATTTTAGCGATTTGAAGACACACCGTCAATATTAATTTAATAGTGAGGCATTGAAGCGGACATTTTGTTCGGAGGCGCGCACGCTGCGAATGAGACATTACGGTCCGATCCGCGCCGATGCGCTGACAGTTGAGACTAGCTTGGCACACGGCTGCACTCGTGTTAACCAAACATTTTATGTGAGAGATGGCAAGCGAGCCGGTCCTTCATCCGACGTTGAGTGATAACCGCCCCTGTATCTGTAACACCCGTAGGGTTGTGTATGCGTTGTCCTTTTAATAAAATGTGTACCAGGTACCTCACTCGCCAGGAACGCAAAAGTATAATACTTCAAATTCGCGCCGGTCTTCTATTAGTTTGTGGTTGTAAGAGGCAAGGACTACTACGCGGCCCTACTAGGAGTGAGACGTATTTATCGTAACAGGTAATTATAACAGGTGTCTTGAGATTAGACAGAACAGAACAGACTGTACCTGTTACGAACAAACTTAAATAACAGTTCCTGTTCCTTAACACGCTGTCACAAGCTTATCTGTGTTCATGCATACGATTGTCACCTTAATTAGAAAGAGATAAAAATTGTTGTACTTGCATACTGTCTCAATGGTAACAGTGATTGTCACAACATAGTATACATACTATATAACAGCCTGGTAGTTAAGCCTAACAGTTATTTCCCACTGTTACTGTTAAGTCACAGGAACAGGCGTAACAATTTCTCGATTTTACCTAGTATAACTCACTCCTAGATACCATACCGCAATTCAGTCATCGTAACCTCATATGCGCTGTCTCTTTTTAAGTTTTGATTATAAAAATATCGATTTTTTTATCCCATATTTATGGTTAACTGACACCCATGGCAAAAAGCCTAGAGGGCAGGCGTACCGCAAGCCATAGAGTTAATTGAATCGTTTTGGATAGTTTTAAATTTACCATGGTCTTTATTCATTATGCGTATAGATGGCGCTGGTACAATAATTAATAGACAATTTACCTATTGAAATGTACCAAAAAAAACTATAGGTGCATAATTTTTTTTAATAACGTTCGTGCGATTTAGTTAATGATATTGATATTGTGATTATACATATCTATAACCACAATACGAATGTGTAAGTAGGTAAGTGTATAAGTACCTAATTGTTCATTGCTTGGTTTTACACAAATGGGCCCCCATTTGTTAACTTCTATAAACCTTCATGTTTTGTAAATGTCCATGGGTGGCGGTAGATGAACCTGCCCATCTTCCTGCTCGACAATTTTTTCTTGAAAAAAAAAAACCTCCATTAACTTATCTACAAGAAAGTAAGCTAAAGAAAATTATTACATGGAGAGCTTCATGGATATACTACCTCCGTTTGTAGACGCAACCACTGAAAATGAAAATAAATGAACTTATGTAGACGGGGGAAATAGGATTAATCTATGTTCACCATTATTTAGGGACAGGAATGACAGTTAATGTCATTGTGAAATCTTTTAATTTTTTATTAGGCAATTAAATAATATTCAGGCAATTTTATATTTTACTACTCACCTAACCTAACCGCTGTTAAAAATGTTTTCTATTTATTTATACATTTTTATTTGACATTTGGGAAACTGACTTTTTTAAAGCGCGCCAATCAAAAAGAAGGTTGGCAAGCATTCATCTAATCAAAATGTCGGATTGAATGCCATGACTACTAAAAGATAAGACTAAACACAGTTTTTTTTTTTAAAATTAACACAAATCAAAAGTATTGAATAAATGTTTACAACTTGTATCATTCAAATTGTTTGTTTTGCAGTGTTGGGTGTGTTAAAAATAAATAATAGTAGACCAAAAATACAAATTGCTAAGCAAGGCGTTGTCTCAAATAGTTCTTACTCAGGAAACGTTTCAGTGGGAAGTTACTATTAGAAAATAAGGCTTAGTGAAATGGGGCCGCGATTAATACTACCTTCCTCAAAAACGCAGGGTACGCGACGCTATCAATCTTACGTTAGGACAAATTACAAACTAATCATTTTGTTGAGTAAAATCATTCTTTTAAAGCCCATGAGCCACAAATAATATTGTTGTCAACTTTTAAAAAAACTTTTTTTTTAAATTAAACCGCCGAAATAACTGAAAAGCAAAAAATATTAAAACTGTTTCATTAAACCTTAATAAAAAAATTTAAATAAATGTTAGCATACCCAAGTAATAAAAAAAAGAATAATCAAAATAGGCTACTCTGTAAAGAGTTATGCATGGTCATACTTAAAAAAACCAAAGCGCGTCGATTTGAAAACCTCCTCCATTTTTTCGTCGGTAAAAAAAAACAGACTTTGTCTATACCTTTAGGATTGTTTTTAAATCAATTGTAAGTCCAAAGCCACTGGTCGGTGAGTATCTTATCATACATAAAGATAAGCCCTATCTTGGCAGATTTTATCTAATATATAAAATTCTCGTGTCACGGTGTTTGTAATTGAACTCCTCCGAAACGGCTCGACCGATTTTCGTAAAATTTTGTGTCCATATCGGCCGGGGTAGACAATCGGAAAACATCTGTTTTTCATCCCCCTAAATGTTAAGGGTGGTCCACCCCTCAATTTTTTATTATTTTTTATATAAAATTTTTGTTCTTATTTTTTTATGATACAGTATACAAAAATACATACAACCCTAAATATTCGTCTACGCAGATGTTGTCGCGGGCAGCAGCTAGTTATTTACATAAATAAAAATGATAGAGGTCTGCCGGTGTGAGCGCATCACGGAAAAACTGCTGAATAAACTTCAATTAATACCCCTGAGACAAAGTCGCGGGTATCAGTTAGTTTTATAAAAGACTAGCGACCCGCCTCGATTTCGCACGGGTGCAATGTATTATGCATATAAACCTTCCTCGTGAATCACTCTATCTATTAAAAAAAACGCACCAAGATCCGTTGCGTACTTTTAAAGATCTGAGCATACATAGGGATAGACAAACAGCGGGATGACTTTATTTTATACTATGTAGTGATAATTAAATAAAGATTTCGTGCGAGAACAGCCGTTTTTGTTTATTGAATCGACTTGAAGCATCTGTGACGGCTATCCAAACGTAATTTTGTACTAGAAAAGCTTAAACAAAATAGTTAAATATGGTTAAACACTCTTCGACTGTTCGTAGAAACAGGATAAATCCACGATGACTCGCTGCGTAAGCGTTTGGATTCGGAGCCAGTGGTCGTGGGTTCGACTGTCACATAGGACAAGTATTTGTGTGATTCACAGATGCACCCTCACAGGTCTGAGTGTTTGCACCCGAGGAGTTTAAAAGGCGTTAAAAAACCCAAACAATACCAATTACAACATGTTTCACACGTTGTGCCGACCCCACCTAGATGGGATAAGAGCAGAAGAACGGGGACTTTATCGAAGCAACAACCCCCTATGTGACTTGGTCACTGTGCCATACTAACAATCAAACATGGAGCGTTAAACGATTTATCCACAAAAAATCGTTGTCATCTCCTACCGACGCCTAAAAGGAGGCAATTAGACCCGCATACAATGCGATTTTCATGTAGTAAACAGTTTTAAAGCAGTAAGTAATTTTAAATCTTATCTCGAATACAACGCTTGCCGCTCGACTGCGCCCGCTTTAAATTGTTATTCGCAGAACTTCAAATCGCAAAGATATTAAGTACATAAGTACATTTTAACAAAAAAAACTCAAAAAAGCCTCGCTACATAAATATACCAGGACACATTTTTACACAACCTTCTCTAGTCACAAACTAAGCAACGCTTATACTATGGGTACTAGATAACTGATAAATATAAAAAATATGAGAGTATAATTATTACAATCATACAGACAGCCTAAAAGCGACATAATGAAGTTGGTTACAAAGCGACTGACTTCATGGTATTATCATGGAAACCAGTAAAACTTTTTGACATTTACTTAAACTTCCAAGTTATTTAATTATACCGCTATGAACTGCATTTAATATATTTTACACAAACAGAGAGTACTGGCACAGGGGATACAATTTTTAGTTATTTATATTTTACAAGTATAATTTCTTACGTAGGTATGTATGTTTCTTATTAATGTACGTACAGCAGTACCGTACAATGTAGTACACACATATGTATGTACTGCACAGGTATGTACATACATTCTGCATTACGTAGTTTTATACTATAACCTTAATAAATTGTGCATTAATAACAGTTCATAATTTTTTCATATTTAAATTAATGAGAAAACGCTTTGGGGTTGTTTGGAAGTTACAACATGTAACCAATAGATGGCGCGATAACGTAACAACATAATGTTCTCGATGATTTTAACTATAATTTTAAACACGGACGATGCCGCGTGTTCGAGCTGTGTGATGTGAACGTATACGTATAAAAATCCCCGATGCAAAAAGTCGCAGTCATAACGATGGGCTGCCACAGATCGACTGTCATCATCCTCAGTGTCATATACTTTGGAAGTTGTGAGTATAGATGTTACATTAACTATATTTAAAATAATTATAATAAAGGCTCAAGGCAGGCATGGAAAAACTAGGATAAATTTACGCTTAAAATTACTACAATAAGTAATTACTATGCACGTTTTTTTTTTATGTGAACATAAAAATACCTGAAAAAATGCTTTAAATTTTTTTTAGTTATTTTTGTAGTCCGCATTAATATGGTAATATATATTACATTGAATAAAAAAACGAATAGCCTTCTCATCAACACATCCTTTATATTTAACAAAAAAAGAACTCCTTATTTTAAAACAACATCCTTCTCTTTTGGTTTCACTGCAGTCGGGTAAGAATAACAGTTGGGGATTATGCCTGTCTGTCTTTTTTTATTGGTAATTTATCAGCTTCGACTGTTGCCTATTTGTGTAACAGCCAAAGCTGCGTGGCACTGCCACAGAAACGAATTGAAGAACCCAACGGCAGAGACGATATCCTAGCAACTGCACCGCGAAGTCATCAGATATCAAAACAGATATTAAAACAAATATTGAAAGAAATTCAACAATACTTTGCAAACCTAGAAATATTATGTTGGCAATGTCATATTTTAGGGTTGACTTTTGACAGTTACAGAAATATATAATGTTTTGTTCGCTTAGATCTTTTAAGCTATGTATTGGATTACAATGCGGTTTTCAGCAATAGATAGAGTGATTCAAGAGGAAGGTTTAGATGCAGTATACATACATATAATACAGAAAAGCCAAGAAATTCAATATCTACATTGGATTCGTGCGAAGCAGGGGCGGGTCGCTAGTGGGATATATTTTAATTATTTAAACGATTTAGACATCACTTGGATTCTTTTGTCAGTAATATTTTAACTGTCAACACTTGGATAACTCGTACATATTTTAATATTTATAATAATTTACTAACCAACATTTTCCATTTCAGATGTCCTCGCCTTTGAAACGAACTCGCGGCAGAAGCGGTGAGAGACATTTAAATAGTGACCATTTTTTAAAGTTGGTAATGCTTGACATTCAGTACAAGCAATAATATAGGCTATATTGAGTAAAGAAATTTTTACTTCGACTTGGAAAGTTAAACGTAACTCGTTTAGTTCCACTCAGCTTTAACTACAAAAACGGGTATTTCACTAAAATTTGTGCAGTTTAAAAAAGGAATTACCTACATTTCTTCTTAATTTTTGTGTATAGTAGTGACTATACACAACTAATGTAAAGGATAATGCCCTATTCGTATGGACCATTTACCTTGCCCCACTATAAATGTTCATGCCGAGCAATGATTAAATTTTTGTATCACCATAAAGGTGATTAAACTAACTTTTCGGTACATTAAACATGAAATCGAAAAAATACTATATAATGAGGCAAAAGACATTTCAAAATAGAATAAAACAATAAGAGTCCGGCGGAAATTATGAGACGTTGGTAAAGTTAAGTCACAGAATGTGACAGGAACACTTGACAAACTTGAAAGATAGAAAGAAAGATAGAACAGAACTTGAAAGAAACACTTGATAAACATGCGATTCCGGTTCAGATGCATCGTGGTGCAGAAGCAGTCTGGCACCCACGGTGACAGCAGCGAGGGTGGTGGTGACGAGGAAGGGGCGCCTGAGCCTCGCGACTCCAGGTCCGATAGACGTGTTCTGGATCCGTTAGCGAATGTTAGGGACGTGGAGGTACTATACTTAAATGATATTAAATTATATGGGGCGATTTATCATTTGCATTACGGACCCTATTTATGTAATTTTTACAAAGTTTACAAGCGTTACATCGTTTCATGCAAGTTAAAAGTAACTGGGAAAATTCTATTATAACAACCCTCTAAGTTTGAACAAAAGTATAGAGTGGTGGCTCTATTTGGAACTAACTAACATCGAATAATTTTTTGGAAAAAATTATACAATTAACATTTTATCTAAGAAAGATGTTATAACCGTAAACATGGAACATTTGTCTGTGACGTAATAGGCCAGATTCAGTTAACGGATTTGATAACGCACGGTTTTGTTTCTAGTTTCGATTCGGTTCGGGAGTAAGATTTTCAAATCGAGTTCAATCGAATCGAAAACAAAAACAAATTCGAATCGAATTTGAGGAGTAACACGGCAGGTCTTGTAAGTCGGCAAAATACCGAACGGACGTAGTGATTTAACTCGTGAAGGAAAGTCTAGATGGCGCTGTAAAGACAGACGCATCATAAAATAACGTTCGTAGCATGCCGTTTCCTGTAAAGTGTAGGTATATAATATTACTCCAAGTTTATTTTTCGTCATTAGCGAAGAACATCATCTTTGAAAAGGTGTTTAATAAATTAAATTTTACTAAGAATAACGAAAACTTATTTGAGAAATAATGTTTCTAATAAAGTAAATTAAAGTTTTCAAAGACACTAGCATTGAAAGACATTTTATAAGTGTACACCGAATAAAAAAAAATTCATTTGTTCATTCCATATTTCTTTCAAAGCAGTCCATATTTAATATATTTGATATCAATGATTCATGCCTCGAAGTATTAAATAAGGGATAACGGTGTTGCAAATGTCCATGGGCGGCGGTTATCCTCAACATCAGGTGAACCACCAGCTCGCTTGCCATCTTATCACATAAAAAAGAAGTACTCTGTACAGTATAATAAATACTGGCATAATAAATATTTCACTCGATTTTTTTTTAATCAAAAAAATAATTAGTCTAAACTAAGCAAATCCATTTCCATTTGATAGCTTGTAACAATGACATCTAGTGTGTAAATTAGGATTTAGCGCGTATCCAGCATAATAAATTAGTGTTACAGATAATTATATCAAATTAATTATAATAAAACGCCACTTATAAAAATACTATTAAAGACACTTTTGATTAATATTTTCACCTTGAGTTGTTTAACTAAACGTCAACGTTTTTCTCATGTGTATGTGAAAATAAATTAATGATTTAAGTTATCTGATGAATCTTCTTTAAATACTGTTTAATTTTTCTCGCAGGAACTACCGCCGAATTTATTGAAATATAGAATTTCGCCGGCAAAGAGATACTCCAGCGACTGGCACCATTACATGAATCGAATCTACAAAAATCACATATAGTGCTATCTAACGGTGGCGTCATCCTTTAATAAAGTAACCTAATTTGTTATCTGCAACGATATATTGTATACTTTGTTGTATCAAAATACATAGATATTATTTGTATACTAATAAATGACATGAATTAAAAAAAATAGTTTAAATTTATCTATCTCTATTCTTAAAATTTGGAAGTTGATCTCGTGTTAAGAGTGACATCTAGTTTGTTAAGTTGTTAACTATTCACACGTAATAGTTTCTTGTATTGTATTTACGCTTACACGTTACTAAATGAAACTTTGTTTACGGATTTATCGCGTTTAATTTTAATTTTAGTCACGTTTATAATTATCATAAATAGTACCTATATGATAATTATAACCGATTGACGAAAAAAGGTTTAGGAGTAACAGCCTCGTATTGGCCACCGTACTATAGGACGATTCCACTAGATGGAGTGAAGACCAGTGTGAATGTGCGGATTAATGGTCATGGCAGTCTGTATGATGAATGGTCTGTAGAGGCAGTGGACTACAAAAATGATTATGATGATATATAAAAAAATATATATGAAAATATAAAAAAAGCAACTGGAACTGACACAGTGCAATTATTACGCGTTATTAGTAGGTAACAAGTTTTAAGTTTATTTAAATGAGTTGAGCAAAAGTATATCGCAAATTAATGCGCAAGAATAAATACTATGAATGGGGGATTTCTTTAGTGAAAATAACAAGTTTTAAATACTTTTTATCTAAAACTACAAGCCACCGGAGAATTGTCCCGTGACCATGAACGCTGTAAAGGGTTCGAAACGTCGGGAATTAAAATTAAAAATAAACGCGATAAATCCGTAAAATTAGTTTCATTTATAATGTGTAATCGCGTATTAAAGGGATTTTTCTTTAAATTTTTTTAGTTCGAAAAAGACCCAGCACTAATAGGAAAAAATAGAAAAAAAATTTTAAATTTTCAATCTTTAAAATTTGTAGAAAAAGTACGAAAATATTGTCGCCGCTGTGGGAATCGAACCCACGTCTTCGGCATTCGAGGCTTAATGCTTTAGCCACTTAGTAAGCTTTTCGTACTTTTTTTACAAATTTTAATTTTTAATCTTAAGTGCAGACTGCACTTAAAGCACATAAAATTTAAATTTTAAATCAAATATTATGATAATTAATTTCCCTCCAAAAGTGAGTACGCAAGCTTTTTTTTAATTGCACATACGTGATACGTCACGTGTTTTGTTTTTAATTACCTTATTTGCAACCAGTTCCGAAATATTTCTAGAAAATCGAAAACAGACTAAAAAACCTGAAAATTGAAAAAAGGCAAATTGGTAGCCAGAAAAGATACATCAGGTTGCATTAACAATGTTTTATTAATAAAAACTCTCATTTTCACGACACACCCCTAAAACACCAAACGATCGATATTCGAAAACTTAAATTACACAACGGATTTAAAAATTTAAATTACAAAGCTTACAGCTATCTCGTATAGTACAATATATTGCGTCCATAAACGTTTGAGATGTAAATTCAATTATTGCACTTCGTAAAGGTTACGGTTATTGGCAGAATCTATCACATATTTTCTAATAGGTCTGCATCCTTAGAGTCAATCATTTTTCAATTCTCGATTCTCCGGGCTTACATAGTCATGCACGAAAGGCTTGTCGCCGTTTGAAGTAAACATGTGACAGCTATTTGCATGTAAGTAAACTCATACTGGGATGTAACCCGCGACATTCGTCAAAATTTGATATATCATGCCCTATACTGTCTTTGTAGTTTTCCCCTTTTTGACAACATTCATTAAAACATAAATAGGTATCATTAATACTGTTTGTTGTGTTGTTTTAAATTGGTACTAGTGCGAAATTTTCGCGTAATAACGTGATCAATTAATGAAATGGCAATGATAGGTTCGGAGTCATTTCGCTTTTTTGCCAACAGATCCCGATTTTTCCTTTTTCTTTACAGCCTTGCTGTTTTTACACGAAAGTACTGATGATGTAATGTAAGGCTTGTTTGATAAAATTTATGTTCGATTCTGTGCACAATAGTGCAAATGTTAGTGTTTTTTAATAAGTTATAGTAGTAAAGCTTTTACAGATCAAATGGAATTATCGTGGAATATAATTATATTCTTCAGATTTGGCACCTTCGGACTGTTACTTGTTTTGGTCTCTGCAAAAGAGACAAGGGGAAAGACCTTTACTTCAAATGAATCAAATATCACTTGGATCGGTTTACCAGCAAATATCACAAGTTTATCACGCGTAGATTTAATCACTTTCTCGATTGATGTCAAAAGGTATTGGACCAGAAATGGCAACATTAATCTTGACAAAACAATTCTATTTCGCTATCTCTCACTTAAACAAGGTGTCAGCTGATGGCGTTATCATACATTCGTTATAAGTTTTGAAACGAGTTTTTTTTGTGAAAACTATAGCGGTAAACATGAGCATTACAATGGCTTTTTAATCATTAAACTTGATGAAGAATTATGGATCTCATGGTATACAGCGTACCGACAAAAAACATGTTTGAGAGATAATATACAGAGATCTCAATACAGTCCGTAAAGAGGAAAAATGTAACAGAGTAAGGCTTTCATTTAGAGTAAAAATTGTCTTCAAGGCAACATTGAACAGACCTTTAATGTGCTTTTTTTGTTAACCGCTGACGGCTCTTTAATATTTCGACACCGTGATTCTAATACTTTTTTTTTAAACTTAAATGCTTCAAAAGTCTATCTGAACACACCAGAGACTTTGTACAAACATGAAAAAACAGCCATTATCCTTTACCGTACTTAAGAATATTTCACAAAAATCCACCATGTTGCTTCGCAAAACATTAGTACCAACTTACGAACATTTAAATGATCAAAAATACATAATAATATTTGAAGGACATAACGAATTTAGTTTTAACTTAGATTTTTGAAACAACAATAATTTAATACACTATAAATAATAAGCAACAGTACATTTACATTCGATGTATAACTTAGGCAATTTCATTTTTTTTAAATGTAATATCAATATTATTAAATAAGCAAACGGGCATTGTAATATAAATATTGTTATTTAATATAATATTTTAAAGAAAATAATACAATTTGTTGAATACAAAACATAAGTTGAATCAAAATTATGCTTATATCTATTAGATCCGGAGAAAATATTAATTAAAACGTCTTTGTCTGAAAGCGTTATAGATAAAAAATCCTTTTATTTTATACAGGTTCTTTTTAATATTGCCAAAACAAAACTTTATCAATAGAAAGCTAATGATGTACTAAAATTAGATTGTCGTAAATGTTTGCTTTCTAACTGCCTAATAATAAAAATTTTAAAAAGAAATTTAAAGAATTCAACATAAATAAATTATCATATAACTATAGCTCTGCAATTAAGCGTCAAATTTAAATTTAGACAGATAACGTTGAGTTATAACTGTAAATACTAATCAAAATATCGAAATGTACTTACATAACAGTGTTATAATAATATTTCCATTATACCCATAATATAATAATCATCATCAAGATAATATATAATATAATAATATATTATGAATATCAAACAATGAACTTGGTGAAATAAGAAAAAATACAACTGTTTAAAAAATAAACGAAGCGTTTACAGCGGCTTCGTATTTATACGAGAACAATACAAAAATTAGACATAAAGGATACACATGTTTTGAAATTTGAAACAAACTAAAATAAATTAATAAATGAAACTATGTATGTCTACGGATTGTCGCGTTTATGTGGAATCTTTGACCATGAACGCTGTATAGGGTTCGAAACGTCGGGAATTAAAACTAAAAAATAAACGCGATAAATCCGTAAACATAGTTTCATTTAGTAATTGCGTAAATACAATAAATTATTATGACATTAAATTATCAAGCTATGGAATGATCGAAGAAACCTTATTAATAAATTTAGAAACAGTTTTGAAAGAAGCCAATGCACTCGCATATATGTTATTTTGATCGTTTTAGGCCTTTCCCCTAATACTTAGATTACAAAATCTGAGAAATGAGAACAATAGTCAAACCATCGCGTAACGTACTTTCATCATAAAAAAACCTGATTTAGCAATTATTTTATCTATCAGAGTATAGACAAGAGTAAAAAAAACTTACTGCAATAAAAAAAATCCATGCTTTTTTACTTTTTTTTTCCAAGAAATAGCCTTAGGAATTGTTATCTACGCGTCGAAAAACCGTTTGTCAATAATTTTTTTTTTAGGTAGAGATTTGGTTCATAATAGACTGAAAAATCACGCTCATCAGGTTTCACCGATTTGTTATGTACATGACTAGACACTATCACTCGAACTACACGGTAAAAAATGCTAACTATGAAACTACAGTAAATAACCTATCGAATCTCCGCTTAGGGGCCGTCCATTAATTACTTGATGTTTTATAACATTTTTACCCCCCTCCGCCCCCTTGGTGATACGGTGAGGTTTAAGTTTAGCTTCTTAGCTTTCCTTCCCGAATTTAAGGCATTAAACTGACGTTCCAATTCGTCGTTTAAACTTTTCAACAGTTAAAGAACTAACGCTTCCTAGTGCATTTACGAATTGGTTTACATACTTGCTCGTTTTTCCGTACCCGTTGACGGCCGTCAGCGAACTTAAGTCATATACGCACATAAACAGCAAAATCAAATCGCTAAGCACACTTTACAAAACACACAGAAAAGTCAACACTCCATTCCCCAACTTCATTATAATTCCGTTACGTTTTTATTCAATCAATATAGCGTTCAAAAACGTGCGGCTCCAATCTTACGAATTAGAGGACCTTAAGGCTAATTATCATTTACAACTATTCTAGATTAGAACACAGTTATGTCTTTTGCGTTTGTATCTCTGAGAGACTGGTACGAGTAACGAGGAATTACACCATGTCATGAATATTAGTAAGTAAATTGTCAAGTCAGTAAATTGAATACCGTCAACACGCGTTTAAAATGAAAATTCAATTGTCTATGGTGAATGTAAATATGTCGAACTGAAAAAAAAAAACACGAGGCCGTATCAACACCACATCATCTTACCTTAGAAAAAATTCTAACCCTTTCCTAGTAACATACTTTTCGTGAGCAGATTCTTTGTACAATTTGAGTTATCACTAAGGCCTATCAGTGTTATATAGAGGATAATTTTATACAATCAATATATTTTTATCAAAACCCTTAGTACTGATAGAAAATTTTCTCCCTAAATTATATTCGCAGCCTTTGAAATTTCATTTCTATTTCATCTCGAGTAAAACTGGTAATATTTATTAAATTAAAAACCAGTAAACGATTTTTTATTCACACATTATAACAGCTGGGACAGATTATAAAAACGTAATGTCAAAACATTGGCGGGAAATATTTTTCATTATTGTAGTTTAACGGCTGGGGATTTCTCCATACAGCCTATTCTTTATTACAGCTTTGGCGGTACGGAGAAGTCGTGACAGCTGGGTAGGAGTAAACACGCCATAGAGTAAAAAGTTTAGAATAATTTTATCAACACGTTTATGGGCTATGCTATGATCTGTACGTGCTTCTTCTGCTCCCTGGGCTCCTTCAGGACATAGGATGTGGTCCTCCGTAAGGACCCTACGGAATCTAGTCAAACAAACAATAAATATAATCAGTAAATAGTAAAGATATCCCTTTGTATTCGCCCCTAAAACAATTTAATCACATATAAAAATATATATGTAAAATGATTTCATTCACACACTAAAAACTCGATTTATTTCCGATGGGGTAGTATGTTGTCAATTTTGGTGATTTGTCTGACTCACAAGTTCACCTAAATTGACGACTTGACTCTAAGTTCGTGTTTTTAGTAAGATGTTTAAAACACTGCGTCGAGCAGTTCCTAGAAAAGGGATCGCTTGTTACAAATAAGCTAAAAAAACTAAAACATTGCTTTTTGCCTCGGCAAAGTAAGACAGAGCCTTTAATCAACAAAACACACGTTTGCAATATGCTTGGCTGCTTAACAATATGTAATCCTTGGTTATTGGAAATGTGGAGACGATGTACCGGGATAGAAGCAACTTCTCATAATCAAATATGAAAATATAAAACTGACTTAGATAGAGGCGGGCATAGTCATCGGCAAAGGACAGAGGCTCACTATAATAGAATGACCAAGCAGAGCTAGACAGACAGATTGGGTTTAAGCCCTGGCTGGCCAAAATGACGGAATAGCAGACGGATCAAGTAATACAACTCGTGATTAAAGACAAGCGTACGCACTTGGATAAGTTAGACTTAAAAGTAACAGCCTATATATGTACAACCATTGGACAAAGGCCTTCTGTACATTGGGTATTTGGGCATAGTCCACGACGCGACCGCACTACGGATTGGCAACCCTACGTAAGTTATAGATGTCCATGGGCGGCGGTAATCACTTAAAAACGGGTGAGTCACTTTATAATTCTGTTTTTTACTATCGTCGAGCCGTGATAGCTCAGTGTCCGGGTGCTCGCCTTTAATTCAATATACTCGAGCAACCTGAGTTCGATCCCCGATGCCGGCACCAACGAAATTTTTAATTTCAAGTGCTGACTTATCACGTGCTCCGCGGTGAAGGAAACATCGGGAGGAAACCTGCACATTTTCAAAATAATAACAAAAAAAATTATTAGATTATAGGTATGTGAAGTCCGCCAATCCGCAGTGGGGCCGCGTGGTGGATTATGCCCTAATACCCTCTGTACAGAGGAGGCCTTTGCCCAGCAATGACACATGTACAGGCTGTTACTTTACTTTTTTACTTTTACTATTTGTCGTTGTAGCGCCAACAGAAATACATCATCTGTGAAAATTTCACCTGTCTAACTATCACGGTTCACGAGATACAGCCTGGTGACAGACGGACAGACAGACAGCGAAGTCTTATGCCCGGTTCCTATGTTCAATGGACGGACGTTAGTACATAGCTTCGTAACTTTCATAACGACTTGTAGATTAAAGGAAAGCTAGTAACTTACTTTCCGTAGTTAATGCAACGGTTCGTAGGGAAAACACAACGTTTTGTTAATATAGTACACGCCTTTTATTAAGTTACGAAGATATGTAACTAACGGCCGTTCGTTGAATGTAGGAACCGGGGATTAGTGATAGGGTCCTGTTTTCCTCTTTGGGTATTCGGTCAGTAAGTGGGGGGTGCTCACTGTGGTGGGCGCAGCGGGGGGCGCGGGGGCGCGGCAGCGAGGCGGCGGGCGAGGCGGGCGCGGACGCATGCCCGCGCCCCGCCCCGCGCTACGACCACCGCAGCTCCTTCAGCTCGACGGTGCTTGACGGGTCCGGCATCTGCGCCAAAGTAGCAAGCGCCAAGTCACAATTTGCTCCGAGTCACAATCTCCACAGAGTCACAATCTGCACCGAGTCACAATCTACACCGAGTCACAATCTGCTGCACCGAGTCACAATCTGCACCGAGTCACAATCTGCACCAAGTTACAATCTGCACCAAGTTACAATCTGCACCAAGTTACAATCTGCACCAAGTTACAATCTGCACCAAGTTACAACGGTGGTACCGCGCAACATTCTTCGCTGTTGCACGAATGGGCAGCTCCGTTCGGGTAAGTACCACAACCTCACGGTGAATCAGCGTTTCATCCTGTGAGTGAGGTAGCTGGGGCCCACATTATTGAGAAGTGCCAACCCTACGGGTGTTGCAAATATCAATGGGCGGCGATTATCATTTACCATCAGGTGAACCGCTAACTCGTTTGCCACCTTCTCACATAAAAAAAAAATTGGGTGGGTGTACGTGCGTGGGAACTTCTTTGGCACTATAAAAAATAGTTTTTAATTGCATACAAATAATTAATAACAATAAAATGATAAAAAGTCTGGAAAAGGATATAAATAATAAAAATAATAAAATTATGAAAGGTGCCATCTACATTGATTTTTACTACATTGATTTATTGAGAACTGTAACGGGCGAACATGATTATATATATGCCGCCATCAATAAAAATTAGCGGGCAGCTTCAAAGGTGTGACTTTTGTGTTACAGTGGTGCACGAGCATCCTAAAATTTCACTCATTATTTTTTCATAACGCACCTAAAGAAGTATAACTTCAAAAAGTTAGCAAGCACCGAGTTAGCAAGTGCTATGCCGGTTAACTGATATGCCTAATTCATCCAACTCTTACTAACTTGTGGTAGGGCCACCCAACAACTGCTGTCAACTATTAAAATGTGTAGAAAAACGTAGGTAAAGTTTTTCGCCGCTGTGGGAACCGAACCCACGGTTCCGGCATTCGTGCCCAGATGCTTTAACCACTAAGTCAAACGGCCAATTGCCACACTCAAAGTCTTTTGTCTAAATTGTTTTTTTTTTTTTGCATTCCGAGCAATACTTGACGCATCCATTGTTATACACTGTACAGCATACAAACGATTTAATCAGAGTTTAGCACTATAAAAATTTAAACTTCTAAAGAGCAATGGCGACATCTCCCATTCGAATTATCGTTGTTAAACTACTGTGGTAGGGCCACGCAGCCTCCGCTGTTGCATGAATGGGCAGGCTCGTCCGGGTAAGTACCACGACCTGACAGAAGACTGGTGTGAAGGGGAAATATTATACCTTCGCGGTTAGTCTGGTGAGTGAGGTAGCCGGAGCCCAATTTTCAAAAGGTTGTCAACGCATCCATGATGTCCATGGGCGGCGATATTCACTTAACATCAGGTCAAATGCCTGCTTGGCAACCTTTCACATAAAAAACAAAAAAAAACGAAACGAAATTATCCGATACCTCGTATCTAGAAGGCGCAGGTGGTACATGTGTAGCTGGTGAGCATCTGGAACAACCGTGTCTCAATACGGTTCTCGAAGATCCGCCTCTCATGGCCGTCCTCAATTCCTATCGTGAAATAAATATAACTGACATTTCTGCTACAAGTAAAATCTAATATATAAAATTCTCGTGTCACGGGGTTCGAACTTGAACTCCTCCGAAACGGCTCGACCGATTTTTACCAAATTTTATATGCGTATTCAGTAGGTCTGAGAATCGGCTACTATCTATTTTCCGTCCCCCTAAATGTTAAGGGGGTAGTCCACCCCTAAATTTTTTTTTATTTTTTATACAAAACTTTTTGTTTCTATTTTTTATGACACAACATACAAAAATACATACAACCCTAAATTTTCACCCCTCTACGCAGACGTAGTCGCGGGCAGCAGCTAGTTAACTTATAAAAACGTTATACCTAAAATAAAAGGATTTTTGAAGCGGCACATTTGACACTTTTAGGATTGGGAAAAACGTATACATAATATGCGTATAATTGGTGAAATTAATGTTGAAAATCCAATACATAACATTTTTATAAAATTTAATATACATAATTATATATTTTAATGTGAGAAGGTTGCAAACGATCTGACGGTCCACCTGATGTTAAGTGATAACCGCCGTCCATGGACATTCGCAACATCCGTAGGAATGCAAATACGTTGTCATCTTTCAAAAAAGTGTGCCTCGGCTACCTCACTCACCGGACGAGACACAGAAGTGTAACTTCTGTGAGGTCGTAGTACTTCCCCGATCTGCTCATTCGTGGGGTAGCGAGGATGGCCTCACCTCAGGGGGAATATGTATTCACTTTGCTAGTCTTCTTCACTACATGTTATAAAACAAAGTCGTCCCGATGTCTGTCTGTCGCTATGTACGCCAAAATCTTTAAAACTACGCAACGGATCTTGATGTGTTTTTTTTTGCTAGATAGAGTGAATCAAGAGGAAGGTTTATATATTGTATAATGCGTTGCACCCGTGCGAAGCCGGGGCAGGTCACTAGTAATAAATAAAAATGAATTATTTTTTATGTTTCATAAGTTCCACGGAAGGTTACTATTGAGACGGTAAGGCAGGAATTTCTAATAGGGTGTCCATGATGTTTAAAAAAATTATAAAATAATCTTTGAAAAATAAATTAGGTCACAAGTACGTACCAGATATTATTCTTTTTAAATATTTTCGGACACATTTTTCAACTTTCTCTAGTGTCAAACTAAGAAACTCTTGCACTATGACTAGATAACTGATATATATATATATACTAGATAACTGATATACATACTTAAACATACTAACATACATATAGATAACAATTAAACAATACAATTGTCGAAACAAAACAGGATCAAGACGGAAAGACAAAAAGTCTTACACTGTAAGATCTCACCTGCCCCATCTCGCTGCACAAAGACTGACGGCCGTGGGATGCGTTCTTCCTCGTGTTCCAGCAGAACTCCAAAATGGCGACCACAATGGCCAGTGCCAGCCCGCAGAGTAGGGTCACGAAGACTCCACCTGTGAAGGTGACTCGCCAGTATAAGTGACTTTCAGATACTAAATCTTTTCATCCTTTTATGTTTTTTAACATAGCAGATTTTTTTTTATTATTTGTTTTGTATATTTATTTCTTCATATACTGTACATTTAAAGTATAGAGTTTAGATATAAGGAGATTAGTAGTATCTCAATGCGGAACTTAGATGGCCTTACTGTCCAATAAGTTCTACATTTCAAGAAAAACAACACGAAATGTTAAATCAGGTCAAAGTTAACAGACGTCGATATCTGCTCTGTAAGGCTTATAAGGGAAGGTTCCGTACCATTATCTATAAAACCCCTTTTCGCACTTTTTCTATATATTTAAATGTTCAATCTTTAGTGCAAAGATTAGCACTATAAACAATTTAAAAATTTCTAAAAAAAAAAAAGCAATGGCGACATCTCTCGTTCGAATTATCGTTGTAAAACGATATTCGAAATTGTTTGTATGCTGGAAAGGATATAACAATAGATGGCGCCAAGCATTGCTTCAAATACTAAGAAAACAATGTAGAAGAATGCGTTAAGATTTTCGTCGGTGTGGTAATCAGCCGTTTAGCTCAGTCGCTAGAGCGTCAGGCCGCGAATGCCGAAGACGTGGGTTCGATTCCCACAGCGGCGACAATCTTTTCGCACTTTTTCTACATATTTTAATATAAAACCCCTTTTTCCCTTGGGTACGGAACACTAAAAATGATCTCTGAACGGCATTCATACAATGCAGTGTAAATCTAACTTTGGCAGCTTCATAATGTTTATTCTCCGACTGCTGAAAAATGTGTTCATTCATACTCTACAAATTTCCTTGGACATATTTCACTTGGCCTACTACCATTACAATCAAGACTTTCACTTACAGTTTACAGGTTCGATTCCCCGGGACGAGTGTTCGCGTGAGTCACAGATAGTTGTTTCGGATCTGGGTGTTTGCCAACGTGAAATATGTTTGCAAATCGTCCTGACAACACGGTAATATTTTTAAAGAAAAGAAAACTCTCCTTAATATTTTGCATTACTTTGCTACAACAATCTGTCGTGTCTTCAATATGAGAGTGTAAAGCTAGAAGAAGGCCGAGAAAGATTTTAATAGACTGCATGAAGAATAATATATTTGTGAAAGGGGTCAGTATTGAGATGACGGTTGATAGAGGAAACTGGAAGGAAGGTACGGTGGTAGAGCCACGCAGCAGCCTCGGCTGTTGCACGAATGGGCAGGCCCGTCCGGGTGGGTACCACGACCTCACAGAAGACCAGCGTAAAGTGGAAGTATGACAAATACTTTCGCGTTTCGTTTGGTGAGTGAGGTGGCCGGAGCCCAATTTTCAAAAGGTTGTCAACGCATCTGTAACCCTCAGGTGTAGCAGATGTCCATGGGCGGCGGTATTTACTTAGCATCAGGGGAACCGTCTGCTCGTTTGACACAAATTTTGCCGACTACGCTTAGTGTGATTAAGTGACGTACGGATAAGGGCATGAAAAAAGAAAGGAAACTTAATGTCCGAAACATTTTAAAAAGTGTTGTTATCACCATAAGAATGTATATTATGAGGAGTTGGAGTCGGAAATAATATAAAAGATATGCTAAATGATGGTACCCTACAAAAATATTTTCTCACAGGTATGTAATCATAATCATAAATAACAAGATTCTCGTTTCCTTATTATATTAAGTCCATTTTCCTCCTCTCATGATGCCCTTTACTCACTTAAACTTTAACTATTCAAGGTGCTACCATCAGCTTGGGATCCTATTACCAATAGAATTAAATCTAGACCCAAACGAAACATTGCTGCAAGACAAAATAAAATTAGCTCATTCTGCGTAGATCGAACCAAAATTAATATTTTAAAAACTGAAACTCATTGTTTACTATGACATTCAGACGTCGAATGCCTCAGTCTGTCCCGTGACCGTGAACTCCGTAAAGGGTTCGAAACGTCGGGAAACAAAATTTAAAAATAAACGTGATAAATTGGTAAATATAGCTTAATTTAATAATATAATCGCCTAAATACAAGAATATATAATTTAACTAATTAGTTAAGTAACACCTTACTGACCAATATTCTGGACGCCGAGCGGGTTGGCCTTGCTGTCCTTCCCGTCCCGGTTACACACGTCGCCGGTGTTCTTCCACCACTTGTCGTATAGTATCTGTATCACGCCTTTCTCCTGCAGGTCGAGGATCGCCAGCGAGATCTTGTCCCGCCACGGGCTGCCCTTCCACGTCGCTATGCCGTAGCCCTAGTGGGTTTGTGGAAGAATTTCCGAAATCAAAGTCTTCTACCGTATTATTTACATTTACTAAATTTTAACAATTATATGATGTAAAGGATGAGAAATGGACAAAATATGATGAAAATATGATGAAGAGGAAGGAGGAAAAAAGGACAAAATATGATGAAAAGGACACCGTCCTGTCGATTCAGTTCAATTCAGAAATCTAAAGAAGACCTTCACTGCCACCATTTAGTAAAATGCAGATCAGACTATTATTATCATATACGAATGGAAGAGCTAAAAATTTATCACAAACACAAGTACACATGTACAAGGATAATTAATTTATGTCGTGTCATTGGCTCCCGCTCTCTCAAGTGCGTTAATGACTTTAACTACACATTCACGAACAGGTGTTATTAGATTCAAGAAATATAACAGCATGTAAGGTGAAATCAAATCGCATTGCAGAGTTTATTGAACAGTGTAAAACAAGTATCTTAGGTAAGGTATCTTTTTGTTTTTTTTATATGTGAGAAAATGGCAAACGAGCTTACGGTTCACCTAATGTTAAGTAATAACCGCCGCCCATGAACATTTGTAATAGCCGTAGGGTTGCAAATGCGTTGCAACCTTTAAATCAAGTGGGCCCCGGCTACCTCACTCACCAGACGAAAAGCAGAAGTGTAACACTTCCACTTTACGCCGGTCTTCTGCGAGGTCGTGTTACTTACCCGGACGGACCTGCCTATTCGTGCAACAGCGAACACTGTTGCGTGGCCCTACCACAGTCTTATTGCTTAAGCCCACGATCTGCCTTCTTGGAGTACAGTCAACAACAAAACTACCTTTTTACTGGTTACCTTCGAATCCAGCAGGCCGCCGACCTGGGTGAGGTTGCAGTCGCGCTGCACCCTGTGGTCCAGCATGGTGGACTCCATCAGGAAGGCGTAGTTCCCCGCGAGGACCCTCCTCACCCCCTCCTCGTAGGAGGCCACCAGGGCGGGCGGCGAGGCGGCCGACATGTGCCGCCACATGCGTTGGTAGATGTCGATGTTCGAATCCTGAGCATACATTTATTTTGATGACTCCGTGGCGCAGTTGCCAAGGTATTCAGGCTTCGGTCAAGGGTCGTGGGTTCTATCCCCACACGGGACAACTATTTGTGTGACCCACAGATGGCTGTTTCGCATCTGGGTGTTTGTCCACGTGAAATTTATGTGTGTAAAACGTCCTTACATCACAGGATAATGTTATACTTAAGTAAGGCCTACGTTTAAAAAAAAAGGATTTCGTCCAAATTTGTCTTCGGCGTCTCCGAGCATCTTGTCAAGCGGACAGAGTTTATTTAAACACTGAGGGGCTTAATCTACAAGTACAAAGAAGAGCACAAGGAAAATTATCTCTCTCAATTCCATCACAATAAACAAGGAGGGACGTCCAATTGCAATGTCATTTTTTTCCTTTTCGCACTGTCTGACGCGTTGCTCGCGTTTTTTTATTTACCTTCTGTGAATCGTGAATTGGCTTTTTAAAATTCTATTATAACTAGGAGTCATCAAAGATGAGGCATCTTTAATTCCTATTGAATTTCCACCCTAACAGATTAAACATAAACTTCATCACAAAAAAAATGGACAACCGTCGAGTGGGGCCTTACTCTTTGTCCATGTATCACCAAAACACCTGCCCTCCATGCCAGCTGTATCTGTCGAACCCCGAACCAAGACTCACCCGGAAAAAGGTCATCGTGGAGCCGCCGTTGAGGGTTCCGTACTGCACGTGGTTCTGAGCCGCTAGGTCCGCCGCGTTCTGGATGGGCAGCACCGTCCTCTCAACCGTCAAGAAGGCGGCCAGGTTGGCGGTGTACGAGGAGAGGATGATCAGCGTGAAGAACCACCAGATCCCGCCCACGATGCGTGTGGAGGTCGCCTGAAATGCCATCCCTTCTCATTTAGCGCCACGGAATATTACAGGAATAAAGTAAAAAGTAAAGTAACTACTAACTAGATGACTACAACCTGTGCAAATGTGCGGGAAGTCGATGGATGCGGGTGGCTCAGGATCGTACTTCGTGGCAGGTCTGTGGGGGAGGCCTATGTTCAGCAGTGGACTCAAACAGGCTGGCAGGCAAGCAATGATGATGATAAAGTAACAGCCCATACATGTCCCACTGCTGGGCAAAGTCAATATCGAATATCAAGACGCGCCTGTATACAATCTGCGAGCAACGTTTGCTAAGTTACTTTTATACTTAATAAAAAGAGGAGACGAAGGCTTGGAAAGGTTAAAAAAATCATTTATTCATCGAAATAACAAATGTACATTTCATTTATCGATAGTCATTTTTTAAATCTACCACCGTTTCGTAATGAGGTTCCTCTAACGAAAGAAACTCCGTAGGTATCCTTTTTTTTGTCAATTTTTTTTTTTCACGGTTCATCGTTGTTGGAAGGCGAAGGAAAAGATCACATTTTTCAACTGCCTGAACAATCATGCAGATTTTTGTCAAAAGTTTCGTATCCCTTCCATCAGTAACAAAAACTTTGAGTGTTTTTGACTCACCATGGGATTGAGCCCGGACCCTTGCCTGAGGAAGGTGCCAGTGATGAACCAGAAGGAGTTGCAAACGTTGAACTGGTTGGTCAGCAGTTTAGTCTCGTGGCCGCACACGTGCGTACTAGAAGACCTGGTTGATGATAAGGTGTGAACGGTAGATTGATAGTTTATGACAATAAAAATATCAAGTTATAACACAGTAGGGCAGCCGGAAGAAACCAAAGTTTTAGGGTTCCTATTTTGCCTTATTTAGTTATTTCGTTTACAAATTCAAAAAAATAAAAACTCATTGCTGGACGCCACTTAATTTATCTAAGATTTTTTTTTGGGAAAAGGAGGCAAGCTTTTAGGCGCGTAATTATGGGGTCACTTTGAGGCTAGTCCCGAACCCAATGCGAAAAGAATGTTTAAAATCGAATCATAAATGACGGAGTTCGTGGTAAAGATTTATGTCCTAGGCTTAACGCCGCGGCTGGTGACAAGAGAGCTGGTGCATCTCTCGCTCTAAGGTTAAGCATAACTATTCAGCCAGGAAATGCAGCTAGAATTCTTGACACCATGCCGCGTGGATTAGGTTCATTAGATAATATGTAATTTGATATAGATTTAATCTTGTAAATATTAGATAAATAAATGTTTATACAGCGTGTCGTTACCATCGCGACAATAAAACTTACATAATAAATATAATGGTAAAATAAATATAATATAAACTTACATAATAATAATAAAATGAACAGACGTCTAACGCTACTTGCCAATAATCATAAAAAAATATTAACGTTTAACCAATCCATAATTAAAAAAAATATTTTTCAAACAAACTTATTAAGTAAAAAAGAAACAAAATTTGTAACATCCTATACAACTCGCGCCATAGCGTCGCATTACAAGCCTCTCTTTCTAACCGTATGTTTCGTCTCTTTTAAATTCATTCAACCCATTCATATGCTTTGTGACCTTTACAAATGAACTTTACGTTACAGTTTTATACATAAGGGTATTCTAAAATTCTTTGTTTTGGAAAATTTAATAACTCGGTAAATATTGATGATTAAAGAATGTAAATGTTTGATACAATTTTAAAAAGTTATCCCCTATATGTGTGTTTATTTATTGTCGCGATTGTAAAGACACGCTGTATATCTGCAAAAAAATAAAAAAAAATACAACGCAATTGAGAACGTCCTTTTTTTGAAGTCGGTCGATAAGGAAATCTATACCTAGAAGGAGAAAATCGACTCACCACTCATACGGCGAGAACCTGGCCATTACGAACAGCGTGAAAGAGACAAGGATGTAAGCGGCCAGCACGTAGAGCCAGATCTCGATCGCCAGCGGGTTGAGGAAGCTGAACAGCCGCGTGGGCTGCGAGGTGGGCACCTGCGCAATGACGTCACTATTCATCGGAAACGTTGACGTCATCGATCCGAAGGCAATCGACAGTGTACGGATAGCAGAACAATTTCAACCTGATTGTTCAATCGTAACGATATTATGAAGTATGATATTGACACTGGAGATTATCACAAATGACACATATTAGCGTTGTTGTCATCATCCTGCCCTTATCATATCGGAAGCTGTTTTGGCCGTGTTTATCTACGGCCGGCCGCCTGATGTCAACCCTGCTTGGGAAGACAACACCCAAATCCGGAACGATTATCTTTGGGTCGCACAAATACTTGTCCCGTGTGAGAATCACGCCATCCGACCGCCGAAGCCATTAGTTTAGCAGGGGCGCCACCGAGTAATCGACGCATATTACTTATAATTAATTTCATTAATAATCATATATGAACTGTTTATTTATTTATTTATTTAATCTTTATTGCACTAAAAATTGTACAAAGGCGAGCTTAATGCTATATTGCATTCTGTACCAGCTAACCCCAGGTAGAACAGAGACATTGTTTCTATTTCTTTCATTCTATTTTCATGGGGTCCAACCATCATATATCAAGTGATTTAATTGGGTTTTAATTTTATATTGTAATACTATTTTCAAGACATATATTATCATTGTTGTCATCATCCGATCGTATCGTATGTACGATAGATCGATTGTATGTACGATAGTTAAGCGGTATGAATGAGTGAATAGATTGACGACCCGAATGGCGTAGTCGGTAGTGTACCTGCCTTCTGCGCCAGAGGGTGTGGGTTCGATCCCCACTACTGGAGAAGTATTGTGTGATGAGCATAGTGTTTTTCTAGTGTCTGGGTGTTTACATATGTATAATGTGTATTTATTTACAAAAAAAAAGTATGTTTAAGTATGTCTATCAGTTTTCTAGTGCCGTACTATGGGCATACGTATGAGCGTTGCTTAGTTTGGGACTAGAGAATGTTCTGTAAAAATGTATCCTAGAATATATATAAAAAAAAGATAAATAACTAAACAGATAATGCGCCGCAGAAAATGACGGACGCGCAAAGAGGCTTTAGTCATTGAGTTCTCGACAACACGCGAAAACCTCCATGTTCGGTTCACTATTGAACAATACTATTATCATTTTGTATCATCATAACTGCTGTTAGGAGTTAGCCCCAACACTCCACGTCGTAGCCTCCACGTTTTTAGCAAATTTATCTACAGATTCAATTGTCATCTAAGTGTAGGGACCACCACTGCATTACACTAATTGATTGTCAAAGTTCTACTATGACCAGTTCGAAAAATAATAGCCACTGAGCTGAAAAGAACCGGCGAATGAAACATTTTTTTTTGAAGTTCACTCCATTTGGCGCGTTTGGAAAAATCTTTTGTTACGCTAAAGAAGTATGGCTTCTTACGTGTGTAAATAAGTATACTCACACAATTTTACAACACACACTCAACATACATATTGAAGTCCACTTGAAAATTCAAAATATTATTACAAAATATAAAGTGAATCCCACTAAATTGATATATTATAGTTGGATGCCTTGAAAATAGTATTACAATATAAAATTAAAACCCAATTAAATCACTTGATATATGATGTTTGGCCCCCTTGAAAATAGAATGAAAGAAATAGAAACAAATTAGAAATGTAACCCAATTGAAACAGCCTTTGTCATTATGTTTCTGTTCTACCTGGGGTTAGCTGGTAGAGAATGCAATATAGCTCGTCTTTGTACAATTTTTAGTGCACTAAAGATTAAATAAATAAATAAATAAATAAACAGTTCATATATGATGGTTGGATCCCTGGAAAATAGTATTACCATACAAAAATAAAATCCAATCAATGTAGAAAGACTTTCGTCACTGTGGCTATCAGCCGTTTAGCTCAGTGGCTAGAGCGTCAGGCCGCGAATGCCGAAGACGTAGGTTCGATTCCCACAGCGGCGACAATCTTTTCGTACTTTTTCTACGTGTTTAATGTCCAATCAAAACAGTTGATATTCAAAGCCGATATACCCACCTTGAAGAGAATTCCAATGCCGAGGTTCATGAACGGCTTGGTGAAGTCGATGACCGCCTCCCGGGCGTAGTTGATGGTCATCGACGCAACCGCTATGTCCGCTTTCTAAGAAACAGCTTATATAATCTATCGCGTACTCATGTAAATGGGGTAGACAGAGGTCTGTCTTTTTTTTAAATTTTAGTGTTGCTATAAGGACGTTTTGCAAACATAAATTTCGCGCGGACAATCTCCCAGATAGGAAACAACTATCTCACAAGGTCGCACAAATAGTTGTCCCGTGTGGGTCATCTGTTCTAGTCGCAAATAGTCATCTGTTCTATTTTAGTACAGTAAGGATTGTAGTACTTATGGCGATTCTAAGGCGAACACATCATTTCATTATTTTCAAGCTTTTATGAACACCTCTAATCACCATCGGCTAGAGAGTCATAACGAACTATGACATGCCGTTGCACAAATGGGTTGGCTCGTGCCAAGTGTGTGGTTCTTGCGTTTCGTTTGGTGAGTGAGGCATTACAAGCCAGTGTTCATCAGGTGGACCGACTGGTCGCTGGCCAACTGTACACATATTTGTTTCAACACCGCATACTTCAGGATAACATTAACCTGTGTTGTAAGCAACTTTTTACGAACATATATTTCACGTGGAGAAACACCCAGATGCTAATAAACCGTCTGTGGGTCACACGAATAGTTGTACCGTGCGGGAATCGAACCCACGACCCCCGACGCCGAAGCCAATGCCTTGGCAACTGCGCCACGGAGTCATCAGAATAATCATGTGTATTTTATTTATTTATTTGTTTAATCTTTATTGCCAACCTTCAGTGAAACAAGGTAACAAAGGGCGGACTTAATGCCCAAAGGCATTCTCTACCAGTCAACCCAGGATGAGATGAGAGTTTATGGTAGGTGCAGCAAGAGATGCAAGAATAATAAAATTTTAATTAAAGAGAATATATATGAGAATAATATTATAATTGGATATACATGCATATATGTACCCTGTCCATGAGCTCCCGGACGATGCCGTTCCACTGGCCCGTCTCCGGGTCCCTTGCGCCGTACATGTTGTCCGGCACCAGCCTCAGGGTGTAGTGGAAGCCCGCCCTGGCGGCCACGCGGGCCAGCAGGTCGATGCAGAAGCCCTCGAAGCGCGCGTTCCCCTGGAGGTTCCAGCCCTCCTTCACCATCACGTACGGCTTCTCCTACAGTATGGGACGCTCGTGGAAGATTAAATCATCTCTCAGTCTCCCTCTCCCTTCCTAATTAAATACGGCTCCCATACGAACAAGTTTCCTCAAAGAATGAATGAATGAACGAATGAATGAACGAATAGATATTTTATTAATGATGAATAATAAATAAAAATGTAATGTAAGACGAAAAAATAAATACACGTGATATCTTACTACACCCCGACCCCCCCTCGACCGCCTCGCTATTTACCTAATAGCAATATATCACAATATTTCGTGATTTTAGCCAAACTCGCGCTCCCCTTTCGAGCCTCACGTGATTAATGGACGGCCCCTTAGAACTCAACGCAGACCTACCTCGACGGTGACAACAGTGAGCGTGACGTTGGGCGGAGGGTCGCGTCTGTACGCGGCTGGGTCTGTCAGCTGGAGGCCCTCCCCCGGGGCCCAGTGGCCCGCCAGCGCCACCCCGCCCCCCTCGCCCCCCACCAGCCGCATCAGCTGCAGATTGAACTGGGTCCTGGTGCCGCGCGTGAACTCAATCGGCCCGGTGAGCCCGTGCGCCCGGATCTGAATCATCGTATTTTACCTGGTGAGTTTTCAACCGACTCCAAGAGAGAAGGAGATTTCTCAATTCGTCCGTCTGTATATATGTATTTATGTGTTCGCGGATAACTTTGTCGCTTATGTACCGATTTTGATAATTCTTTTTTTTTTTTGTTGGAAAGGAGATATCCCTAGGGTGGTACCGGATCTGATGATGGCATCCCAGAGATATCGATGGCAATCCTCAAATGTAATAGGTATTAACAATGTTTTTTTAGTTTCCAGTTTGAAGTCGGTTTTTTTTTTGTTAAAAATTATGCATTACATTTTTAAGCAACGGTTCAACTGCGGGGGGACACGCTGCGGCTTCGTCTGTTGCACGAATGGGCAGGTCCGTCCGGGGAAGTACCACCACCTCAGAGAAGACCAGCGTGAAGTGGAATTGTTATTCTTCTGCCGAGATACCCGCTTTGTTATAAGATGGCAGCATATCTGCAACCTTACGGGTGTTGCAAATTTCGATGGGGTGGCGGCCAACACTTAACATCAGGCGAACCGCCACAAGATGGCAAGCTAACTTGCCTTCTTGTCACACAAAAAAGAAGAAAAATCCGTGTACACACAGTACCTATGTGACGTTTACCAGGCATGGTAAAAGTGGGTAACAATGATTTCCACCAAATCACCGCCTCAATTAATTTTACAAATGCGTTAACGCTGTAAAGGGTTCGAAACGTCGGGAACTAAAATTAAAAATAGACGCGATAAATCCGTAAAAATTAGTTTCATTTATAATGTGTAATCGCGTAAATACAAGAAATTAATTTTACTCTCAAATCGATTGACAGGGACGTATCAACTAATCACTTCAATTTATGTTTAATTCTAATGAACTTGGCGGTGTTACGAAAAATCTGTTCCTTGAACCAAGAAAGAAAGGTTTTAGAGAGGTTTTAGAAGAGGCGTTTTAAGCTGGTCAAGAACATATAGCACATACTACACATCACATCCAAGGACCTTTATAACGGATTAGACCGCGTACCTTGTCTATGTTGTTCAGCAAGGTCTTCCCGTGGGTCCAAGCGGTGCCGGTTTCGCAGGACATGTTCGCGGTGTGGACCTCCTTGGTGGAGGCCAACGCCAGCGCCAACACCTGCACCGCGTCGTACAGAAGCGCCGGCTCAGTCTGAAGAGAACACCCAAACTCCAATCATCATGGTCATCTACAGAAAGACGTTAGTAACGAACAAAGTTTAAAATGTGTTTTATCGTTGAAACGTCATATCTCCCTTAATTGTTTGTCAAAACTATTGATTAAAACATCCAATCAACATCGCCATCTACCGAGACGTTCATATTTAACAAAGGTTAGTATGTATGCTTTCGTTGAAACACCATATCTCTCTTAATTATTTGTCAAAACTAGTGATTAAAACATCCAATCAACATCGCCATCTACCGAGACGTTCATATTTAACAAAGGTTAGTATGTATGCTTTCGTTGAAACACCATATCTCTCTTAATTATTTGTCAAAACTATTGATTAAAACATCCAATCAACATCGCCATCTACCGAGACGTTCATATTTAACAAAGGTTAGTATGTATGCTTTCGTTGAAACACCATATCTCTCTTAATTATTTGTCAAAACTATTGATTAAAACATCCAATCAACATCGCCATCTACCGAGACGTTCATATTTAACAAAGGTTAGTATGTATGCTTTCGTTGAAACACCATATCTCCCTTAATTATTTGTCAAAAGCATTGGTAAAAGTAAAAAGTAAAGTATCAGCCTATACATGTTCCACAGCTGGGCCCTCCTCTGTACAGAGGGTATTAGGGCATAGTCACCACGCCTACCACCATAGACTTCACATATCTTCCATAACATAAAAAGTATTGCTGACATCCAATCGTAATCATAATCCTCATCTACCGAAAGACGTCCATGTTGAAAAAAGATCAACATTTGTGCTTTCGTTGAAACACCATATCTCCCTTAATTCTATGTCAAACGTATCGATTAGAATTCCTTGATGAGCAACGCGCGGCCCGCGGGCCGCTTGCGGCCCCTTAAACATGTTTATGCGGCCCGCCAAGCATTTCTAAAATTTAATTTATTTAATCGAATTTCTCCCATCAAGATATTGTTATAAAATTAATTATAATAAAATGGTAGTATATACTGAACCGGAATATTTTTTTGTTCGTTTTTCTGTTCTTTCTTGTTTGTTTTTACCTTGCATTAAAATTTGTATATGAAATCTTTACTTTTTTTAATTTTATATTTTTTTTATTCTAATATTTATTATAAATAAAGTTTCGTAAATTATTATATGCGGCCCCAAAAATAAATTGAAATTTAAATTGGCCCATTGATTAAAAAGGTTGCTCACCCCTGGATTAGAGTATAATTTTAAAGCGAACACTGTGATCATTCTTAGATTTCATTACTAGTGGGCTTAGTGTTACAAGAGTTTAGGGAAGAAGTACAAAAACCGGCCAAGGACAAGTCGGATTCGCGCACGAAGGGTTCCGTACCATTACTATAAAAACGGCAAAAAAAATCATCTCTGTTCTATGGGAGCCCCACTTAAATATTATTTTATTCTGTGTTTAGTATTTGTTGTTATAGCGGCAACAGAAATAAATGATCTGTGAAAATATCAACTGTCTAACTATCACGGTTCATGAGATACAGCCTTGTGCCGGACAGACAGACAGACAGCGGAGTCTTAGTAATAGGGTACCTGTTACGGCAACACCAAACGGCACTTCTACATAGATCGGGGCCCCCAGAGGCATTCAATTTCTGCCTCGTCACTTACAACTCCAAACGCTTAACTGCAATATCGAGATTAGCAAGTCATTAAACCATTTACGACCGACCAATTTTTTATTGCTACATCGACTTCTCGACAGTACCGTTTTACCCTTCAGGTACGGAACCCTAAAAACTGTTGAGAAGAATTATTGAGAATTACAAAATATGTCATGATTAACATGACTTCAACGAAAGGTTGAAGTCATGTTAATCATCACTCTGCATTGTCTACCGCATCTATCACGGGGAGTGCTCCGAGGAAATGTTTGGATTGATCCCGGCGACTGAATTTCATCATCGGACATCGCACCAAAACCAAAAATTTCATCCACACCACCTCGATTTTCAAGGCATTTCCTGCCTCGCACAACCACTCTGTGGAGCCAGCTTTTTTTTTTGTTGACGTGGGAGAAATGCCTACGCATACCCGCCCCTCGCGGGGGCAAGAGCGGGTTATGTCGAACTCGCACCGACTATAACCCCCACGATGTTACACCTAGGCGCATATCGGCAGGGTCACGGGAACGCTTTCGCCCACTTCCGCGACCCTGCCAGCGCTGGCCGCCTTAGCAGCCCCCTCACGGGGAGCAACTCCCCTCTCCTCCAGGTAAGGCGCACTGGAACATTCAGCGCGCCTTCCTACTCGGCCCCATTTTCACGGCCAACGAACTCCCCCGAGTTCGCTGACCGGGGCCATGGGAGCCAGGAGAGCCAGTGCTAATAAGCAACAAGCCTCCCAGTCCCCAGTGGCGGACCTGGTCTGTGGCTCCGCCGCTCACCACGTTTCGGCCGCGGAGGATAGGGAGAACGGCACGCCGCAATACCGACACTACTCTCCCCTCGCGGCCCCACTACAGCTGCATCAGCGGTGCAGCCCCGCCTAGTCGTGGAGGATAGGGAGCACGGCCAACGCAATACCGATACTCCTTTTCCCCCGTAACTCCTCCTCGGTAGCAGAAGACAGGGAGAGTGGCTCCACCTCTACCACCCTCGACCTGTCCCCTGCACCCTCCAGCAAGCATCCAGAGTAGGCTCATTGAGCCCACTCGGAGCGGCCCTCTCGGGCCGGCCTTACACCACAGGCCGGCCCAGTGTGGGTTCTTCTTAGCTTTGCCGTGGGGGACCAAGCCACGGCTATTAAGCCCCCGGTCCTTTTTAGCGACCGGGTCCCCGCCACGTCAAGGCGGGAACCCGGTCGGAGGGGCTGTAAAGCCAGCTGCCGCCGGCGGTCTTTCCAAACCGTTACGACCTGGGAACCTTCAAGAAGAGAGCGTACTCTTTCCTAAAAGGCCGGCAACGCATTTGTAAGCCCTTGGGTGTTGCAGATGTCCGTGGACGGCGGTGATCACTTACCATCAGGTGAGCCTCCTGCTAGTTTGCTGCTTTTTCCCATAGAAAAAAGGTTGAAGATTGACTGTGATTGGAATACTGACCTTTATGTGACCTCCGGTAAGGATGTTCGCACCGATTGGATGGAACTTCTCCATGACCTGGAGCGCCTCCTTCACCTTGTCGGAGTCCCGGTCCACCAGGCGCCAGCCGCTCATGTTCACGCGGTTGTAGTAGAAGTCCTCCAGGTCGAACAGCTCCATATCCTGGAAAGAGCAGTCCCCATCACCCAATAGCCTAATAATATATTTTTCGGACACAGTTTTTTTACACAACATTCTCTAGTCCCAAACTAAGCAACGCTTGTACTATGGGGAAACCTGAGAGCATACTTTTCCTTTGTAAATAAATACATATTATACATATACAGCGTGTCGTTAAAACTGCGACAATAAATGAACACACATATAGAGGATAACTTTTTAAAATTGTATTAAGCATTTACATTCTTTAAACATCAATATTTACCGAGTTATTAAATTTTACAAAACAAACATTTTTAGAACAGCCGTACGTATAAAACTGTAACGTAAAGTTCATTTGTAAAGGTCACAAAGCATATGAATTTAAAAGAGACAAAACATACTGTTAGAAGGAGAGGCTTGTAATGCGACGCTGTGGCAACGAATGATAAAGTCTCTGAATGTTTGAATCAGTCAGTTGTAGTTGTATAGGATGTTACAAATTTTGTTCCTTTTTTATTTAATTAGTTTGTTTGAAAAATTTATTCTTTTAATTATGGATTTTTTTAAAGTTTTATATTTTTTCATGATTATTGGCAAGCAGCGTTAGACGTGTGTTCTTCATTTATTGTCGCGGTTGTAACGACACGCTGTATAAACACCCAGACACTGGAAAAACAAGATGTTCATCACACAATATTTTTCCAGTAGTGGGGATCGAACCCACACCCTCTGGCGCAAGAGGCAGAGTCACTACTCCCCACGCCAATCGGGTCGTCTAAGCTCATCATCATTATTCATTTCAGCCTATTACAGAACCATGGAAAGAATGTGCAGGTCCGTCCTGGCAAGTGCCACGACCTTACAGACCTCAAGTACGGCGTGAAGTGGATGTGTTAATACTCCCAAGTTTCGTCCGGTGTGTGTTCTCTATTTTAACGAGCTGGCGGTTCACCTGATGTTAAGCGATAATCGGCGCCCGTGGACGTTTGCAACAACCGTAGGGTTGCAGATGCGCTGCCTTTTAATAAAGTGGGCTCCGGCTACCTCGATCACCAGACGAAACGCAGAAGTGCAGCACTTCAACTTCACGCCGGTCTTCTGTGACGTCGTGGTACTTACGCGGACGGACCTGCCCATTCGTGCAACAGTGAACAGCGTTGCGTGGCCCTACCACGCCAAAAACTCCATGATGCATTTGTTATCTACGCCACTCATCTTTCGGTCGTCGTAAGCTGCAATAAAAGTCCTGTGCCAGTTTCAATTTTATTTAAATAAAAATGTATTTTAATTAAATAATTACTTACGAATGAAGTGAAAATGTAGTGATAATTCTCGTTGTTCATCTGCAGCTGAAGGATCTGTAAGGGGAAAATGATAGCAATTTTTTAAACATGTTGCCATTGTCGAAGAAAAGCATTACCCGAGCGAAAACGTTACAATGTTACAAGTGTACAAAATATTTTTTACGGATTTATCGTGTTTATTTTTAATTTCATTTCCCGAAGTTTAGAACACCTACTCAAAAATCAAAAATAATTTTTGAGTATGTTATATGCTTGCGCGCTCTTATGAATCGTCAAATTTTACATCAAAGATTATGTATATAGGTTCGTAAGGTACCACCGGTTCGGAAAGCGGTTTCTGTTGAGAAGAGACCGGCAAGAAACTCAACAGTTGCTCTTTTCCAAAAATATCAGGGTACAATATAATATACAGGTATAAAAGTCTTATTCTAGCCTACGTGAGTACCAACAGTATTAACTCCACACATTGGCGTCGTCGAGATATTCCGAAATGGTATAATATGCTTTAATCATTAGTTGATATTTAATTTTACATTTATATTGGTCAAGCGGCAGACTTAATATCGACTGTGGGATTTTATTATACATGCGCACACTTTGCCCCATGAACGACCTAATTACTTTTTGTAGACGAAACAATGGTGTAGTAAGTTTGTTTCGGGTGGGGATCGAACCCACGACCCCTTACCTCTTTTCCTCGTCCGACCTTATGTAATAGATACCTAGATCCTTTTTAACCGACTTCGAAAGGAGAAGGTTCTCAATTCGATTGTTATATTTTTATGTTAAAAGCTACCAGGCAAACAGGCGGTAAACCCAATTTTAAGCGATCACCGCGGCCCACTAGGGTTGTTGCAGTTGCGTTTCCAACCTTTAAACAGTGGGTTTATCACCGCACTCACCGGAAGAACCACACAAGTATCTTCTGCTTCACGCTTGTCTTTTGTCGTACATCTCCTCAAGCCATGCAACTACTATTGCTTCTGCGTGGCTCTTGCACAGAAAACCTTTCTCTACTTATTATAATTTCTATCGTACGTACTTCGCTAGACCTAGATCGACACGACTTGGCCTTGTGGTCTCATGAACCTTCTCCTACCTCAAAGGCCAGCAGCGCATTGTGACTCCTCTGATTTTGCTATCTTCCATGGGCGATGAACACTTACCATCAGGTGGCCCGGATGCTAGTTAGCCTCCTTTTCCATGAAAAACTTGAACATCGTGTGATGAACTATCCTCCCTCATGGTTCAGCACGGCATAAGGCATACTCACCGCCCTGGAGAACTGAGGCAGGTTTTTGGGGTCCGTGTCGACGATGATGTGGACGATCCGTTGCGCCCTCAGACGCTGCAGACCTCGGCGGTAGTCCGAAGCGCCCGCGCAACGTACTGCGTACATGTCCCGCCCGTCTCCAGCCAGCTTCAGGATATTGATTTCGCCTGCCAACGGGTCCATAATTAACGTGAGCGGAGGAAAGTTCTTGTTGCGAGGATTTGCCTGTCAAAGAAGGTGCGTTCGCTGTTGGTCGACGTCCGCGGTCGTGGGTTCGATTGCCGCACGCGACCACTATTTGAATAAGCCACGGTAATTGTTCCGCATCTGGGTGTTCGTTTCCCAAGGGTTCCGTCAGACCAGTCGTAGAAAACATAGCCAGGACCGCATACAGCATGATTCACGTGTAGAGCCGACCCCGCCTAGGAATAAGGGCAGGAGGATGAGAAGGTGCAGGAAACATCCACGAACTCGATGGACGATGGCGGCTCAGGTGCTTGCTTCGTGGCAGTGGGAGAAGGCTGTGTTCAGTGGACTTGAGTAGGTTGGAACGATGATAATAGCAGTGGCAAATCATCCTGGCCTTTTCACCTAGTGTCAAGTGACCATTACCGGTTCTGGCTAGCCCACCGGTTCATCTGGCTAGCCCACCGGTTCTCTGGCTAGCCCACCGGTTCTTCTGGCTAGCCCACCGGTTCTGTGTCCGATGAAGCTTTAATAGCCTCGGGACTGAAAGCAAAAACATCAGTTAATACAAGATACAAGAAGACCATTACCGGTTACCGTTGTATTGCCAACCTAAGGCTCTCCGCAGACGAAACGTAATAATTAACCCATTCCCTGCGAGTATTTTGACCTCTTAAGGGGCCGATACTTTTACAAGTTGTATGCGGCACGATAAAAGTGTGCAGGTAAAATATACTATGAAATTGAACGGGATTGTTTTGTAAACGGAAAAGGCCTGTGTTGAAATGACTTTTGTCCTGCACTTGCTGACTGCTGCTAATTTCATTAAATTAGACGTCTTCAAAAGGGAGAAAAAATATCTGTATTCAATATAGATGCGTTACATTTACTAATCGGTTGTCAAAATACTGCAAGTGATTCGAAGAAAAAGCCACTATGAGGTCAGTGTTTAATCTAGTAACCATCATTTGTTAAAGAACCTTGTATACCATACAATAAAGTCCACTTGAAAGAGCCTGCAGTGATCTATTAATTTCCAGTGTTATCATTTAAATAATCACTAACTGTTATTAGCCTTTTTATGTGAAACGTTGCCAAGCGAGCAGACGGTTCACCCGATGTTAAGTGAATACCGCCGCCCATGGACATCTGCTACACTCGAGGGCTGCAGGTGCGTTGACCTTTTGAAAATTGGGCTCCGGCTACCTCACTCACCAGACCAAACGCGAAAGTATTATACTTTACATAGCTTGCACTTTACGCCGGTAGTCTGTGAGGTCGTGGTACTTACCCGGACGTGCCTGCCCATTCGTGCAACAGCCGAGGCTGCTGCGGGGCCCTACAACCGTTAAGGTGTAAGTGTAATTATGCTTTTTGCTTTAGGCGCAGTCAGGTAAATACCACTGATACGACTCACCGTAACCATAGTCTTCATAGATGATGCCCATCCTGGTCCAGTTGAGGTATGCCGTCAGCTCGGCGAACGCCTGGTCTATCAGCTCCCTCGAAGGGTACAAGTTGATTGTGAAGAAGTCCGAACCGTTAACCGCTGCACCACAGTTAACATAGCCCTTACTTTAGGATAAAACTAGCGACCCGCCCCGGCTTCGCACGGGTGCAATATAATATAAATATGAAACTTCCTCTTGAATCACTCTATCTAGTAAAATAAACCGCATCAAGATCCGTTGCGTAGTTTTAAAGATTTAAGCATACATAGGGACAGACAGCGGGACGAGTTTGTTTTATACTATGTTTTTTTTTATGTGAGAAAGTGGTAAACGAGGTGGCGGTTCACCTGTTGGTAAATTATACCCGCCGCCCATGGACATTTACAACACCTGCAACTGTTGCAGATGTGTTGCCACCCTTTAATAAAGTGGGCCCGGCTACCTCACTCATCAGACGAAACGGAGAAGTGTAACACTTCCACTTGACGCCGGTCTTCTGCAAGTTCGTGGTACTAACCCGGACGGACCTGCCCATTCGTGCAACAGCGAACACTGTTGCTTGGTCCTACCACAGTCAGGTAGTGATTATCCTGTGTTGTAAGGACGTTTCACCGACATAAATTTCACGCGGACAAACACCCAGATGCGAAACAACTATCTGTGGGTCGCACAAATAGCTGTCCCTAGTGGGTATCGAACCCACGACCCCCGACACCGAAGCCAATACATTGGCCACTGCGCCAAGGAGTCATGAAAACAAATTACCATTTATCGAGCGGACTGCAGCGGACATTTTCCATGTATTACATTATACGGATACTAGCGGACCTGATAAACACCCTGTGTACACCTGTTATATACGACATACAACTTAAAAAACAATTTCTAGTGCTCCGAATTTTGAATCTAAACCATTATCGAATCGACTTGAACATGACCATGTATTTTTTTTTTTATTAACGAAAAACAAAACCGACTTCAAATATCTCGCTCTGTATTAATTTTATAATTAATTTTTTAAGTTCCCTCCGTAAGTATCTCCGGAGCCCAAGATCCAATACCAATGAAATTAATATGGGACCACATGGGAAGCACCAGCTTTCAAATAAAAAAAGAATCATCAAAATCGATTCTGTCAGTCGAAAGTGCTGAGGTGACAAACATAATAAAATACAGTCGCATTGAACACCTCCTCCTTTTTTGAAGACGGTTGAAAATTTCATCAAAATCGGTCCAGCCGTTTAGGAGTTCACTCACATACACATGCACAGAAGAATTAGATTTTTTTTGTGACATACATTGCTATTATCATTTTGTGATACTTTTTGCTTTATTTCATTAATAATGAAGACTTATTATTTATTAACAAGGACCGTAAAATACTTTCATTTAACAATTTATAATATTCGCGTAAAAACAAGAAATCTATATGTCTACTACTATACGATGTTAATTTGATAATTGGAAATATTTATGTTTAAAAAGTATACAGCATTTATTTGTATTTGTGTGTATAGTATTTATTTGTAACTAGATGCTACCCGCGACAACGTCTGCATAGAATAGGCTGAAGGCGTAACATTCAGACGGCAAGATATAAATGAAATATGTACATAAATTACACCCTATGTGCTATTCTGATGTATAAGCTATGTTATTATAAAGTTTCATTAAAATCCATTCAGTATTATTTGCGTGAAAGAGTAACAAACATCCATCCATACATACAAAGTTTCGCCTTTATAATATTAGTAAGGATATTAGCAAGGATTTGGACCATAGTAAAACTTTGTGTTATTATTATTCCTAGTGGACAATGAGTGGTCGAAATTCGACCATAATTGATTTAAATTATAAGTTTGAACAATATTAATCTTTTACCAAATATAACACACAATAAATAAAAGAGCATAAAATCGTATGCGTGTCAAATACATGGCAATGTGTGTAATGTTTTCTATATTTTTTATTATTTATTACATGATTTAATGTAATTTTTATGCATAATTTAATAAAAGATATTAGCATTAGCATTCTGCACTCCTCTGTATAAACTATAATGCCCGGTTCCTATATTCAACGAACGGCCGTTAGTTACCTAGCTTCGTAACTTTCATAACGACTTATAGATTAAAGGAACGCTAGTAACTCACTTTCCGTAGTTAATGCAACGACTCGTAAGGAAAACGCCTCGTTTTGTTAATATCGGAACCGGGCGTACACGCCTTTAATCTATATGGCATAAGTGTGGCAAACATACTCCTCCGTCCGCGAAATTGTAAAAAGAGGTAGGTACAAAGTTTTTGCTTCGCGTGTAATACATATATTTGCGCGCGGTTTTACTCACGCTCTATATTGTTGTGCGCTACGGTGAGGTGGGGCGCGTGAAGAGAGCTGCACATGGCGCCCAGCGTGGTGCCCAGCAGTGGGCCCGCGCTGTTCAGCAGGGCCACCGCGCCCGCTCTGATCTGGCTGCACGCTGAAAGTTGGAATCGCCCCTTACATAGCTGCCGCCTACTGACATTTGTAACACCCATAGGGTTGCGTTGCCACCTTTTAACAAAGTGGGCCCAAGCTACCTCCCTCAACAGACGAAATAAATCCGCTTCACGCCGGTCTTGTTAGGTCGTGGTATTTAGCCGGACGGACCTGCCCATTCGTGCAACAGCTAAGGCTGTTGCGTGGCAACCGTCAACTATGGCAATGGGACGTCGGGAGACTAACGCCCGGTTTCTGAAACACTGATAATCGTAGATGTCAACTAATCAGCTGTCAAATGGATTTCAAATTACAATTTAGGTACCAATAGGATGCTTAAACTCTCTGAATTGACCAGAATAATCTTCTTTATGCCCAGAATGATCAATTCAAAGATTTGTAAATAAATACACAATATACATATATAAACACTCAGACACTAGAAAGACTCTATGTTCATCACACAGTATTTTTCCTGTAGTGAGGATGGAATCCACACCCTTTAACGCAGGGGGCAGGTACTACCCACTACGCCATCGGGTTTTCTAGTTAAAATGTTGAAATACAGAACCAAAATTAAACTCCGCCAATCCACAAATTAGTTTTGCTTAACAACGTTGCCTACGTGTTTTATTTTACAGTTCAATCGCAAAAGCGAACGGAGCGTAGAACGTGGTGCAATGAGTTTGGAGTATTTTCAGCAAGCTTTCATTAACTTCACGTGTAGGTGATACTTATGCTTTGAGTGCAAAATTAACAGTCACTAAGTTATGCCCGCGTCTACGCCTGTGTTGGCATCGTTATAAATGTAATTAGCTTGTACTTTCGCGTTTCGTCTGGTGAGTGAGGTAGCCGGAACCCAATTTCCAAAAAGGTTGCCAACGCACCTGCAAACCCTCGGGTGTGGCAGATGTCTATGGGCGGCGGTATTCACTTAACATCAGGTGAACCGTCTGCTCGTTTGGCAACTTTTCACATTAAAAAAAATCGTGAGGAAATACTTACTAAACTTCATATTTTCGAAATAACAACAAAAAGAATATTTCGGAGGTAATGTGAGGTCACATTCATTAAACTAGGCCTCATCAGAGTAGCACGGCAAGTAACTATACGATCTTGTTATTTCTTTTCTAATGATACAAGTATACAAAATTGTTTAAGTATATAATCAGCAGCAGCCAGGGGTCTTGCAAGTGCAGAGCAAGAGTCATTTCCACAGATCCTTGTCCTCAATCGATTGTTCAACATTACAATGGGCTCTTGCTATTAGGGTAACTTTGATACAATGCCACTGCATTGTATCAAAGCAACATATTATAGGCTGTTACTTTACTTTTATTTACACTGGGCTTGTACTCCCGGGGGCTCACTAAACAGAGCACGGTACATTGACTAAGGGTTACGACTCTGTGCCCAACTGTGGGTCTGTTAAGGCTTTTGTTGCAAAGGAATTACGTAGCTCCTGTTTTCCGACGGTTATTTAAACCGGTTTTGTACCGAATCGAGGTAAATAAAGATTTATCGGTGCCCGGTTCCGATACAGAGCGATTTGGATGCGCTCCAGGGGTATAAGTTCCAAGGGAATTTATTCGCCGGCCCGTTCCGATCGCCCGCTAGCTGAAAAGTTTTAGTGTACATGTTACATTTTTAAAAAAATCGTAGCAAACGGTTTAATGAATGTATGCTATTTGTGATGAAGAGAGCTGGACATACAACACCAGTGGGATGCCGAACTTTAAAAGGATAAGCTTGCCTTTTTTTAACATTGCCCTTACTTTAGGATAACTCCAGACTCGCACTTGGCCGGTTTTTTTTGTTATTTTGTGTTACAATTGTGTATTTAATAGACTTTGATCTTCCCTATATGTTCACGTCAATATCTAGAAGGTTGTATAAGGATTGGCGTATAATGGACGATCGTTGTCTTGTATCTTGTATTAACTAATGTTTGTGCTTTCAGTCCCGAGACTTAAAGCTTCATCTGACGCAAGACCGGTGGGCTAGCCAGAACCCACGGGTTTGGGCCCTCCGCTGTGGGTAGGGCCGCGCATGTACTCATGCGTGCGTTTAACTACGACATGTCATCTAAGGGCCATAGAGGTTGCGGTTCGGACCGGGACCCCGATGGCCGTCGACAGCGTTTTTAGCTAATCGGTGGCTGGAGGTGGGTGTACGTAGTGTACGCGTTGTGTTGTCTCGACGTGCTCGGAGGCGAGTGCGAACTAATGTGTTTTGTTGCTAACTGTGTGTGTAGTTAAAATATGTAGAAAAAGTGCGATAAGATTGTCGCCGCTGTGGGAATCGAACCCACGTCTTCGGCATTCGCGGCCTGACGCTCTAGCCACTGAGCCACTGTGTGTGTAGTGTTATCCGGCGGGAGGACGATCGTTTGAACTGTGGTAGGCTCAGCTCAGCTCAGCTCAATCACAGAAGTAACACAGCTCCGGTAGACCGACGTTATTTATACTTGCAAGTAGCCGCGTCACCCCCAATGGTTGGACAGCATCAACCGCGCTTATTCCACGGGCGATCCCGGCCGTTAGGTTATCTTCTCAGTTGTCTTTGGAATTTAAAAAAAATCATGGCCATCATAGAAACTAGTTTTGTCCATCGCAGCGTTTGACGACCCCCCATTAGGTGGATTGAATAAATAAATAAATAAATAAATATTTTAGGACACATTTTTACACAACATTTTCTAGTCCCAAACTAAGCAACGCTTGTACTATGGGTACTAGAAAACTGATCAACATACTTAAACATACTTTTCTTTTGTAAATAAAAACATATTATAGATATATAAAACACCCAGACACTAGAAAAACACTATGTTCATCACACAATATTTTCCAGTAGTGGGGATCGAACCCACACCCTCTGGCGCAGGAGGCAGGTACACTACCCACTACGCCATTCGGGTCGTCATTGACAAAATTTGTCGGATTGACAAAGTTTTTTTTGGTATCGGGGTGAAATCTTCAAAAGATAACCTGTCACCTTACATGACAGGGTTACGTGGGGTTCTTACACACCACAGCCCCCTCGGTGGCCACCTTCTGTCCGTTTGGAGGGACCCCGGGATTTCCTACGGAACGCACGAGCGAATAATTATAGTTTGGTGAGTGAGGTAGTCGGGGCCTACTTTATTAAAAGGGGGTCAACGCATCGGCAGCCCTACTGGTGTTGCAAATGTCCATGGGCGGCGGTTATCACTTAACATCACGTGAACCGCCAGCTCGTTTGACACCTTCTCGCATAAAAAATCAGTGTAATCGAAAAGGCTGAAATGATGCTTATGGTGATGACCCTAGAAACGGTAGAAGAGGCTTCTGTTGAAAACGCATAATGAGCGAGAAATTAAACTTACAATGGGCTCCAACTAAAAGTGGGTAGTTGTATACAAACACACGCTTTTGTATCGCCCTTAAACCCTGGTGTAGTATTCCTAATGCAAAGCGGCTTTATTCTTATCCTCAATGCCTCGACTTGTCGTATTAATGGCCCCATTGGCACAACGCGGACAATGGAAGCTCGGGAAATTCGCGGTTTTAATGGCCCCACGTTCGTAAACGTTTAAGTAAGCGTTAACGGAGCGAAGATAGAATCTGAGGCCCTTAAAGAAGCGGTAGCGGCGGTCGATTCGCTTCGACTCTAGAGCGGAAAGCTGAAGACTGAAAACTCTGGAGGCTGATTCCGGTGGGCATGGCTATCATATTGGCGATATTTTAGAAGAATTAATAACGCAGATAGGAAACAATAAAGACGGTTAAAAGTCCATCCTCATGGGCTAACAAAAGTCGCTATTCAAAGTCGAAGTCAAAGTATCTTTATTCAATACTAGCTGGCCCGCCCAACTTCGTCTGCGCCAATTTTACCGGGTCCATACGTTTCTACTTTTAACATAGCGCCATCTATCGGATAAGTATCCGGAATTATCCGAAAGTATGCGGTTATCTCACACCGCTATCTGTTAGAATCTTATGGGACTCACAGGTAGCTCTTTATCATCTATTAAACAAATAATTTGCAATAACAAATATTGAGATCAATAATTGATATAAAAAGTACCCTATCTCCCAAGTTGGAACAAATTTCAAATGCTAACAAAATTTGATAAAAATTGGTTAATTAGTTTCGGAGTTTATCGCGAACATACATCGTGACATTTTTTTTTTTATGCGAAAAGTTGTCAAACGAGCAGACGGTTCACCTGATGTTAAGTGAATACCGCCGCCCATGGACATCTGCCACACCCGAGGGTTACAGATGCGTTGACAATCTTTTGAAAATTGGGCTCCGGCTGCCTCACTCACCAGACGAAACGCGAAAGTATTTGTCATACTTCCACTTTACGCTGGTCTTCTGTGATGTCGTGGTACTTACCCGGACGGGCCTGCTCATTCGTGCAACAGCCAAGGCTGCTGCCTGGCCCTACCACCGTGACATGAAATATTTATATAAATATAAATAGGCTTTACTTTAGCTCTTATTGAACGTTGTTGACGTTGGAAATAGCAAAGCAAATACAGATATATAATCAAGGTGACTCCTTTCTCCTTCGTTTACGAGAATTCTGCCAAGTGTAACGGCAGCACGGCCCGGCGCAGTTCTAATGGCTTAGCACATGTCGTCTTTAGTAAAGCTTTACTGGGCTCACTAAATCAACGGTGCGTGTTGCCCGGGTGACGGTCTTTTAACCAACAAGTTGGGGCTTTGTTCCTATTTTGGGAGCGGAAAGCCCTTCCCCATAACTTTAACGGCACCCAAAGAAGCTCATGAAAGCTACAGACCTTATTAGGATTCTTAGGTTTTGGTTAAAAGAATTTATTCTCATAAAATGAGAGACAAGTTACAACATAGGATATTAAATTCATTTTAATCTCTGGAGCATTGTGGAAGACATAAGCAGTTATTACCTTTGAGGGTAGATGAAACTAAAAATATTTTTTACGCTAGTTGCGTTAAGGATGAGGTCACATTAAATTAGTACAATATAAATTT